TCCATAGCTCACAGCAACAGGCTGTGCTGAAAAAAACAACAACAACAAAAAAAACAAGCTGCAGTGGACAAAAGCAAACAGTTTGGTTTTAAGAAGTCAGTGTTCTTTGAATGTTCTTTCAATGCGTGAATGGTGATGTAATGGCTGTACTCCGTGACCCCCTTTATACCACAAACCTGACATCATGACCGTCAAGAACCTCAGGGTCTCTGGGTAATTTCACATTGGATTGATCCTAACGCTCAATGTCACACACACACTAAACACACTTAATAAATGTTTTTGCTCAAAGGATGTAATAATACACCTTTCAGTAAAAAAAAACACAAAGAAATAAAACCCCAGTCTGGTTTGGATTGAGTTACTTTGAAGTTCACCCTCATATGAATAGAATGCATTATGATTATTGTTATTACCGCTTTATTATTTAGTATTATTATCATGCATTAGTTTGTAAATCCTCCTTTTTGTCAGAATAAACTTAAACATGAAAGATAGATTTTTAAAAACTCAGTTTGACAGCAGTTAAAACTGATCTGTGTTTATTATTTTTGCATAGTGTTTGGATATGTGTGTTTGTGTATTTTGAATCCCAACACTGTTTATACTTGTGTGTTTATGTTTTGGCTGTGGATGTGTAAACTTGTTTACTACTAACTTATCTGCCTGTATGGTCAAGTTAGCGCTGTATAGTTCCGAATGGTATTTATTGCAATTAATAATTTTTCTCTGAAGTAAAAAAAAGAGGTAGGGGCATTTTATCCCTATTATCCTTGATGGGAAAAATAGCACTTCACTTCCTTAATGTTTTCCTTCTTTGAATAATCCCATTAAACAGAATGATTAAAAACAAGGGACGGAGAAAAGGTAGAATAAAGAGTTGTAAAGTAGATGACCATAAAGAATCTGAATTTTAGAGAATCGCTTTCCTGTTAATAATAATAATAATCCTGAGATTATTTTCAGTAAAAATCCTAGAAATGCAATTATCATGTATTTATAGGTTGAAAGAAAAGATTTGCTAACAGTCACACAGACAGTTTGTGCTGCACCTGTTGAAGTGCCCCACATTCTCCAGAGAGAAGTTGTCATCAGTTCTAAACATGCTTGTGAGGAGGCCGTACAATATATGTGTACTCTCCTGCCAAAGGAATCACAGGGAGTGTGTTCAAGGTTCCTCTCCTTTAGTTGGTATAAACAGCTTTGCTTCACTCAAGTAGTAGGACAGTCTTTACTGGATTGAGCTTTCACTTATTTCCTTTCATTTTGTCCAAAAATCAGTGTGTGACCAGCGCTGATACTGGATCACTTACTATGACTTGCATCACCCACATCGGACTGGATGGGACCGTCCATTTCACTTTCACTCCCAGTTGTTTTAAAAACGAAAACAAAACCAAACCAAAAAAGCATAAAGAGAACTACGTTTAGCGTCCCTGCAAAGTGAGAATCTGTGTTTTTCCTGAAGAGTCCATGTCCTTCTTAGAATGATTTAACAAATGTTTGGAAAACTACTAGAGGATGGAGCAGCGTTCCTTTGAAAGATATTTCCTCGTGTAATTTTTGTGATGGTGCTGCATTTTGTTACTCTACAGATGTCAGATTTTCTGATGAGACTACTTAATTGCACGTCCCTTAAAAAGAAAATGGCTGTGCCGCTCTCCTGTTCTAAAAATCGAGGTCACCTTTCACTGGCTGATCTTGCTGATTCTCAGGTCAAGCTGTACCTCTACATTTTCTGCCACCTGAGGAAGTGGTTTGCTTCTTTCCCACCACTGCTCATTGTCACCACATGCGCACTGCAGAATTACATTTTAGTCATTTGCCTTCTGAGATTTAATTGCTCCACAGCAACAAGCCTCTACTTACTCTGCAGTGGCATTACCAGCCAAGTTGTTAAGTTCTGACTCAATTCTGGTTTAAAATTGGAAATCAGAAATAAATCACAGTCATGCATTTTACATTTATGTTAATGCAAATACACACTGAAATGGCAGACACTCCATTAATGTTTGCATGTGTTGTTTGTGACTAGTTGGGAGACATAAGCAGTTCTGAATTGGGAGCAATCACAGCTCGTTTGTGTATGATATATAGCTATATTAGAAGCATTTTTGAAAGACAAGAAAAACAATTTGGCTACTTTTAGCTGTGCAGTGCTGCAGACTTAAGATAAAACAAACATATGTGGTTTCAGTGAGGTCTGTCAGAGCCAGAGGTGACGTACCAGGGATAAACAGGTAGTACCATGTACAGGTCACAGCAAAGCATTTCTGAAGTTTTAGTTTGGTTTATATGGTAAGCTTTTTATTTGAAACTCAAAATGGCGTATTGTATAGATGCTTGCTTTTCTTTTTTTAAAAGAAACATAAGCATAAAGTGTGATAACATAAGCCTATTCACTGATTTCCTTTCAATTACAATTTGCCCTTGAGACACTGAAATGCTAGACATGCACACAAACATATCTATTTCCTGTTTTCAGAACAGAAATGTCATGAAAATGGTTAAAAAGGATGTTCAGCTAATCTACTCCTTCCACCACATTCGCAAGTGGTTCTATTACCATACACATACACACACACTCACACACAGGCCTGTATTCAGCATGCATTATAGATGAGTGAACCCGTGCATTCAAATCACAAACACATCATGGTCAGATAATCTTTTCGGTTCATAACAGGAAGGACAACATGTGCAGTATTACTTAAAAATAGTTATGATATGATTAATGGTCTTTTCAGGTGGGCCCAAAACATGTTATGTTCAATAAACATTTCATGTCAAAATTCAAAACCACATTTCTTTTCTCTTTCTTTTTGAATAGCTTTTCTTAAAACTGTCATTGTTTGCCATTGTCAGGATATTTTTTCTCATTGCTGGTAGGCCTCTGCATTTAATTCATCGTTTGAAATCTTTTTAGACCTTTTTGTTCCTGACTTTACAGGCAGCTCTGTCTGCCAGTGTGTTTCCCTGTTCAGTTGATGAATAAATGAATGAGTTGCATAAAAATGCAAATAATTAAGAGTGTCTTAATTTCCACTTCACAAGAAGAGCTGGGAACAACAATTCTTGGAAAGAGATTCGGCTGTAATTTTAATTTATGTTTGGATTATATTACACCTAAAGCTCTCCCTCAATTTTTTCTGAAATAGGAAAAACATCAATGTGTTCAGTTAGTGTTTTTTAAATGCATCATGATGTTTTAACACAAGTTTAATGGTCTTAGTTCAAATTCAATAAGATATTTTCAAGATCAGTTTAGCAAGATGGACTTTCTTTTTTTTTAATTTAAAGTTACTTTTTTTTTTGTCCTGCCTAGATGGTCTGGTATTCAAATATCAGACTTTATTTATTTATGAGTATGACCTTAGTGTGGTCTCAGGACATGAGAACACCCTTTTTTCCTTTTTGTTATTCTCTATTCATTTCATGTCTGAGCAATGTTCTTTGTCCAGGACTATATTATAAACGCTATAAATCACTTTTTTATGTGTCTCAGCGGGACAGTATGATTCTGAGATTTATATATATATATATTTTTAAATATTGTTGCGTTTGAATATAAGAAGACTACTTTTCCTCTGATTTTACTGATCAGTTCCCTCCACTCAATGTTATCAGTATTTTCTTCTAATCTCCCTTTTCTTTTGTGCAGAATTTCTCTGCTATCTGTTTCTTATTTTCTTTGCTTTGTACATGGCTTAATGACACCACCCATGTTTTACCTTACTTGTTCAGTTTTTTTTTCTCATGTATCATTTCAGTTCATTTCTTTTCCCTTCCTTTCTCTGTTTGTACGTACTATTGCTGACCTCTTATCCTCTGCACACACACACTTACAGATGAGCGCACACTGAGAGTTCATTATAGAAGCTGTGAGGCCGGATCCACAAATCAAACTGTGTAAATACGCAAGTTTTGTTCCTGCAGAGCAGTCACTGCAGTTGCCATGACTACCTGTTGCACATCTCAGGAGTAACCAAGGACAATCCTTATGTGTGTGTGTGTGTACACATATGCATTCAGTTTTGTGTCCATGTAACTGAAAGTGGGGGAACAATGGGTTTTACGCATGCCAGCTAACAAAGACCAGAGAGAGTCTGTCTAATTCCTGTTTTATTTTATGTACACCTCTTAGCTTGATGACGTTTTACTATCAACATCTTATACCTGACAAAGTCAACATGCCAAATAGCTGATTCGACAATCAATGGTCAATGGTAAACACTTAAGTAACACACTGGCATCTTCATAAATCAGTGAATATTAAATATGTAGATATATTGATCCCTGAGAACATTTAGCTTATTTTCCCTGTATAAATGTTTTGTTGTAGCTTTGGTTTGACCACTTTGCCAACAGCACAATCCTCACCTGCACATCCTGTTTTAGGAGCACATTCTTTTTCAAAATAGGTAACATATCTCAGTTAATGCCGTATTAAAGTCTTCCTGAAAGGTCTCATGGAAAAGCTCCTGCTACAAAAAAGGTCTGTTTACGTGGCATTCATCCCGACAATGTACAGAATGTCCACCTGGCAGCCACTGAACCAGTGTAGGATCTGTCCATTACTCCTTTGTTAGCAGAGAACAGGACAGATTTGCAGTGGTGTGTATGTGCGTGTATGTGTAAACAGACAGACTAATGGACCTGACTAAAATCCAAACACAGGAACTTGCAGGTGATCAGTGCTGTTTACTTTCAGAGGGTGAAATAGGCTTTGCTCCATCAGTTGAAGAGGAGTATATGTTATACAGGATCAGCTGACTAAAGACATCTGGGTTAATGTCTCTAGAGACATCCTTACACTCTCTGTCTCATTCTTATTTTATGTTCTTTTGATTTACAAGTACATGCATGAACGACCTTTACTTTCCCTTCTCGCTGTCTTTATGCTTCATACATCATCCTCAATCCCTCACTTGTTTCCTTAATTCAATATCTAGAAGTTTATAGGACCTGAGCAAATAATGTAAATTAGTGTCCCACTTCAGCTCTCTTTGTTCTTCTTCATGTGATCATTCAGAGCGTCAGCTGGCCAACAGCATGAGCAGCAGCAGCTCTCTTCCTCCCAGTGTCAGTGGGATCAGTAAGGAGCTGGCAGAACTGCGCCACCTTGTTCAGTTTCCAGAGGAGATTGCCTGTATTCTCACTGAGCAAGAGCAGCAGCTTTACCAGCAGGTAAAAATCCCAGTTGGAACATTTTAAAAGCATTTATGTTCAGTGTTATTTTCTCCTTTTTACAGACAAAGGCTATTTATTCATATTGCTTCAGCATTTTTTTTGTTGGAAGAAAATATTAATGCTTTTCATTTCAGCGTGCCGCTGTACTAAGAGTTATTGTCTTTTTCTAGGTCTTCCCTTTGGACTACCTCTGTTTCCTAACTCAAAACCTGGGCAGTCCGGAGTGCCAAACCAAGCGGCACCAAAACTTGAAGGCGTCACTGTCGGCGCCCACCATGCCTTCTCAGAGTGCACGACGAAGTAATGCTGTGGAGGACCTGGTGGCACGCTTTAACGAGGTTCATTTCTCATGTTCATGGATCCTTATTTTGGATGTAAAAAAGTAAAAACGGGAAAAATCAATAATACTCAATTGAAACGTGGCTGTAATTATTTGAGACTAAGTGATAACAATGAACAATAACTGGTACAGTTTTAGAAGTTTTATCCATTTTTTGTTTTGGGTTTAGACCGTTGTAAAAGTTTCACTAAAAAGAAGCACTTTCTGTAGTCTCTGTACTGACATCTGTACTGACATCAGAGCCCACGAAAAAGCACATATTTCATTCAATGTGAGAAGTGATGTGAAAGGTTGAGAGGAAAATTGTGCTTTCCTCTGGCTGGGTTTTCCCATTTATATTGCCATGCAAGTCCATCATTGTCACAGCCGCCAAGGATATTCAAGCACACAAACCCGTTGTGGTGTAAGTTGGCTAAAGTTATGCTCCCGAGCCTCATGTCTGTTCAATTTGAGAACCCAACGATCACAACACTGCACTGCTGACAAAGTGAGGGAGTAAAAGGGAGAGAGATTGATATGGAATAATGAAGTCATCTTTAAGTTGCATTCCTTTAGCATCAGCTGGTTTTCATTTAAGTCAGCAAGAGGAGAGACACGCAGAATGGTTTTCAAAATGTGCAGCGTAGCCATATATGGACACAGTGGAAGAAGGGTCAAGTGACAACAGTGATTCTCCCCTTTAGACACTGATGAAACACCGAAATGGCTTTAGATTCTTAAGAACGGGCTTGGCTTTGGATGAGGGTCAGTTTTTCTCTGCTGTGGTGTGTAGCGTTTTGTGGCTATCTACATTACTTATTTAATTAATCGAAAAACCATTACACTGTGTTTGGCGTGATTCAGAATCAGACAATATGTCACGCACAAGTAAAGTAAGATACTTGCTAGGCAACTGTAAATACATTCCAGTTTTTATTTAAAACAGCTTTCATGAATAGAATAAAGTGATACTGAGATGAAGCCTTCCAACTTTTGGTTTCTTACACTTTTCACCCTTTACGCACGCACGGGCCATGTATGGGGCGGAATTACAGCATAGTTTGAAAAGATAGCCTAAAGGGGAGAAATGGGAGGCAGGGAATGGCGAGAAGTTAAGTCCTTTTGGTTTTTGTCACGAATGTTTAGCTGTGACAAAACCAGCATGTGCTGATTTGAATTTGTAATAGTTCTCTGTCAGCCTCAGTTATGTAATTCTGGTATCAAGGAGAATCTGACGCTCAAAGTTCAACTAACAACAGATGGAGACAGACGGGCAGGAGGACAGACAGATGATCACATACACAGACATCAAAGGGGATCAGCTTGTACCCTTCTCTAGTTCTAAATATATTTATGTGTGCATGCGTGTGTGTGTGTGTGTTTAAGAACAATGCAGAGCAAGGTGTTGCTCTTTTAAGGAACATTTCACACTTATTCTGTCATTTCAACTAATCTTTGTGTAATCCAATTTCTGCTCCATTCTGCCATTACTTGGTCCGGCTACTTATAGTATCTTCCCATTTCCTGTCTATTATCTATCATGCACAGCACTGACTACACACTTTCGCTATCTGGAATATCAGAAGAGATGCCAACTCAGTGCTATCCCTTGATCTGCTGCAGTTCAAAAAGCCACTTTGCAGACCGTCAGAGCAGTTTAGATGGTGATCGTAATTCAACCCCTCTGCTGACATGGTGTTGCATTATGTCATAAAGCAAGAAGTGGCTGATAGAAGATTTTCATGCCTGGCACGCACATCCTGCCATGCGCAGAAAACAGGGATGTAACAGATAATAGACAGTAGGGCAGCAGGGTTATTTGCTGGTTTGGTCAGTTCTTAAAGATGCCTTTAAACCATGGCAGTCTTAACAAGCTTGAGGCTATATTTTCTTGATCTGATCTGTCCGACATTGCTATTTTTCATTTTAGTAACTATGATAGAGAAGCTCTGTTGAGGGGTCAGGATTACATACTTACCCTTCCTTACCATGATATCCATAAGATATGCTGCTGTGCTTATATACCTGAGGTTAATACCAGAGTTAATATTTTACAGCCAGGAAGGTCTTGTCTACAATGAATGTCTACAGTGGTGGTCCACAATGAACTTCAGCAACCATTTTACCAGAGTGCCATTGATATAAAGTCTTTCAAACAATAATTTAAAGTAAACTATTTACTTTGTGACATGTTTTTGAAGCAGTGTGTCGGTCTTATTTAGTCACTGGAAGGTCAGACTGTGGTGGGCTTTACACAGCCTTACATAAGCCTGCAAGTCAGTAACAGATGTCTTGGCCAGGGGATGTTTTTACCACCTTTGAGAGGGGAGGGGCTAGTGGGTTTGAGTGTGAGTGTATTTTTATCTATGTGTGTGACTACGTTAATGAGGCTTCAATGCATGGAGAATGTGACACAAAAGACCAGGAAGCTTACAGTTTGTGTGTGTGTGTGTGTGTGTGTGTGTGTGTGTGTATAATTCTGTCTCTTACCCAGAATATGAGGGGAAACTGACCCTGATACATATCTGGGTTTGCCATAATGTCTTATGTGAATACTTGAGGGCAAGCAGAGCAGAGACAGAGCACAGCTGATAGATATCTAATCTCACTCGTGTGTGTGTATGTGTGTGTGTTGTCATTTGGTATATATCCTGTACATTCATTACGACTTTAGACTAGGCTACTAAAGACCACATACAATAAAGTGTTTTGGCTGAACCTGACATGGCTGTGTGTATAAAGTTTATACTTATGTACACTTGCAGTCACTAGAAAACACCTGGTGGTTTAGCACATGGTGTTACCCGTTATTTGCGTTGTCCAAACAGCTCTGTATAAACTAAAATGTTCATGTGCAGGTATCTGAAAACCTCTTCTCTCATTTCTGAGATTGAAAATGTTGAATCAACATTTTTTCTCATTTCTTTTTCCCTTTTTGCTTTTTCTCTGCACTATCAGAGCAACCTGATAGAATGTTCACTCCTTTGGAAGATTGCCGAATGTTTTAATTCCTGCAGTTTTCTCAGCCTTTTGCTAGCAGAATTTTGAGTCAGATTCTGTTGGATAATTGAGACATCTTATTGCTTATCTTATTTTTACAGAACTAAATTCTATTTACCTCTCTTTAAGGCTTCGTAAAATAAACTATGTCCTGTTAATGCCAACCTTTTGGATGCAAGGGGACTGTACATGAGCAGTATGAGCTCAAAAAATGTTTTCCTGAATATATATTTATCTTTATACTTAAAATGAGTATAAAATGAATCTCAGTATGTATAGTTAGCTTATTTTTGTGTTTTTATGAGTGACGAACCTGGCCTGAGGGTTAGAGTTGACTTTACTAAGTTATCTTTATGTTACCTTGTTATAGATACTATGCATATATTTGTCTTGATGTTCAGGTAAGTTCGTGGGTGACGTGGCTGGTTCTTACAGCAGGGTCCATGGAGGAAAAGAGAGAAGTGTTCTCATATCTCGTCCATGTTGCTAAATGCTGTTGGAACATGGGAAACTACAATGGTGTCATGGAGTTCTTGGCTGGGCTCAGGTTTGAAGACACATTTCCTCTCTGCGGCACGCAATGCAAATATTCCTAGAATATATTGTTTTTTTGTTTGTGAAGAAAAAACCTGCATTTCAGATTTTTCTCATCCTAAAGGTCTCGCAAGGTGCTGAAGATGTGGCAGTTTATGGACCAGTCAGATATTGAGACCATGCGAAGTTTAAAGGACGCCATGGCTCAGCATGAGTCCTCTTCTGAATACAAGAAGCTTGTGACCAGAGCTCTTAACATCCCAGGTTGCAAGGTGGGTTTTTTATTAGATTATGTAAGAATTTAATGTTCTTTTTGGGGCTGTGCTCAAATTTTTAAGGTTTTGTTCACCTTTCACCTTGCGCTTTAGGTAGTGCCATTCTGTGGAGTTTTTTTAAAGGAGCTAAGTGATGCATTGGACGGCACAGCAAGCATCATAAGTCTCAAACAATCTACTGATAATACTGTGGACTCTATAGAGGTACAGTAAATACCAAGGAGCATGCATAGTCCTACACATACTTGTTAAAAATGAGTAAACATTAAAAATCAGATTGCACATGGGTTTGATCCGTCTGGCTCTGCTTTGTCTGCGACTCCAGTTTGTGTCCGACTACAGTGGCCAGCACAATTTCATGTCACGATCTGGTCCAGACGGTCTTCACGTCCCAGAGAAAGAGGCTACTGTTAGCAACATCCTGCAAATTATCAGGTGCACTATAATCCCAGCCTGAAAATATTTTTGACACAGTCTTCTTTGATGTTCTCTTCTTACCTTGCTTTTTTAAATCTCTCGGTGTTTCCTTAGATCTTGTAATCGAAGTTTGGAGGCAGAGGATCCTGATGACACCTCCACCAGTCCTTCTTCGGCTGGCCAATCTTTTGCTTTCAGAAGCAACTCCTTCAAGGACCGCTGCCGCAATCAGTTAGTTTATCTCTTTTTTTCCCCCCCAAACAAATATAATGTATGCTGTTTAAATTCGTTCAAAACTGTAGGTCAAAGTAGATATTAGTGCTTTGTTGCATGACATATTTAAGTTTGTTTTTTTTACACGGTGGCCAGAAAATGTAAGACAAGTTATACGTTTGAACAGATATTAATTTTTTTGCTCTTTTTTGGAGCATTACATATCCTACACAGGGCTTAGAAGTAAGTAGTTAGACATGTACTCTGCACCGCATCTCTTTTGTGAATAGCCTGACATTTATGGTTGCATTCGTCCTTAAAGAAATGCTGCAGATTGTATTGTTTAGGAATGTGACCCTTTCTCCTAAAGGTCGGTTCCCAAAATTGAATTTTCTACTTTCCTGTTCATACATAGACGATGACTCATGGGCAAAGTGAAAGCTTGTTGCATACAGATTTATAACTGAACTATGACTACAGCAATGCTGGGAATGATAGGTAGGGCTGGTCTCTTCTGAATAAAAAAACATTAACTATATATGCTACAGCATTTCTCATAATTAGAACTGTATGTTCCACCACTATGCAAAGGTAATTGTACTTCTGCAGCAGATGAACCACCAATGTTTTATTTTAGTTTATTATTCACCTTATAACAATCAGCTCAAGGTGATGGTTTGTAGAGGCACACATTTGCAGATTGTTATTGAGATGAAGTGGTGTGCACATAAAACTCACTGTCACAAAGAAAAAAGATAACGGCTTAGTTTCCTGTCAGGACAGGAAGGAGCAGGGCTCTGGTAGTTTTCAGCACACTTGCAGGAGATAGCTAATAACACAAGCTGGAATGTGGAGAGGGTAGAAAACCTTTTTGATTCCAGACCTGATCTCTTGTGTTTGTATAAAGTTAGTTGTTTTTTTCTGAATGATATATTTAATGTTCAAGGCCAGATGACGATTCTGCTTAATTTTGGCAAGCACTACTATGTACTGTGTTAATGTGCTCAGTTTATGGCACATTTAAATCAATAGTTCAGCATGACTTCTGACTTCATTTCCTTGGTTCTGGATATTTTCATGCTGGTATCCTCTTTTTCATACTTTGTTGCTTATACGACTGTCAAAACCTCCTGGCCATCTTTTTCACCCTCACTGCACCTCTTCTCCTTCTATGTTTCTTTTTTTTAGTTCCCATTCATTTAGGACAACGCCAGAAACAAAGCGAGTTTTGTAAGTGGCTGTGCAATGCGAGGGTCAGGAGTTTGCTCACAGTGACACAATTTCTCACATCAGCATCGTTTCAGTTGCATTTTGAGTAGAAGCTTCTTTAATTGAAATGAGCAGTGACAAATGCATGTGGCCTTAGTGCTTGTTTTCACATGTGTGATTGGGCCTTCCTGCAGGCATTAACTTTCTGTCTTGCTACACTTTTTGCAGATGTTGAAACTAAACCAGCCATTTGCAAATTGACGTTTAGATTGGCATACAAAAAAAAAGATTAAAACCCTGACTGGATCTCTACTGTTTGAATCCAACGTGTGCATCAACAGATTCACAGTTGGGGACCTGTCGGACTCAGATGGGGATTTGTCGGTTGAGCCTGTGGTGAAAGAGGTTGAATTTCAGGGGACTGAGGAGACGCACAGAGCTTTTAGCCATGGCATTGAGCTCATTCCTTGGTAAGATATAGCCAGAACAAACACACGGCTACATCAAATGACCAGACACACCACAGTCTTTTTCTTCTCCTTTTCCAGGTACGTGTTGTCACTTCAACCAGACATTCACCAGTTCCTGCTGCAGGGGGCTACTGTTATTCACTATGACCAGGACAGCCACCTCACAGCCCGCTGTCTGCTGAGACTGCAGCCAGACAACACAACACTCACCTGGGGTAAATGTCTTCTGCTTTTTGAACTTCTACAGGAAACCGCTGCATCAAGCAATACGTTGATGGACTTTTATGTATTGAGATGAACACAGAACATTTCCTTTGTGTTCAGCTAATTGTAAACACACTTTAGGTTCAGAGCTCAAGGAAAAAAAGATTAATTTCCTTCTGAACTATTGTTCTTCAAACAAATTTGACAAAGGCAGCCATGATATAGAGAATTAAATTTCCTGTATTGTGTATTGAACTGATTTTATGTGTGCTTATCCTCGGTAAGTAAGCCCATTATCTTTTATACCATATTCTATCTAAACAAATCATAAACATGAGCATATGTGCCTAACATGCTCAATTCCCTCTGTTTTACTACATTTCAGACATGTTTTATATCTGTTAACATTTGACAGGTAAGCCTCAAAGTGGAGGAGGCTCCCCTGTAGATCAGCCACTGGCGTTAGGACAGCCTGTAGCAGCTGGCCTAGCAGAAGGCCTGATGGACCTGGGAGTGGTGAAGGTTTGTTGAATCAATTGTGTTGTTTTGGCTTTGACTGTTTTTTTCTCTCAATCATACGTGACTGCCGTTGGTTGAATGTACTGATAACAATGCATCGTTCCAACATGCAGGCAGTGTTTCTGGGTCATCAGGGAGTTGACGTCCATGCTGTATGTCTGCAAAACAAGCTGAGCCAAATGACTGTTGAGGAGAATGGCCTTACCTTTCTCTATGGTCTCAGTACCACTGATAACAGGTTAGTGACGGGTTACTTCCAGCACACAGTAACCAGTATCCTAATGTCCTGCAAAACTGACCAAACATCTGACTATTTCCTAATGGCCTTATTTATGTTATTAGACTCCTGCACTTTGTTGCGCCAAATCACACGGCACGGATGCTCCACAAGGGCCTGTCAGAGCTGGTGAGCGCAACCAGGAAATTGAAGAAGTTTCCAGACCAAAGACTGCAGTGGCTAAGGAGGCAGTATGTCTGTTTGTATCAGGTAAACTCTCAACTGTTCCTCAATAAATATTTGTTTGTACATTTACTGCTTTTTTGACATTATAGACTTTTGTTAAGCTGTGTTTCTGTCTTTTCCTTTCTACTGTTTTGACATGTATAGGAGGATGGTAGGTATGAAGGGCCTACGCTAGCTCAGGCCATTGAGCTTTTTGGAGGGCGGAGGTGGAACATGAGTACAGGTGGTGTTGAGAAACCTGGCACCCAGAAAAACAATGTCAATGATAAGTCCAAGAAGAAGAAGAAAACACTTGTTAGGGTTAGTAAATTCATTTATAGTTGCTGTAATTCATATAAGAATATGACATAACACTAAACAAAATTACTCTCTTCTACTTTAATCTGATCTATATACCATATTTCACCTGCTTCCAATAGTGAATGGTTTCTCATTTCTCATTGCAAGTATTTCTTTTTACTATACGCACAACTCAGGGAGACAGTGGGGACGCCACTGATGATGAGATGGTTTCCAGAAAGACACGGAGTTGTAAAGAGGCACTGTATCGTAATGGTCCAGAGTCCGACAGCATTGACCAGGAAGATCCAGGTAAATATGTAGATACATACTCGGCAATTGTGTGACAAATCACTGTTGGTGCTTGGAGTCACATGAGCTGTGACATCCAGTTTAGTTTATTTACTCTGAATCTTCTCTGTCTACATAGATGACACCTTCCCTGGACCATTTTCCCCCTCCTGCAGTAAAAGCCCAGGACTGTTAGCCTCCTCTTCTTCTTCATCCTCTTCTTCCAGTATGACAGGGTCCAACCACTGTCGTCCACAATCATCTCCAACTATTTCAGGACCCTCAAAGTCACAGCCAGGGTAGTCAATCCAATTCAATTAATTTTTATTAATGTAGTGGCAGCTCATGACAAATGTCACCCCTATCCTCCCCAAAAAATTAAAAATACAACTGGAGGCATGGCCCTGCTGATATTTTCTTTTCCTTCCAGTTGATGTATATTCTCTCTCTTTGTGTATTGCAGGACATGGAGCAGCAGATCCTGGCATGGCCAAGGTAAAGGCTGTTTCAAAAGCTTTCAGAATCTCATGATTTCTGACAGCACAATGAGCTTCATTGAATTTGTGGAGCTTTTCAAGTCTTTCAGGTGAATGAAACATTAAATAAATGAATTCCTGTTTTTTCTGAAATAGTTTTGCAGTCATACATAACATTCCGCTGTTGTGTCACAAAGCACTCATCCATGCATTCCTGCTTACTGCTTCTGTTATGTAATTTTTTTCTTATCAAAGGCTCTAAAAAGGATGATAAAACATATTTAACAAATACCTCTCAAGGTTTTTATTTCTGACATTTTCAAAGGATTCTTGTATGTGTGGTATTTAGCTTTTATCTAAATTCTCTGTCAAGTAATTGAAAGAAAGTTGTGCTTTGATAAGCAGTTCCTATAATAATCCTCCTACATTTCTTAGATTGGGATGTGTCCTCTCATCCATTGCCCAGCTCTTTGAATTCTGTTCTGGCACAGCTTCAAACCCGTCGGGAAGCTTGAACATTTTTGTGGATGAATTGTCTCCAGAAATATTAAAGGTTTTTGTGAAATGTGTTAAACAAAAGTCTCTCATTAATTCTGTTTGCTGATGTACGTATGTAGACTTTACACAGGTCAGTTGTCTGAGCACATTGCCATCTGAAACATACCTGCAAGTGTAACAAATGTTCTCACAATGTTATTTGTATTTTTTCAAACTTTCTCAACAGTATTCGAAGCAGGAAGGACCTGAAAGAGCTGTTTGACATCTTTGCTGTCCCCTGTAGTCGCTCATGTCCTGAATCGTCCCCACTTTACACAAACCTCAGGATTGATGACAAAGACACAGGGCTACAGCCTGACCTTGGTAAACCAACTTGTCTAACAAGTTAAAATTGTGCTTGAAATGGCTTGTTTCTCCTAATGTCCATCTATCCTTTTCAGATTTACTGACCCGCAATGGTTCTGATCTTGGCCTGTTTATCCGAACGAGGCAGCAGATGTCTGACAACCAGAAGCAGATCTCTGATGCCATAGCAGCTGCCAGCATTGTGACCAACGGTACAGGAGTGGAGAATGCGTCATTAGGTGTACTGGGATTGGCTATCCCTCAACTCAATGATTTTTTAGTCAACTGTCAGAAAGAGCACCTGAGCTATGATGAGATCCTCAGCATTATCCAGGTAGGTATCTGGAGCTGGTGGGATGGCTATAAAGAGAAGATACTACTTTTAGAAATTAGAACCTAGGAAAGGAGACAATACAAACAATGTCATTCAATTGTTTTCTCTTGCAGAAATTTGAGCCCTCATCGACCTTGAAACAAATGGGTTGGATGTCATTCGAAGGTTTTGCAAGGTATAGCAAAATGCTTTAATTCTGGATAAAGTGGCAGTGTATACCACACTGATAACCAACTTAAAAAGTCCATATAAGCTGTATCGCAAAAACTATTTTTAAACTTCCTGTTTTTATTGCACAGAATTAGATTTTTCTCTTTTGTTCATACCAGGTTTCTAATGGACAAAGACAACTTTGCTTCTCATAATGAAGAGTCTCAGATAAATCCAGAGGAACTGCAGTACCCTCTTTCATACTATTACATAGAGTCCTCTCACAACACTTATCTGACTGGGCACCAGCTCAAAGGAGAGTCCTCTGTTGAGCTTTACAGTCAGGTCAGACAGTTCAATGTATTGTTTTTCCTTCTTTCTTTTCTGCTCAGACATTTTGTGTTGAAGCTTATCCGTGACTGTTTTGGTTTCTCAGGTGCTGCTACAAGGCTGTAGGAGTGTTGAGTTGGACTGCTGGGATGGAGATGATGGGATGCCTGTTATATACCATGGACACACACTCACGACTAAGATTCCATTTAAGGTTAGAAATGTTTGGGAATAATTAATTTGTAAAAAAAGGGCTCCATAGCTCATCTTTCTTTTCGCTTAAATGATTATAAATGTCTCACTCTATTTTCACACATAATTTCCTGCAGTGTCCTGGCATAAATTAGATTTGTTTAAACATGCAATATAATACATTTCACCTGCTGGGCCTATGACTTATTGTGTGTATTTAACTGGAACTGGAATGGATTTACTCTGTACTGGTTTTATTGTCACATATTTGATGTGGACTCTTTTCTCCCTTGCTTGTTCAGGATGTGGTGGAAGCAATTAACCGCTCTGCATTTATCAACTCTGACATGCCCGTCATCCTTTCAATAGAGAACCACTGTTCCCTTCCACAGCAGCGCAAGATGGCTGAAATCTTCAAGGTAAGATGGGACATGCTTGTAAATTCTTTTTTTTAATGTGTGATACATTTTTATCTTGTTTAATTAATAAGTAAGTCACTTAAACACACATAAATCTTACAGCTTTCATAAACATGTGCCTTTTTTCCACACTAGTATAAAGGGTTTGCAGTGCCTTAGTTCACACCTACTCTTTTCCACTGCTCCTTTTAGTGCCAAAAAAGGCTGCCACTTGCACCAGCACTTTTTAAGCAAGACCACTCACTCTTTAACTCTACTTATTTATTTTCTTTGACCAGATTTTTTTCAGCTGCTTTTGGCCTTCAAACTGGCAGACTTCCAGGGAAAAGTTTTCTTTTCTAATCTGGAAACTACAACTGCCTGTTTCTTTTTCTTTTTTAAGTTATACTGTATACTCAAGGCCACGCATGTTTAGGCAAGAGGACCGCATCATGGAATATCATGATGCTTTCATCTAGAGAAACTTCTCAGCATTTCATCCTCCCTGGAGACTGACTTCTGGGTATCACGATAAAGAAGAGTCTTTCAAGTTTGAGACAGCTCTTTGCCCCTGGGCAGCTTACATCGCCATGCTCATGTTTATTTGTAATGCTCTGAATTGATAGAAGTAATCTCTTTTTTCTGCCACCGAACACTTGTCTTCAGCTTCTTCTTCCCTCGTTCACTTTGACGCCACTCCTCTCATAATTCAACTGCATTTACTCAAACATTTTTCTTTTTTTCTCTTCTTTTTTTATTAGACGGTGTTTGGGGAGCGTCTTGTGACACGATTCCTGTTCGAAAGCGACTTCAGCGATGACCCTCACCTGCCATCCCCCCTGCAGCTTCGTGGGAAAATCCTTCTCAAGAACAAAAAGCTCAAAGCTCATCAAGCACCTGTGGACATACTCAAACAGAAGGTTGGGAAGAAACAAATCCCTCAGACACTTTTTCCAACATATGCATAATTCATTATTCTTTTAAGCTGTCCTGAAAAGCAACTTCCAGTCTGCTTTAGTGCATTGAATATTTATCTCTGATCATTAAAGTGCTGTCAGATATAAATAATAGATACAAGATGGCTCAAATGTACACACCATTTTCAGCTAGCTTCTGAAAGTATGCAACAATTTCTCAGGGGATACCAGTCAGTAGTTTTGTGAATGATGGTGGAGATCATTCTTCATATACATTTTTAACCCTTTCATAGGCTCACCAGCTGGCCCACATGCAGGCCCAGGCAAGCAACGGGTCACCGGGGGTTACTTCACCTAGCAACCACACCAATGAGGAAGAGGAGGAAGAAGAAGACGAATATGATTATGACTATGAGTCTTTATCAGATGGTAAGGAAAACTGCAGTGTAGTTTATTTATTAAAACCAAAACCTTAATACAGAAATAAATTCATCCTGAACACTCGCCCTATTGTAGGTATAAATTCTTACTTTAACTGTTTTTCTTTATATTTCCATCTTTAGATCATTTTCTGTAAATATCTATGTTCGGTTTCTCCTCTTTTTAACACTTGGGTTTCTTTTTTATGTTGACACACTATCCCTTTCCTATGTTTTCTTGCCTGTTGTCAACTTAGCTGATGTCCTCACAGCCTCTACTGCCTCGTATGGCCTTGAAGGTAAACGCACAGCCCTGACGTGCCTCTTTCAGCACCACTCTTTCCCTCTGTTGTTGAGTTGTAGTAGTTATTTTGTTCTTGAGAAACACAGCATCTTAGTAGAATCTTTAGCAGCTTTTTAAATCATAGGTTCAGTTATTGACTTGGCAGTAACAGTATGTTGTAAGCGGACATTATGATTGATTGGCCCAGCTTGACTGGCTACAGAATAATTACAGAGGAAACAGTGACTTGAAAAAGTGCATCGGGGATAACTTCTCTTTTGGCTTCATGCTCTCTGTTTTTCATAGGTATTGTAGAACTGTCCTGTAGCTATCTTGCATGGTAATCAGCACATGTCACCGTTACATCATTACACATCACATAATGAGTTAAACCATTCTCCCTCTGCCACCAGTGGAGCAAACAACCATGTGTGCTATCTCTAACAACAGTGCTGAACTTCACACTGTTCTACTTAAGTTTCTGCTCTGTGTTGCTGTGATTCATCATGCTGTGACATCTGGAGTGTTTGATATAAGTGCACTTCCGTCACGATTGTGTAGTTGTAGAGACACAGATCCTCCCAGCCACCCGGCTTGCCACAGTAATATTTCTTGTGTGTGTATCAGTGGAGGTAATCAAATGTCTGTGCAGCTATCATTGAAACTTTCTTCTATTTAAAATCAAATTGACCTCACTAAGAAAACTGTCTATAGTTACAGAATACTAATATATAATTCATTTTTTTAGTGTGTGTCTTTATTTGGACTGTTTGTGTGAAACTAAACCACCAGTAAACTAGCAGCAGAAAAACACTGCTTAGCTGTAAAGAGGCAATGCAGGATTGGGAACATGGGGCTCACATCTGTATCGACTATTGTTGACATGTGATTAAGACATAAAAATTGGTTGTAGAATTTAAAAAAAAAGAATAAGAAAGTTTTGTTAGTGTACAAAACACTAAACTGTTCGCTAAAATTCTCTTTCTCCCACCAACACATCGTCTCCCTTTCCTCTGTACTGTATTTGTCTGTGACCTCGCCAGTGGCTGGGCAGGCTCATCAGGGAAACAAAACAAAGCCATCTGGTTTCTCAGGCCCTACGCTGCCCCCGCACTAAACAACAGACCAGGGGAATCTACCATGTCCTGGTCCCAGTCTCAGCACTGCCGCTGTCCTAATCCATGCCCTTCACTTGTCTGAGCAACTTACCGGTCATAGACCTTTGTTTTTTTGGTTTAGGAAAAACAATCAAAACAAAAACAAAAAATAATAAGTGAACGTTATAGTGGATTAGTTCAGTTTTCTTGCTTCTAGAAGACTCATCCCTAACTGTTGGCAAGCAATGTATCAAGAGTAAATAAACAACACTCCTCCTCAATGCTGCTTTTAAAGCATACCTGTTTGTCAACTGGCCCCAAAAGTATAAACACTTGACACTTGACCATCGATCTGCCAAATCACAACCACTTCTGCTTGAACAGTAGCTCCTTACAGTCACAGTCTGGTCGGCACCTGGTTCTCTGGCTGCTGTCTTCCGCAATATACACAGGGTCAACTTTGTTGCTAAACCATTTTGAAGGAGGAGATTGCAAATGTCAAGAATAGAACATGTTTTTTATGATAAAAAGCCTACTTTTTTCATGCAGATGGTTTCTTTTTATGGTTTTGGCTGCAATGGATGTGTAGGAGGAATGAAAGCACAGTCAAGAGTTGTTAACTGTTGCTTCTGTTTACAGTGAAGACAATTTGCTTCATCAGTTAGGAGGTGCTTTTGTGGCTTTTGCTTCTAACCTGTTCGTAAGCGCTTTAAAGTGGGAGGAATTTCCCTGTTTACATTTTAAATGACTAATTGTAATTGTTTCCACCTGTGAAAAACATTCTCTCTTGGATTGATTCCGAACAACTGAGTTATGAAAAAAACAAAGGCATGTCTGAAAAATATACATAACTCTTATGATAATATGATAGATTTGGATATGTCTGACAGTAAACATTTATCAGTTTTTATGAATACTTGAATGCATCAAACAGGCTGGGCACCATTGTTGAAAAAAGAAAACAGGATGTAAATGCTAAAGAGTAAGTTATTTTTGTCGATCAGGTTTTAGGCAGAGCCCTGACTTATGACAACGAAAATTAAATTAGCTTCATCTTAATTGCCAGTTTTTCAGAAAATAAATCCTTAATGTACTTTAATGAGATAGTTGACAGGTTCAATTTAAGTCTCATTGAATATAGTCCAATTTGGTCTACAATCTAATTAAATCAAACGGGTTGGAAGCCACTTATGATAATTTCAATCAAACCCCTGCTATGAAACAGATGCAGCAGATTCCCAGACAGTAAACTTCCTTCTACTGGTATATATCTTTCTTATGACATATGCATACAGTAATTCTAGAGTGAATGGGACATCATGAGTCTTTTTTACCCCCAAAATATTGGGTCCTGTCTGCTCTGCTGCTTTACATCAAGATTATAGCTTGAGAATGGTGTGCTGAAAGCTGATCCAGCACACTGAAATATTAATATGATTGCATGCATGGATAAGTCTTAAACCTGTATCAGCATAATTTGGGCAAAACTGCAAAGGAAGGTTTAAACAGGGGTATTTCTGGATGTTAACTTACTTGAAAGCCCTCTGTGGCTGCTGTATGTTAACATTCAAGTCAGTTCCTCTGTGACTACAAGCATCACATTTATATGGCTGGAAAGTATTCAGGTAATCAGTTGGTTATAATAAGATATCAAGTACTTTGTTTGTGTGAATGTGTAGGTCTCATCAGAATCTTTTTCCTCCGCAATCTGTTTTGTTTGCACAGATAACATTCTGGATGACAAGCCAGAGGGTAAGAGCTCAGCAGACAAAGAAGAGCAACCTGTTGATGAAATGCCTAAAAGGATGAAAAAGCCAGACAGCACAGTGCCGAGCAAAGGAAAGGTACACATTTATTAAAGTATTTACACACTCATTTATTGTTCTCAGTGCACCACATAAAGTCATCATAGGCTAAAAAAGAGTAAAAGGTAAAGCCTAACCTGGAGTAGAAGTTGAAACTCACTAAGTTTTTCATTTCTTTATGTGCACCGATAGGTGTTTGACATGGAGCTTGGCGAGGAGTTTTACCTCCCTCAGAACAAGAAGGAGAGCCGACAGATCGCCCAGGAGCTGTCTGACCTTGTCATCTACTGCCAGGCTGTGAAATTTCCTGGTAGGGAATATGTTCTCTTCCCATGTTTCTGTTAAACAGTTTCTTTCCCTTTCTCACTTTCTCATGTGAACTAAAATGCTTTATTCCACGTGCCTTCTCTTTTTGGTACTTTCCTTTTCCTTTTCCCATTAAGCAATAGTTTATATCTTCCATCCCCTTCTTTGACTTTTAAGATGATGTCAGTTTTATTTCTTCTTTTTTTCCCATCTTGTTTGACCATAAAGCACTTCCATGTTCTATTTAAGAGGTCAGGCATTTCCCTATGTTTAGGGGTTTTTGTTTCATTGTAAGGCATTTATTATCTCTCAGTTACACGTCTTTTTCTGTCCCACACAGGACACCCACTAAGACCATAACTCCTCCTCTCCCCATGGGAAAAATGTGGATTCTTAAAAGTGCCTTACTTCTCCGAATAACACAACAAACGTACATTTGTTTTGTGATGTATAGTAATAACACCTTTTGAGGGTGTCCTGGTGGGCTTCTTCAGTTCATAATGAATTGAATGACATATTTACATGTCAAAGTAATGTGAGAACATTCTCACTTCATAATTTCATAATTTTTGACTTAACTTTCTTTGCGCACGCACATAATGTACTTCGTATCATCTGTCTTCATTCCTTGCTACAATTTATCTCAAATAGTTCTCTTCCCTAAAATATCCCCCCTTATCATTTCTTTTCCATCCCTCAAGTGTCCTCTTCACTGTTTGTCTCCTCTTTTCTCTAAATGACATCTGACTTCTGACATTTCCTCCTAAACCCGCCTGTATTTTCCAATGGTATTTTATTTGTTTACAGTCTCCAGAGACTCAGATCTGAGAGAAAGGAAGCAGGGCAATTGACCCACTTCAGACAGGCAGCAGGCTGGCCACTATCACCATCAAGTGTCTAGAATGTCCTCAGGTGGCCATGCCACTTGTTAAGTTGGTGCACAAATAATAAGATTATCACCTTTAAAATGCAGGAAATATCTTTCCTCTCAAATGTCTTTTAGAAGAGCCAAGAGGAGAGTTGTGTCCGACTCCAGAAAACTCTTAAATGTATTGCAGGCAACATTTCATCTTTAAAAGATCATGAAATGTTATTATTGTTCACTACTATTATTGAAAATATAAAATAGAGGAACAACACATTAAAATTAGTATAGATTAAGCATTGCTATTTGACATGGCTACCATAGCTTAGTTGTTTCCAGTTTGTCTATTTGTCTGAATAACTGTCCGCTTCTTTTTTGTGGGAACACAGGCTTGTCTACACTTTCTCCGGCCGGCTCTGGTCGAGCAAAGGATCGAGGAAAAAGCAGGAAGTCCATATTTGGCACAGCTCCTTCTCGTTGCAGCACAACAGGGGAGGTCATGACCCAGAGCCGCACTACTGGGAAAGGTAAGCCAAGCTAAGAGGTGCTGATTCCTGATATGTCAGGGAAAAAAAACATGAATATCCTTTTCATGGACTGGAAACCTGTTCTGGGTGGGACGATTTTAGGAATAACTGCTGTTAATGCAGTTATACTGGTAGGTTCAGAGGACCACATCACTGTTAGTAAGAGGCTGACTGAGAACTGTTTTCAGGGTCTTAAAATGTCTCAACATCCCTCCCATAGGTGCTTCGGAGCGACTCAGCTGGGAGGAGACGCAAGCATCCCCGATCCTTAGCACCCCCACGTCGCTCAGCTCCATCATCCGCACTCCAAAGTGCTACCACATCTCATCGGTCAATGAGAACGCAGCCAAGCGGCTGTGCCGCCGCTACTCTCAGAAGCTGATACAGCACACGGTGTGCCAGCTACTCAGGACGTACCCAGCAGCCACCAGGATCGACTCCACAAACCCCAACCCTCTGCTTTTCTGGCTGCATGGAATCCAGCTGGTGGCTCTTAACTATCAGACTGATGGTGAGAGCGGTGTGGTGTGGTGTTTCAGTAAAACCTCAAAAGGATTCCCCTTCATCCATTTGTCTTTGTGAAATTATCCCGAGGCAGCTTGGACAAAATTCTAGATTTGTATGACGCCATAAAAGCCCTTAAATTCTGTTGTCTCCCTCTACATCTTTAATTGTTTCTCTCAATATGAAATTAAAGTTGGCCAACTGTGTGCAAGAACAAATGTAAACACTCCTAGACTTGTTTTTATTGTTAAAAGATTACTCGATCTAAAGATTTTAAAGGATTTATCGAGATGTCTTAAAATGATTATCAGGATGTCTTCAGCTATCTGTTCCTGTAGTGGGTGGTTTCTTGTAAAGCTTACAAAGGGCATTGTTGTGTTCTCCTGCTCCAAAAGGTCTGTTTTTATTGATATGTTCGCCTCCCTGTTTTACCTCTACTCTTTCCAGACCTGCCAATGCAGCTGAACACAGCACTGTTTGAGGCCAATGGTGGCTGCGGCTACGTGCTGAAGCCTGCGGTGCTTTGGGATCGCTGCTGTCCTCTTTATCAGCAACTCTGTCCGATGGAGAGGGACTTTGAGAAAATGAGCCCTGCTGCCTACTCCTTCACTGTGAGTAAGAATGATCATTTAAGCCAAGTGGAACATCACTTAGAATGACGACCGCATCATTTTCCATTTTCTTGCTGGATTTTTGTCCTCCCTCCTCAGTGCTTTGGAGTGGGATGCTGATGTAAAATCTATTTGCAGTGCTATACATGTAAACAGAAGAGAGGAAAATAAAAATCACCTACAATTTGTACATTTGAGACAGTCTGTGATGTACATGAAGCAACGTTTCCTCACATCAGCTCACATTATGTCACAGTGACTCTTTGGCTTCTCTGGCTGAATTGTTATTTATGAGATAAAGATAGGATAAGCTTGATTTAGTGACTGTTAAAGAGTTTAAACCAAACTGCAAGCTTTGTCCATACACAGTGTGACTCTAAAACTAGTCTTTGTCTTTCCACAGATTGTATCTGGTCAGAATGTTTGTCCGGGGAACAGCTCTGGCAGCCCGTGCATCGAGCTGGACCTTCTGGGCATGTCCGTCGACAGCTGCCACTTCCGTACCAAACCAATTCACCGCAACACCCTCAACCCCATGTGGAGTGAGCACTTTCAGTTTACCGTGCATTTCGAAGACATGTGTTTCCTACGACTTGCAGTGGTGGAGAACAACAGCTCGCAGACCACTGCTCAGAGAACCCTGCCTCTGAAAGCTCTCAAACCAGGTGGGAGTCCCAGATACTGTACAGCACCGAGATGCAGATTAGACGGATTTGAAAGGTTCCATTCCCATTGTTGCTTTGGTTTGTTACAGGTTACAGGCATGTTCAGCTGAGAACGCAGCACAATGAGCCTCTTGAAGTTTCAAGCTTGTTGATCTACAGCCGCAGAACAGAGGAAGGTCCCACGGGGGGCGCCACTCCCTCGTCTCTGGTAAGACCCACTCAGGTCTGAGATAACAGATCAAACCAGGTCTCGCAGGTTAAGTGCGCTTATTAGACTTCAAAGTCTTGGTAGTGACAAATGCTCATTAAAATTTGAAATGTTAGAGATCCAAACATGGTCAAAGACATCCTGCTGGCACAGACGGCAGCAATAAAAGAACCTTCATTGTTGCTTTATCATGCTCTCTGAGGAGAATGAAAGAGATTATCTAATAAAGCAGAACTGTCGTGTCAGGATGTTTCATAACAACCTGCTGCTTGTTGTGTCTCCTGCTCCGTTCACAGCTGTTCAGCTCAGAGGAGAGGCATGTTTCCCAGCAGCATAGGGTGACGGTGCATGGAGCCCCTGGCCCTGAGCCCTTCACAGTTTTCTGTATCACAGAGCAGTCTAGTGCCAAGCAGCTGTTGGACATGGTTTGTTTAATAAGTCCGAGCTGCAGCCCAATCCCTATTTGTCATGTCACCCTATAATTGACAGACCTTTGTCTTTCTCCCCCACAGGTAGTTGCATCAGTAGGAAACCCATCAGAGTACTTTCTGTGTGAGGAGAAGCTTCCTCTGTTGAAGGAGCGCAGTGAGGTGAAGCGGTGCGCTCAGTATCGATCCCTAGCACCGGAGGAAGAGGTGGTCCGGCTCGTCTGTAGCTGGGACACAGAGGAGGGCTATGTGGGGAGGATCTGCCTCAAAACTAGAGAGGAGGCACAGGTACAAAAACAAGCTCCTGCATATGCAGGAAATACTCCCTCAGAGGGAGTGAATGGCACTTGCTTTTAGTTATGTATTTTTGTTCTGGTGATGCTGATGGGAAGTACTCTGGCGCCCTCTTGTGCTTGCTAAGACAAATCCAGTTTGTTGCTTCACTGTTAAATTTATGGTTTTATTATTCCAGAGTTTGAATGAAACGGTTCTGGAAAGAGAAGAGGACGTGTTTGTGGGAGGGAAAGAAGGAGGAACAGGAGGATGCGGAGAGGACGATATGTTCTTTGTTCAGGTCCATGAAGTTTCACCAGAACAGCCTCACACTGTGATAAAGGCCCCTCGGTACAGCACTGCTCAGGACATCATACAACAGGTGATTCACAGAAAAGTCTTCAAAGATAGTCTTCAAACCAGCACCTGAACAAAAAATACTTACAAGCATTTTGCTATTTGATTCTGATTTCTGCTTTATTCTCTTGTGACCAGACACTAACAAAGGCAAAGTATTCCTACAGTATCCCGTCTAATCCCAATCCTGGTGACTATGTGTTGATGGAGGAAGTGACCAAAGATGCCGGCTCTAAAAAGTCCTCCACCACCAAACCCCTTCAGCGGGTGCTGTTGGACCATGAGTGTGTGTACCAAGCTCAGAACCGCTGGCGAGGCGTGGGAAAGTTCATTCTTAAACTCAAAGAGCAGGTAGCTCCAAACATGATCACTCACCGGATTAGAGACATTTTAATGATTGTTTTCAGTGTTGTATTTGATGTGTATGAAGTGTCTTCACTAACTTTCAGAGGTCATTTTTGTCTTTACCCCTCTCTGCTTGTGTTGTAGCTTTGCATGTCAGAAGGCTGTTCTGGACTGCTCCCTGTGCGTTTAACCATTGCTCCTCTGCTCGAACAAAAAGCGCAAGATGCAAATCCAAGTAGACAGTTTTGTGTGCGCTAAGATGCAGCTGCATTCTCACCATTGTTTTCACCACCAGGCCTTCTGTGTTCAACCTGTTGCTGCTTTTATTTTTAACAGCTTGTGTTAGAAATTCTCTTTTCTGTCATATTTCTGTCATTTTTCATGGATTTTTGAGCCTGTAACTTTTTAATTCTGCTAGTTCTTTATTTACCCTTTGTCTTATTGTGTTTAAAAGTATTTGCTTAAAAAGAATGTGCTGAAATACTTTTTGCCTTGCTGAATAAAGGTTTACTGATATTTAAAGTTATTTTTATTCAATGTGAGTTTGTCAGTAATGGTAGTACAGGCTACTATGTCATATTACAAACTCAAGGAAAAAGAAAAGAATGAAGGAACATAAGCATACAAAATATTTAACAGTGTTTTTAAGTTTGTTATTTTCCGCATTACTCAAAATTTTAAATCTGAAAACACAGTGGTGCTTGAACATGAACTATTTCTGCTTCCAGGTTGTGCGGGAGGACAAAAAGAAAGTCATGTCCTTTGCTAGCGAGCTGAAGAAGCTGACCAGTCGCAGCCGCAGCATGACGACTGGCATTGGAATGGACGGCCCTGCCCAGAGTAAGGACGATAGAGCTGCATGCTGTGTGGCTCTGACAGAGCTCCAGGAGTGAGGCTCAAACTTGGCCTGTTGTCTGTGCATGGAAAGGCAATAGAGGTACTGTATACTGTCTCTAACCTCTAACATGTATAGAGAGAACTCAATATAAGCAGAAAATATGCAGATATGGAAATGTTATTACTAATCTTGCTTGTAGTTTCCCCATAAATGAAAATGGTGGAAAAGGGCATTGTTGTGATTTGTTGTGTGATGGAGGTTCATGTGTAGTAGGATGTGTCTTTTAACACTAGAAATCCATTACAGCCAAAACATTATTGACAGTTTAAACATGATCTGAAAACATACTAAATCACAAACCTGGAGAGTAAAACCAAATGTGAAGCAGAAACATGTCTGCTTGATATTGTTTTAGTGACCTGTGTTTACAGCACTATTTGCATTTTATTCAAAATCAGTTTTTTAATAATGGATTTCATTCATTCATTCATCTGTAAAAATGTATCCTTATATGTACGTAAAAGACGTACATATTTGCACTGTGACAACATTACCTCTGTTATAGTCATTAAGCAAAGTATTAGTTTATTTTTAGGGCGTCAAAATGTTTCCTTGGCCCAGATTTTCTTCTGAATGCTAAAATTTTAAAAACGTTTTCGCCTGCAGGGTATCTGTCTGCAGCCGCAGGTCTGAAGGCGTGGGCGGGGGCTGAAAGGACCCTACAGGTCTCCTCCCCCTCACCTTCCTCCTCCATTATGGAGCAGGTCCAACCTCTTTACCTTCCCACCTCTTCTCTAACCCCCTTAGTCTGGAAATTTCACCTCCTCAGAAACTGGAAGATCCACAAATGAGATCCAGGATGACAGAAATTCACTGACCACTTCTAAACTCGGAGGGTTCCCCTTTTCGACTGGAGGCAAAGTGTTTCCATAAGGGTATGAGAAATTGTGGACTTCTGCTCCTCTCACGATCTTATTGGGTTTGGATCCTGATCGTGTTAGTTCACAAGTAAATGACAGGTAAGGGGTTGACTGTCCAGCACCATGGCTTGGTTTAGTGATACAAGGGAGCTTGGGAATCAGACCCAGGATCAGCGGTGAGATCATGTGGGCATGTTGATCAAGATCTTCTTAGTTTATTGCCTGTGGCTCCACTTGGGTCCAGAGCACCAGGGGCAGTTGTTGTTACTCAAGTCTTCAGGGACATCAAATAGCACTAAATTGTTCCTCCTGTTTCTTTAAAACAGAAGAAAATATCTAACTTTCCCTGAGTCACATTCAAAGTAAAGGTTTGAGTTTGCTTTATGTGCCAGTTCTTTTTTTTATGTCATCTTATTTGTTTTCAATCACCCAGATGAGCTGCTAAACAGACCTTTGGATTAGGTGACCACTTTTGGAGAGTTAAATGTCTTTTCTTTTTAATGAAAGTTCAAATATGGCTCCAAATGATAATAGTGTTTCAAACACATGGTACCCTCTCCTCACTTTCTCTGGGAGTCTTTCATTTTCTGCATTTAGGGCATGACTAATGGAGCATCTTATCATCACAGCATCTCTGTGTGAAGAAGCTGTGTTGATCCGCACGTGTTGAGTGGCCATCGCTCGGAAATTTGTGGCATTTAGGCTCGCTCGTGATATCGTTTAGTCCACGGTTGTGGAATGTTTGAGCCATCAGCTTTGTCAAAAAAAACTATAATCGAAGCCTGTGTTTCTGGGTTTCCAGCGGAACCTGTGGGTCTCTGGTCAATGTTTGAACATAGCTCTTAGTCTGTGCCCCCCTCATTTAATATACAACCAAAAAACAAAAAAAAGTAGAGCTGAGCAGTACCGTGTACTGGGATAGCAGCATTTTCTTGTCAGAAAAGTATAAGTCGTACTTCGGCTGTCCTTGTAAATTTAGAAAACGCATTTTTCTGCTTGACAGAATTGAGCATCTGGCAGTTGTAGGGAGATCAGCGTGGATAAACTGAAGGAGAGTGTGAGTGGTAGGTGGTAGAGGACATTGTGAAGGAGGCTGACCAGCGGACTTGTTTGGTTCTGCTCTGGCTGTTCCAGTTTGGCAGGCACACGAGGCAGAGCAGTGGCCTACTGACACAAACGGGCCCTTTATGAAAATTTCACACTGTTTTTGAAAGCTTTGCTCAGTTTACCATCATTGCACTAAAAGTGACAAAACAAAGGCAGCATTTTAATGCGCAATACACACCTATGGAAACGCCTCCAATCACAGTGGCGCCACTTTGCTGGAAAATGTTGCAACACTGCCTCAAATTTGTTCAAATTTTTAAGTTGTCTTTAAACACGATTGGCTCTCTTCCACAAAGTTTCTTCGTGCTGTCACAACAGATTTAAAATATTCCACTAAAGGCATCTTCTGTGGGTTAAAACAGAACGTAATAATTCTAATTCTAAACATTTTTATTAGATGATAAAAACATGGGGGGCCAGCACAGAAATTTCCTTAAATCTGAGCAGAAAACTGATTCCAGGCTTCTTACCAGACCTGATGGGTAAATCAGCTTAAGTAAACCTACAATTTAATCCTTGATTCAGCTGCAAAAGGGGTGATTTCAGCTCTGCTATCCTTTGTGGAAACACTGTGATGCTCTCAGTATTTTGCACATTTTGTTTTTTGCTGTCGTGTTGAGTTAATTTGTGTTCTTGTTGTTGAGTGGTCAGAATGTCTGTTATGACCATCTCATTTGTAACTTTTAATTTCAGCCCAGTTGTGGAATAATTATTTTGCAGGTGAGCTGTTTGTAGCAGTGTGTCGTCCAAGCCCGAGTTTTAAAGTACTTGACACAAAAATATAATGAATTACATTTCACTTTAACCCATTAGCTGTGGATTACTACTCTGTGTAATGACAGCAGTATTTTTACACACGTGGAACACGGTTATTGATTGCTTGATGGTGATCGTATTTTTAATTTTATTTTTAAAGTTTTCAAAATGTTCTTTATTTATCAGTCAGAATGTAAAACGCAACCAACTGGGGCTACTTTTCCCCTTTATCTGCTTTCATCAGTGACATTTCCATATTAGATAAATTACTTACGGTGTTCCTTATGAATATTGTTGTAGTTTTGTTTAGAATTTGTGTATTTAGTACATTAGATTTTGTGAAACCCAACTTCAAGGAAAAGCTTTTGGTCAGTGATCGGGAAAGAACTTCAGATGTATTTACTTTTAAGCTCTCAGCTGCCTGACTGCAGTATGAATCATCTGTTCTTCTATTTTTTTTCTGTAACGGATTGCTTAAAATCCTCCCAGTGAGCCTCTCAATTGACATGTTTTAAACAAATTCCTACTGAATTAAATTTATTAGGAAGATGTACATTTTAATCCACATTCCAATGATTTATTCAGGATACTGATATTAAGGAAAATATGGCCAAAATCCCCAGACATTTTTTTTCTTTTGAATAAATCAACCTCCCAAGTAATGAGTTTGAATATTTGTGCAATATTGAAGTTGTGTCACTTCAACTCTTCAATAGTCTGCAAATTACTGACGTTTTCCGCTTTTGGTTTTAAACTGTTGGCCTTGACTTGTTGTTTCAATTTGTCAGAATCAATATCATTCATGCTCAGAGATTATCATCTGCTGGTGGTGAGGTAGTGGGGAGCTCCGGTCCCTGAGGCTTATTGTAATTAAGGTAGATGAGACCCAGAAACCACAACTTCATGTCAGTGATAATGAAGCTGTAATCCTTTTATCCTGAAGGGCTTCTGTTATTATTATGGATTAGAGTTGAAACACGGAGAAATGCCATTATGTCAAGCAAAAGATAATTCTTCATTAAATGGTCATTACCCACAGCTCCCCTGTCTGGATGAAAGCGATAACAGCTCCTGTAGGTGTGTGAAATCCACACTGCAGGAAGTTTCTATTAAACTGTAAATCTGTGAGCAATCTGCTTCATCACACCACCATGTCTTGTTTTCCTTCTACTTAAACTGTAGACCTCATTTCTGAATGTAACATTTCTTACAACCTGAGACGACTGTGTGTTTGGACGTTATTTATTTCAATGTGAAGCCCTGGTTGGCAGTTATCTTTTTCGTCTGTTTAAGTTCCTGTAAGTAGTTTTAAGTGTTTTTATTTATTTCAGTATGAGAAAGGGTGAATCCTACTGCCCTGATTTTACTCAACTTATTTAGAAATGTAAAGAAATATTTTACTTTATGTGTAAAATATTGTGTAGTATTCATACTTGTGGCATATTATCCTGCAATAAACAGCACCATTTAAACTCTTTAGCTGTTCATCAAATGTGGAGAAACTTAGGCTGTTTTGCATTTTGTTGTTAGAATTATATCCACTGTATGACTTGTTTGCCAACAGTCAGCTGTTGCACCTTTAGCACTGTTTGCAGAAGAAGTCCATTACTGCCTGTAACATCTGTAAGACGTGACTGTTAAGTAAACATCTGTCTATTTACTTGAATTTTGACATGAATGATAACTGGTGGAATTGTCATATAGCAGGATCACAATAAAATATAGAAAGGTTTAACCATGCCGCGTATCAGCGTGTTTCTTTGTGAGCTATCGTCATTTTGTGAGAACAACAAAACCAAAGTATTTATTATTAAGTTTGAATTACTTAAAACAGTTAATTAAAACTGAAAGAGCGTTGAATGTAGGGAACTTGTTTAATGGCAGAACAAATGTAATCATTTAGCTTTTAGCATTCAAGTACCTGAAACTAATTTTTACACAGATGAACTCTTTCATTAAAAATGTCCTGATATATATTAAGAAATGGCACAAATGGATTTGACTTCTGTACTTGAATATATCTAAAAAGTCCTAATTTGTCTTCAGTGAACTTGTTTTAATCCACTTTCACAAGGAAATGTCATGCTGCTCAATGCTATCAGGCAGTTTGTTGTTTTTACTTTGACATGAGTTTTATTCTTCAACAAAAATGATGGGTAACTGACACCCACCATGGGAACAGCATGTGATGCTTTACTTGTTGACAGGTGTTTCCTGCTAACAGTGGCAACAAAAAAAAAATCAAGATGTGGAATCAATTTATGGAAAACAGCTACTTTTAATACTACGAAAAAATTTAGTATTGAAGAACCTTGTTTTTTGCACCATTGTAAGATGGCCTTGGTGCTTACCGTGATTTACATCAGCCTAAAACCTTGCATTTATGAAAGCGTGAATAATTTACTTTTTGGGTGAAACATCGTTTTTCAAACATGAGCCCAGCAGCTAATCAAAAATATGTTGCAGTGCTTTATGAGGCGAGCTCAGTCTGCCTCATTCTCTAGTGGAGGCAGGAAGCAGTGACATAATCAGTTCATTTGGCTGAATCAATAAGAACTGCTGAGACGTGCCCGGCAATCCAGAAAGAGTTTAAAATATTACTTTGTGGCTCAGTCCGCTAATTCTGTTAAATGAGGAGCACTTCATTTCAAATATAACCAATGATACAGCAGTCCCTTATGCAAAATTATGCAGTCATCAAATCAAATGACCAGTTTTAGAACCTGGTAATTCTGCAGGTTAATGATCCTTCTTTCACAAGACTTTAAATTAAACAATTTACTGTAATGTGTTTCAAAATTAAAAGTCCCCCCCACATATATACTGATGAACTTTTGATGCGGAGATGTGCTCTGTTAAGTGGATCCTTCAGGGAATTTAAATGAAAAAATTTCTTGTGCACAGGATCTGTTTAAATAAAACTTAATGCAATTAACTGTTAAAACTTTAGAAGCGGCAGACTCACAAGCCTCCAGCTGAGCATCTTGGTTTTGGAGCTCTCCCTGTGGATAAAAGGGTAACATCACCATAGCTGCAGGTCACAGGAGGGGGGAGAGAGCAGTTCCTATTACCCAGACCTCTTTAAATCTTTGTATGTATCCTGGCGGAATTCCTCTGTTCTTCTTAGTGGACTTGAATGATCGTGTGTGCTACAGCGGACTGACCCAAGAAGGCTGTGAATGGATGAGGCTGTGAACGGATCTGAATCTGAATGGTGTGTTGTTATCTGACTCAGATCCTTTGGCCATTCCAAACACCGTGTTCCAGTTTGAGGTGGTCTGTAACTCTACCTGCGAGCAGGCTTCCTTCGGCCAAAGGTTGATCAAAAACATTGAAGAGGTGTCACCAGACCTGAGCCTGTGTCTTGGAGACCCTTCTTGAGTGAAGAGTGGGGGGTTCCTTTCCACAAGAACTTGTTCTCACACTATCTTACATACTTGGGATTTGAAACCTCAGTGGACCATATTCAGAATTTCCATTACAGATGTGGCTTGTTGAGCATTAACAGCACCTTTTTCTTACAGAAAAATAGACAATGAAATCCAAACTCCACATATCGGACCCTCATGTTTAACTGTTTCATATGTTTAACTATTTGATTTTTAGTAGTTTGGGTTGAATTATTGGTCTTGAGAAAATATAATATATAAAAGTTAACTTTTTTTCTCGAATTTAGTCAATCCCTTGAGATTCATGAAGTGCTTTATAAGGGCAGTCCCACTTCAAAAAGAGCAGCAGCGTTTGCGAAATGAAATTCATGATTCCCAGCTTCCTCAGATGAAACTTTATTTGGATTGGATCTGCCAAGGAACTTGACAAGAATAAAAAGGCAAGTGTGAATAGTACAAGACTCAATGAAACATGTCAGGCAAATTTGAGATGAGTTGCGCCAGTTGCCATAATACTGAATGAAACAAGCTCAGTTCCATACAGACACCAGTCGCTTAAAGGGCCATAAAAAAGTTCTTCATCAACTTTTCCCTCTCTCTCGAAGTAGAAATACGGCAAGTCTTTTTCCTTTTCTGAATGTGCTGCTGCTCTGAGATTAGTTGGGCTGTAATAATGCACAGATTGGAGTATTAACATTACAAAACAGAGATTTTTTTAAGATTAAACTGGTCAATTATTGATTAAATGCCAAGAATCTTACACTTTAAGTCTTTTCATAATTTGTGTTGGAAATTGAATCAAATTTGATGAACTGTTCTGATCATCATTCCATTCATTATCGTAACCGCTTATTCCCTAATGGGGTCGCGGGGGGAACTGGAGCCTGTCCCAGTGGTCAGTGGGCGAGAGGCGGGGTACACACTGGACGGTCCGCCAGTCCATCGCAGAGCCACCAATCAGATCATTTGATTAAATCGAACTTCAGTGTGCAAATCAGTTCTGCAAGAAATTAACAGAAATAATTTCCAAATGATTCAACGATCTTGGCAATAAGGGGCAATCACAGTGGCATTGAGCACAGTCAGAGCTTGGTCATGGGTATGTGGAGGCTGTTCCACGGCCCCATCCACAGCTCTTCCTCATCCGACTGTGTCCTGTCACTCTGGCACTCCAGCGGCTCTCTGCCAACCACCTCGGTGCTGCTGTCGTCGATCCTCGACTCGCTCTCTCCTTTCAACTCATCGCTCTCTTCTGTGCTCTCTCCTCGCTCCATGGTGTTGCAAGCTGCCCTGAGAAGGTCAGGCTTGGACGCTGAGCCTTCCGGGCCCGCGATGCTGTTGCTGGTTGACCCCAAAGACGCGCTGGATTGTCGAGAATTTAAGACATCGGACATTTTGTTGTTGTCAGAGTTACAGAAAGAGGAAGCAGCTGTCATGGAGTTGACCTTTCTGAAACTTTGGAAGGTGTGCAACGTGCTGGATCCAGCTTCCACTGTCTTTCTGGGGCAGCTCAGGGGGGCTCTCTCCTCCAGCGTGGCTGCCATTTTGTCCAGTTTTTTAAAGTGCTTGGCCAGCCGAGAGCTGAAGACGGGAGAGCTCAGTTTGGTGTTGTTGTTTGAGGTGGTTGTGGGCCCTGTCGTGTTCACCGATCGGCGTGTGCGAATGATGGAGCCGTTCTGGGCCACATAGATGCTTCCATTAACGTTAACTTGGCTGTTGTGCTTGGCGGGTATGCGGCTGCGCTGGCTGTCCTGCGCGCTGTCCTCACCGGTGGAGCTGGTCTCGTATTCTCGGTCAAGCACCAACTTGATCCGGCGCTTCTTACTTACCTGCTGGGGGGAAAAAGCAAAAATCACAAGGCATCAGACCATAGTTCACTTTTCAATCTATGGAAATGCAAGACATAGATTCACAAAGCAGTCAAAAATAAATGCAGATATCAGTCCATTAAATATGAATTGGTATAAATGTTGATCGATGGGAAAAGCTGGGGAATAAAACAGCATTAAAAAATGCTTGAGGCGCTTAAAATCTGCGCAATCAAATATTCTTTAAAGAGGCGGAAAAGAAAAACTCAAGTTTATAACGTGGAAATAGATTTTCACTGGAACTAAATGATTTGCAAATACACTTAAGTGCTAATTTGCATATTTAACAAAAAGGACTGTAAAAACTTTTACAGGAATTATTAATTTTTGTCAATTTGTGATTCTAAAACATGTCAATGCCAGGATTTTGACATTTAAAAGCCACCCTGTTTCTTCTTTGTTTGGCAGGGTGAAAAATTCTAACTAGCACAACATTAATGTTTGTTGTTCTATGACCATTTATTGTCATGAAATGTTTGTCTTGAAAAATTAGGACAATGTACATGGGAAGATTAGCCCTTTCTGTAAACAAAGTAATTTCACATCTGCTGTGTTTTGCGCCCTTCATCACCAATTTAAAGCAGTCTTTGAATCTAAAACGCATAATTTTATTAAAAAACTCAAAGGAAAAGCCTTCGAGTATATACTGTAACTGGACACAACAAGACAGTTGTGATATAGCCGCTATACTGCTATCACGCAATTTAACCCTGACAGTTTTTTTCCCCCTAACCTTGATTTTATAGACAAAATAAAATGTTTGTTTTTTTCTACAGTGACAGCATCTTTCCACTCTGCAGATAACAGGTGCGGGGAGAGCTGATCCCCAGAGAATGGCACACACAGGTAGATGCGACAAATGGAGAGGCGCTCAAACAGTCAGAGGTCAGTGAATGGCAATATTTGAACTGCCGCAGAGACAAATCAGATGGCAGGAAAGCTTTTTTTCAAAAGTGGAACAAGAGAAATCAGTTCAGGACACAAAACTGAGAATGTTAACCTGAGAGAGTAAAGAGAGAAAGAAGGTTGGAAAAGGGGGATTAAAGATATAACCGAAGACGAAAAGACTCTGATAGGGGAGCAGTCAACATGCCAGCAAATTAAACTCTTGTGAAAATAAATCACAGCAAACAGAGAGGAAATAGGCCGACGTTTGTAATAGATTCCACTCAGATAATGACTGCACACCCAATCCAGGCATTCTCACCAACATCTTACTTATTGGCAAAGGTTTTAATCTTAGATGGGGGCTGAGGACTCATCAGGATTTCAATCAGCCGACTCATTTCCTCAATTCCCCCTGTATTTCTTCATCTTCCTGATCTTCGTCTTCTTTCCAGCTGTGGGTGTTGCTTTTCTCATCCTCGTCAGTGTCCGCCATGATGGGCGACAAATCATCCGGGGTGTTCATCACCCCAGAGCTTTTTGCTGTGCTTTTCCTCTCCTCTTCCTCGCTTTCCTCTTCGCTCTCTATCTCTGATGTTTCATGAGAGGAGCTCGGTTGTCTAATCATGGCCGAGGATTTGGGCCTTGACCTGGAAACTGTGGAACCTGAGTGTCGGGAGCCGCTTTTTGAGTGGCTGCCCCAACTGCTGCTGCTTTTATGGCTAAACCTGTGTTTACTCCGAGAGTTATGACTGCTAATTGTTGAGCCTCTTCTGTTTAATTCAGCCGCCTCATCTTCAGTCTCTGCCCCTGACTCGCCATCAGACTCAGAGCCCTGTTCACTCTCTGTTCCAGAGTCAGACTCATTTGTTTCAGTTTCTGCTGCAACAGATAGGGTCGGGCTGCTCCTGTTAGAAACACTAAGTTCTGATGGAGATTCTTTGCTGCCACTTCCTATTTCTGAATCACTTTGCTCAGTCACACTGTCACTAATCTCCCCTCCTACGCCCCACCTCGTGCCTTGATCTCCTCTGGCAGACACCGATGCAGAAACACTCATATCTCCTACGGAGCGGTACATCTTCCTGCTGTTCTCCTTTCCACTGTCCCAGCATTTACAATTGCTCCTCTGTTCATCTCCCACCCTCGCAGGTCCCTGGAGCCTTCTGGCTAAGGAGATAAGACTGAGGGCTTCGCTCAGCTTTTGTTTCACTGGAGGGGGTTTACTTGCTTCAACTGATGTTTGGAAATAACTCCCATCAATGATCATGCCGCTATCCAGACTGAAATACTGTCCAGTGAAGCCAGGGAGCTTTCCCCTGTGCTCTGGCCCGACGCCTCCTCCAGCTAAATTTCTCATCCCATTATTCATTATGCTGCCTCTGCCACCCCTTCCCCATGTCTCCAATTCTCCTCTTCCTCGCCCTACCCCCCTTCTTTCTACTGCCTCATCTCTCATTCCATTTTCATTTCCTCTGTTTGCTGGCTCCCCTGCCCCCAGCCCCATATTTGATCCCTCTGCTCTTCTTCCTGCCAGTGCACTCCTCTCTTCCATTGGTCCGACTCTGGCTTTGCTCCATGGTGGGTGGACGGCAGGGCGCTGAGCTGATGTTTTACCAGTCGGGGACAGCGGAGTACTCATTCCCATTATGGCCTTCAACCTGGCAACTGCATTTGAGCCCTTAGGTTTAGTTGGAATGCCTTCTTGTGTTTTGTCACCCCCGGCTGTGGAAGGCCCCGGGGCCTTGGTCAGAGGTGCAACAGGCGGAGGATGGGGTTTGTTGGAGGCAGGGTGTGGGGCTGATCTGTCTCCTTGAAACTGTCTCCTCACCTGTTGTCATGACAATATACAAAAGTTTTATCTTTCAAAAGGTACTGCGTTTGCTTAGCGGTAAGTGAGGAGGAATATGACCTTCTGTTGTCAAGTTACATTTCAAAGAGAAGATTATCTCATGATAATACGGACAGTCCACTACATGGGAACACAGATTACAAATACAAAGCATAATATGTCAATTTTGATATTTTTACTCAAAGAAATATGGTCTCCCTTCCTTTCAAAGTCTGACAGAGAAGTTCAGATTTGCAACAGCATGAGGCCGTTATTCACATTGAAAATACTAATGAGACAATAGAATAATGTCGAGAAAAACACTAAAATCAACCTGTTTGGTCGAAATGTGCTGAAAATGTCCTCATTCATTCTTACCAGCTGGTATCCATTTCAGTGTCTGTCTCCATTGTGTATTTTTATTTTGTTTTTATTGGACTTCTTTACAGTGTGTAAGGTTGCACACTAAGTGATGAAATTGTACCACCTAGTCACCAGAGTATTCAGTTTTTCTCTGCAGCAGTTGCTCTTGGCAAAATAGTTTGGCAAACCTTTGTTCTTAGAACTCGTGTGTAGGATGAAGATCATCACTATGCCAGATTGAAACATAAGGAGCATTTAAGCCAACAACACACACATCTTACATTTCTACAGGTCGTCAGCCTTATGTCTTTTGCATTTACATCTCAGTTTATTGTACAGCATGAGCCTCATCCTCTTTACAGACTTTACAGAGTGGTCAGATCTGTCTGTTGTGTCAACTCAAAACCTTTTTGGTTTAAATGTTGAGTTCAGAAATAGTGAAACAGTTTTTTGTTGTTGACGGTGGAGTGGAACATGGTCCCCAACAAAGGACCATTCTTTCGGAAAAATTTTCCTGAATTCAAAAGGTAAACAAGTATTACCTAGGACTAATTTGCCCGGGATTTTTCTCAGGTAACTAAAACGTTGTTCTGTTTAATTTCAACTTGACTGAAAAGATGGAAGCCACTGTCCTCTGTGTGAGAGCTGTGGTCCTATGTCCAGGCAGCTCTGAGAGACATGAAGAGCAAAAAGGCACAACTAGGAAGGCCAGAGACTAGTTTTGTCTGAGTTCAACCCTCAATAAAAGCCTCCATCTAAAAACCCTTTTTATACTAATGTTGGCATTTTCTTTCAATCTAAAAATGGTGCATATATCTATATTAATCTCGTCAACTTTCAGAGTATGTATTATACTTCCATACATGTATCAGTTATAAACTAGGTTGTCACCCACTCTTGTTGTGTGTTTACCTCTCCATCAGACTCCTGAGGGCTGTAGTAGTAGCTACCATCGTCATCAACAATCACTTCTCCATATTCATCATAGAGACCGGCGGGTGAGATCAGCTTTCTGCGACTTCCATACTGAGGAAGTTCATACCTGGACAGACCAAGAGAAGGAGGCAAAACATGAACAGAGAAAGAAGTTACAGGTGCATCAGAGTTTTATACCCAGAAACTTTTTAAGTTATCCTCATAGTTTTGTTAGAAATGAATTGAAGCTGTGTTATTATACAATCGCAGCCAATCAGCAGTAAAGTCAGGAAAGAGAGCTGCTCACAAACAAAGCTGTGCACTTCCTCACCCGCAGCCACTTATCCAAGTAATAAACCACAGTGCAACAATGTGGCCTAGTCCAATGATAAGCACTACCTAATGACTTTCTTGAACGAAGCTGCCCTAATCACAAAAGGAGCATTTTGTTGCCAGGAGACATTCAGTTTGCAGAAAACACTGGAATCGATTTTCCTCCCTTTTGTCTCTCCTAGTTGCCTGTTGCCGGGAGCTGTGCCCAACTTCACCTGCCAAGAAAACTGTTGTGTATCCCAGCTTGGGCTCTGTGCCCTGCAGCCAGCAACTCAGACACAGCCAATGTCCCCCCTAAAAAGGCCTCTTCTCAAATGATTTCCTGAAACAATATGTCCCAGTGTGATTAAAGTTCACAATCTGATGCGAGTCCCATACTGGAGTTATACAGAGAGGTTGCCTTGAATAATTATGTTGCCTAGAGCCAGTTAGAGGGACAAGTCGCACTTCGATTATATTATGGAGCCAAGTAATAAACAAATGGATGGGGAACATGGATAAAAGATGGATGAGGGTTACAGGAAAGGTATGCAGAGAAAGGATGCAAAGAAGCGAGAGAGACCAGGTTATATTCAGGTGTCCCATTCATAGATCTTACAGTGCGACCTCTGCAAACTAATGTGGTGAGAGGTTTTCTGTTTTTAACCTGCAAAGTCAAAGTGCAGCCCCAATGAAATTACACTTATTCAACCAATCTTTCTTCGAAGTTACCTTTCCCCTGTCTTTTCCTCCATTTACTCTTCTTGTTTACTCGACCTCGCCTCCCTACCACTCCATAGGAGGAGTGGTGGTGTAGTGGTTAGCATAGCTGCCTTCCAAGCAGTTGACCTGGGTTCGATTCCCGGCCAAAACAGCTCCTCCCTACCCTGTAAGTCGCTTTGGATAAAAGCGTCTGCCGAATGCATGAACATGAACATGAACATATCACCACCAGAGGGCAGAAATAACTAAAGAATTGCTTCATTCGTGTCAAAGGTTCCAGGATGTCTGGCAACAGGTTTTTATAATGGTGGGTCACAGTAGTATTCCACTGTAGCGCTCGAAATTCTGAATTATTGAAATTAAAAGTGTGATAAAAATATAGTTTTGGCCAGCCATGAGGAAAAGCCCAAGCGTGATGCATCATAGTCACTTTTTTCTCCTAATAGCATAAAGCGAAAACGAACAAAAAAACAAAAAAAAAAGTGGGATTTAATGGTGTTGCTGAGAGACTGTCAGCTGAATTTTATTTGACAGCATCTCAAAAATATTTCTTTTCACAAACTACAGAAACAGCCTATCCCAATATTTTTGATGATTGAAGTTGGCAAAAGAGAGCTGCCTCTGAAGGGCAGCTGAATTTTATCTTAGAAATGTATAACCATGTAGAAACAAGGTTTTCATTCGATGTGTTTGTTTGAGCCATGCTGAAAGTAGGGCTGTTTCTATTCAAAGCCTTACTTATGTTAAGGTTAAATAGAGAAGCCAATTTTTGTTGCTTTATACAAAGCAATAATCATATCAACCTTTTTTGGCCAAAACAAGATGCATTTGTGCATTTTAGTGATCAAATTAGGGGACATTTTGTGCCGAAATACAATATTATATTCATAATTTTATCAAGTAACATAAGGAATTGTTTATTACATCTCAGGACAGGACATCCAAAGGGTAACTACAGAGTCTAACACACAGTGTACTACAGGCTACATATTTCGACATATTTCCAATTTAGCCTAGATTAAACAACCCAAGGCAACTTTTTCCTACCTAAGTGCTTTTACATATTCAGTTAGCTGTATTCTGCTACTTTGCCACAAGCTGTCACTGAATTCCAACAACTGCCTCTGGCGATAGGAGGCCCCCATCCAGTTTTATTACTTCAGTATTTAGTTGTTGACGGGCTAAAGCATCAGCTAATCTTTTGTTTTCCAGACTTTTCTTTAAAAACTAGGCTTTGGCTGAAAAGATCATGCCAAACTTCTTATCCTTACCCTTGATTTTTATTTGTGATTCCCCCACCAACTCACTCTACAGCAGCCTCACAGATTACTAACTGCAGCACCCACGCGGATGATTTCAGAAGCGTTAGGTCTAATCCCTTGTGTCGATTTGAGCATCACTCATATCTACAAGTCAACTTGAATTTAGCTTGCAACACCTCTGCATAATTGATTCCAGTTATGTTTGCATCTGGATAAATGCAGACAGTCAGTGCCATCGGAAGGTGGTTACAGTCCCACATGAAAAGGAAATCTCATTTTAGTGTCATCTTATGATGACAGATAAAGGTCAAGTATATGTGAGGCAAAAATCCTGATAATCTAAAAGTGGATTACTATGGTTGTAAAGTATTACTCCAAACGACTGTAATGAAAATATTGCTTTACTCTACTGGTTTCATATTTGGCAGCATGAACTACCAGCTCCTTTCATTTCCTGAAACAAATAAACTAATTAGATCTGATTCTCCAAAGTCTGATTTCCTGATCCTGTATGGGTACAAAGACATGAGTTTGTAGATGTTGCTCCAAGCTACCAGCATCTGGCCTATTGTCTGCTTCCACGGTTGGGTGCCTGATTAGCTGCAACAGTATTGCAGATCTAGGAGGAAAATTAGCTCACTGTGTGCGTGTGTGTGCGCGTGTGTGTACAGAATAAGCAGCAGAATAGGCATAGAGACTGCATGTGCATGAAATAAGTGCAAGTGCGAGTGATTGTATGAGTGAGTGAATGTGTTTGCCTCAAGAGATTTTGTGTGTGTGAATGTCCTTTACCGTGTATTCATGAGTGCCCGTACATCAGTGGTGTTTGAGAGTATCGAATCAAGTTCCTGGGAGACTGAAGCTAGAATTACAAAAATTACGCAGGGCTCCACAGATGGCAGACAAGCTGCACAACAGCACACAGATGCCATAAATATTCGTCATATTTGTTTCTGAACACTTTGGTCAAATTAGTTTCTTTAATGTATTGCAGTTCATCCATTCATTTGTCTCCCAAACCCATTTCACAGGAGTATTGCAAGCACTATCTGGCTTTTTTCGTTTCCCTCAACATCAAGGAAAAAAATGTGCACACATATGCAGTACAATAGTGCTTTCACACACAGAAAATCGATTGACTTCCTGTAGATCAGAATTGGAATTAGGCTGGCATGAGATGGACTGCTGGTGTATCCAACAATCTGCAGCTGATGCAATCAGCTTTATGGGAAAGCAGCTTCTGTGTTGCTGACATGGGACTCTGGCACATAAAATGCTCATGTCAGGCTGAGACCTCCATCTGCCACTCTCACTAGTCACTGTTATCACAGATGACTTATGGTTCATTATCTGTAGTGTCCATTCCACTGGTAAAGAAAACCTATACGTTGGTGTAAGTTACTATATATACTAGAGAATTGAAAAGCAAGGGCTATTTATCTAATTATCCATTGTAATCAGGTGACAGACACTCAAACTAAAGGTATTCTCTCTTTGCCTGAAGTACAACATTTCACTAAGTATCAATAAATGTTGCTAGTATATTTTTGTACAATTTTTGTGACAAAGATTTGATTTGACTGCAGAGTAATTTCATGACCCCGAAAAGACCTGAGTCTGTCCCTTTTTCTCCACATTCAACAAGACCCAACTGTTATTTGTTGTTTAAAAGACCACAGATTATGACATATTCCAGTCAGTTTTGTGTAATGAAATTGTGGGTATAGTGTATTTTAAAATACAACTTGAACATTGTGTTTTAGAAAAAGTACTCATTTGATGGATAAACTTAAACGAAATACAAAAAGAAAAGTCTACTGCTCTGTGCAATATGCGTGTACTGACCCATGTTCATAGTTGTAATAATCTTGAGTGTAGTAGTCCTGGCCAGGATCAATGCCCGATTCCATTGATAACTCCTGTCAGGATAAAAAGTCATCATTAGTAGCTTTAAACACAATCAGCCATGACCATTGCAAAGAAAAAGCAATACACTACCAGAGAAAATACCCCAGTACAGCATTTAAATACACACGGAGAGTAAAGATGTATCCAGAATAAAGGAGAGACAGAGTACCTCTGGTCTGAGCAGAGAGGGTCTTAAAAGCTGTTGTGTCTGCCAGAGGGAAAGAAAGTGAATAAAAAGAAAGACATTCAGAGCTCTCCTGAAGATATTTGAATGTCAAGTTCTCACTTTTGAATACACATTGTCCAACAGTTTTTGCAACTTCTAGGGATTTCAGCAATTGTTATTGATTAAGTGAAAGATGATATGATCACCAAATAGCACAGAGTTTCTGTCTCAAGGATTGAAAAGGAACTAAACAAAGACTAGATTATTTGCAAGATCAACTTTTACTGCCGCCTCTTCTGAAGCAGAGCTTGTAAATACTCTTCTAGCAACTAAAAGTTTTTCATATCTTGGGGGAATGTTTTTTTTTTTTCTGCCCACACAAAAGTAGATATGTAAGATTCTGAAAGACGCACAGCTCTTTTGAGGCATGTCTACAGCCTAAATCTCTTTAGGTCAGTGACTGTCGAGAGGTGGGTATCATCAGTATCTCTTCATCTTAAATCTTGCAGTGTTGTCTTATTTGCTTCTGAAATTTGTTGCTATGCATCTGACTTCATCCCTCACTCATCCTGTGCAATGTTTTTGTTTTCAGAACATAACATTAATTTGAAACTAAGTTTGGTATTTAGGACATTAGTCTTTATCATACTACTCCATAACAGATTTATTGGTATGGTTTCCCTTCAGAGCAGTACATGTCTACTCCCGTCTGAACCTTTCCTTTTACAGTCTCTGAAATCCATATAGAAGTGTTGATTTGTTCATGTTGTAGTTCTTAATTACATTCCCAATAAAGGAGATTTTTAACTATTTTCTTGAACTTTATTCTTGCTTGATTGAAGATTGAGCCCTCTATACACAGAGAAGATCTGATTGCTGGAAGCAACTTTAAGGTGTCAAAGTATTTGCAAAGCAGATCATGAGTAATGGTACAAACTATCCCAGAGCTCAAATCTATATATTTTTTTTTTCTTTTTTTTTTGTGATCACGTTCTGGACATGCAGTCAATTGCTATGTTCCTGTAGTATACTGAAATGATCAAGATCTCCTAGGAGTTGAAAAATGTTATCAATAAGCGGCACGGATGTTCTTATATACATGCAAAATCATTTTGAAAATCAAAAAGCGGAGAATAAATTGCAGAAAAGAAGGAAGAGTAAAGTTACAGGCACAAGAGGAAAAGTAAAATGTAAATAATGATATACACTTAAGACAATACAAAATGAATACTCTTACCTCATGCTGTCCGTATCCACGCCTAAAAGATTGAGAGAGAAAGAGTAGGCCCTTTAACCTTTAGCACCTGCACAAGACATCTGATGTGCCACAAATGTTGTGAATCTAGAAAATTCTAATGCATTCAGTAACTTTAGCAGCTATATTAACTTTAAATAAAAACCCAAATTGATTAAAAAATAAATAAAAACATTACACTTTGTATACAAATGTACACAGAAAGCTGCAGAGATATGACAAAAGGTATACGACAAGAAATTAATGTCTTTTTATTCTTCTAGTTCACATTTTCTTAATGATTGGACGCTCTATTTCTATTAATATGATGTCGTTGTAACTACATAATGGTCATATTCACAATATAGTATTTTGTTCGGTTACAGTGATCTGTAGTTTCCGACCATTGTGTGAGGAGAAGCTCATTCTACCAGGAATGAATATTAACCAACACTTCTAAGAAACATCCTATGAACTGCAACAACACTTTAGTGGTTTTATTTCTGTAATAAATTCCATTTAATTTTAAATAAATTGTTGTAGTTAAAATCAAGTTTAGAATCACGTTTTAGGGTTGGCTATTCAGGGCTTTGAAATGTATTGTGCCCATGATGAATCAACACAAAAAAGCGGAAACGTTTTTTAATAGATTTAAAAAATATTTTTCGTGTCGAGGTGTGTATGGGTAGAAGTTCAAATTACGCATTTAAATTACTTTGATCAAGTTTAGATAGAGAAAATTTATGCACATAATGACAGTTTCTCTTCTTTGATTTTGAGGGCATGGATGGAGTGAAATCATGGATGAGTGGAGGAAACTTGCTGGTTTAAATGGGAAAAAGAGTAATAGAGTGGCCATACTGTCATTAGTGGGTGAAAAATATCCCTGTTGGTAGTAGTAGAACTACATTACACTTTAAATTTCTCTGTCGATAACCTAGGAATCAAGTCTTAATATTTAAAGTAGGTTAGTATCTTCCCATGTGAGAAGAATTAATTTTCTGACATCCTCCTAAAAATATGTTTTCCTCTTCACGCCACTGCTTGGGTTGATTTACACTTATAATCTGCTGGTTGCAGTGGATGGAATCAATCTTTCATTTCCAGTTAGGTCAATATTTGGGTTGTGGCATAGTCATTTGAGCTCAGCATGCTGCAGAAAAGAAAGACCACACACAACAAGTTCAGATAACTTCTTAGTAAAGCATCAAAGCCTGGTAAAAAAAAACCTGGCTGTGTTCATGAGTTCAAGCAGTGATCAGCTTCAAAGGATTCTTGGAAATGATTTGAAATAAACATTTTATTCATGTTCATTTGTATACTGAAAAGCTAAAATATTTAAATCATGCATTCCATTCATTCGTCATTCATGCCACACCCACAAATAGAACATGACTGGGTTCAAAGATGAAGAATGATATATTTTTAAAAAAAACTGTCCGCTTCTTGAAAAGGTTTTAAAACCTTTACTTTCTCATTCAGCAAACTGTTGACTTTTCCTTGATTAACCCAGTGTCCACATTAACGGTAGCCTGAACTACGGCTTGATGCTAATATATGGAATCACAATGAATACTGACTAATGTGGACAAAAACAAGCTTTCAACAGAGATGGTGAGGCAAAGTAAAAAGTCCAATGAGAGAGAGACACAAAGACACACTGAGGCTTAGAGAAATTTAGAATAAAGGGAATCATAGAAGAGGATTTTATACAAAGGAAATACAGAAAAAATACCAATAACATCGGTAGCTGCACATCTTAACAGTGAGAAAACAGAAAGTATTGTGGTGTGAAAGTGAACTAATGAGCTGGCAAAATGAAGACGTATCACAGAACAACAAGTGCAGACTGTTAGAGGACACATTAAATGATCCCTTCTGTTGTTTGAATGCATACTCACACACACATGCAATTATTCAACCAGTTGAGCATTTCATTATTTAATTTCAGCTATTCCGATTAAAATACAACTGTGCTCGAACACCTCTGAATATATGCACCCATGAGAGATTATAGCCATTTGTTAAGGTGCAAAATGCGGCATGAAATTGAAGTGTGAAAGATCAATGAAAGCACATCAGTTTTAAAAGTGGAGAGGTCTTGGTGAGTAAATTACTTCTGACTGTCATATCAGTGTCTGAACATATTTGATGAATAAGCAAAAATAAAGATTAATGGCTTTGGAAATACATGAAAGTTTAAATTATATGTGTCTATATGCACCATGAAGATATGTATTAGCTGCTAACAGTTTTTGCCTTGAACTGATTGTAGTCTAGTCTGTGTTTGTTTTAGTCAGTGTGTGTGAAGAAAAGTCTATCTTTGTGCCCTTGTTGCTCTGTTAGGCACATTATGAGACACTCTCAAGACAATAACACAGGCAGCTATCTAATCGCAGCCACACACAGACACACATCTGGCATGACTGACTTTAACTCTTCCTCCTCTCCACCTGGTCTTTGGAGTGTTTATTAGAGAAAGGAATGGAGAGATATTAGATTATGGGGAAAACACAATGGCAATCCACTCTCTTTCTCTTTTGTCTTTTTCTAGCATTTCTGCACCTCCCCAGTAATTCATTCTCAGCCCCTGATTCAACACAACATTCAAAATCTAAATCAGAACTGCTGTTATAATAATATCCTTAAGAAAGGTAAACCAAAAATACAAGCATGTTAGTGCATAAATTACCTTAAATTGTAATTCGGCAATAACTCCATTAGCTAACTCTCAATTGACATAAAAAAGTTCAGATTCTTTAAGAAATTCTATTTTCTGACTCTAACCAAGTATAAGATGCCAAAACTAACCTGATGGCAAGCGAAGCCAACAAGAGCAATACCTGAAAACAATGTCTAATAGTGTGTTTGAACCAATAGTGTGTTTGAACCATTATGTTTGCTGTCTCTGGTGGATAAATACTGCTTCAGTGACACTATGGGTTGCAGGGGAGGGCCTCCGGGGATCTGGCTTATCATATTTTGTGGGTGCTCAGTCAGATAGGGAAACAAGAAGACAGCAGGTCAAAACTGTGGATTCTTCACATGCTTTACAAACTGTTTCACACTGGATTTCTGTAGAGCTACATTCTTTCTCCTGTCTTTTGAAGCATCATAAGTAGGCTGGCTACTCATTTAGAACAATATCCACTTAAAAAAAGAATCGTAAATGTCAGAACAGTCAGCGCTTTCAAAGTTCATATAAGGTGATTATGATTTTTAATTAATTTTATCACAAAGAAGTGTGCACTGTTTAGAATACACTTAGAACCACCTCCACATCTGCTGAGTTAAACTTTTTTCTCTTTCATCTAATACAGAGTATAAAACATTTGTTATTGCCTCATTTCTCTGGATGATGTCAGACTTGCTTCTGGGTGAAAATACCATTAAATACTTAAAAGGAGGATTGTAAGAATTCCCTGCCGTCTGAGAAGATGCCCCTCAGTGATGTGCTTTATAAGGATTGGCACGCTGTCTTAACATTTAGTTTTTTCTCATTTTAATATGTAATCAAAATTTGTCTCATGGATCTCCCACACACATTGTCAAATCTGTTATAACAGACCTGTCCTCTTGTTCATATCAGTGTAATTATACAGAATCCTGACGAGCAGCCAAAAACAACAACACTGTGATAAGATCCGGTCATAACTTTGACATTATGAGATTTCCCTGTCAGAAGTTCCGGAATCAGAATCAGAATCAGAATCAGGTTTATTGCCAAGTAGGTTTTCAGACTTACAAGGAATTTGCCTTGGTGTTTAGTGCACAACACAACACTTCTATGAGAAGCAAGAATAAAAAGTAAAAATAAAGATATAGGGCAGTATAATTTTCCAACACAGTGGGCGAGCATCTCATTCAGCTGTTGAGCTGAGTGTTTTCCTCCACACAGTTGCCATCCAACTATAAACCTTATGCTGTCAAAAATGTGATTTTATCAAGGGCTTTGTGTGCACGGCAAATACACAATCACACTTTCAAAGTAGAAACTCTGCATAGAAAGGGTTAGAAATCTGAAAACACACAGCCAAACTGGGTGCAGGCAGTGTTTCTGTTTCAGGTGACGGCACTGGAAATGTTTTGTTGCGAGATTAGCTCTCAAACTCTGTCTGCCGCATCTCATTACACCTAGACTTTTACATACAATTTACTCTCATCGTCTAATAGGTAGGTTGTGTTCTTGCTCTGTTATTATTGTGTGCTTTTGACAGAGAACCAATAACACGTCTTTGGTAACGTGTTTTGTTCAGCATTAGACTGAAATCAAACTGTTCCATGAGGTAAGGAATCTGGATCTGTTGTCAACATCAGGGAGCCTCATCAGCTACATTAGCTTCAACATTTAAGTTAATGTGTTACTGAATACATGGTTAGGTAGTACATATCTTGATTTCCAGGTTACCAGGTGAACATGCCACATGGATGATAACCTACACAAAGCAACAGTCTTGAGTTAAACTGCCTGATAATTCTGAATCATAGATTGTTGCAGCAGTGTGTTTTAGAAATTAGGACATGTATCAATTTATGTATTTTTCAGACTAAAAAGTTTTTAGTTGAGAGGCTTCGAGCTAAACTTTTAGGTACAGTAGTTCATATCTTGTGGCTGCTCAGCCTTTTTTTTTTTTGGCAAGACCAGTATGAAAAAATCAACAGCAACGGTATATTTGTGTCCATCAGCGTTTGTCCAACACTAAAATAGTGTGAAGACAAGGTTGTTCATCCCAGTCCTACAAAACACCCTGTGATCTTAGAATACTTGTTCAGAGGAATTTTGGACTCTCATTTATTACCAAAGCTTTTTTTTCAAAACATTCCAGTTTTATGTATTTAATATTAGATACATATCAAGTATCTGAAGCATTCTAACACTAAAACCAAAAAGCAAAAACTAAACTACAGAGAAACGCAAGACTGACGCAAATTGTGAATACAAATGCCACAATATAAATGTATTAAACATTTCTTTTTAAGTCTTTGGGTTTACACTACATGCATTTTCACTTTTGTCCATCTGAAAAAAAGGTGGTATTTATATAATTGGACCTTGTGCATATACAGACAACAAGGGATTAAGTATCAAAGAAAATAAAAACTTTATATAACATTAATAAAACAGAGAGCTCTTAGAAAACAGACAGGGAACAAAAAAAAACTAAAACCTGGCAAAATAGAGACACATAAGTGCTTCAAAATCTGAAACAGGACTGACAACAAAAGAACACAATACTGTAACCACCATCTGATGTTCCTAATTATCAAAGTAGAACAAAATATAACCCCATCATTTAGATTAACAGCACATTCTTTTACATGGGGTCTAAGGTGGTTTGTTTTTGCAGTTTCTGGAGTGACCACAGTTTTTCATTTGGTATAGTACATTTGGCTCTGGCTGTGTCTTTTGAAATTGGGTTTTCTTTGTGTTTACCACTGGAGTAACAAAACATGTGGTCATGTAGCAAAAGTCCATTTGCTCTGACTGTACATCCTCCAGGACCTGACACTGAGCAGAGCTTTCAACAACACATCCACAGCTAAACGACAAGAGTCAAGATAGTATCCCATAAAGCTCAGCTTATGTCACAGTCACAACTAGTACAGTCATCCACTACATTCATACACCACACACGCACAGTATATATTTACATAGGAAACAGAAAAAGCTTGCATTTCATGGAAAATCTAACAAAGGTTTCTGGCACACTTTCCACTGTAAGCAATTGCTGTGTGGTTATATCAGCTATTGATGAATGTTGGTTCTTCATTCAAAGTTTTCTTTGTGACCTCAAACACCAGACAAATCCCCCTCTGGGTAAACTCAAGCTTTCCGCACCCCTGCATCCACAAGAGCCTGTAATGCCCTGTGTTTAGTAAATATTATCATCTGCCAAAAAAGCTTCAATTTTCCATTAACAACCACAATACCTCCTTCCCTTGCCGTAGCCCTTTTTCCCTCCTTAATTAGCATTTGGGGAGCAAGCTTTAGAGGCAGGAATCCGTTCTTTTGAAGTGGAGTCTTTTGAATTACCTCTAGTATAACTAGTATGACTTAGTTATCTCATAATCATTTTACTTGGACATTTTATGCATGTTGAGTGCATCAATCCTATTAATGGCAAGAACTGTTATAAAGCCTACTGTTACAATAGTTATGTAACAGAGAGCCTTCTTGCACAAGGTATCTATGCAACGATAAAGCGAACACAGATCAGAGGACTGCATACTGGTGGCAGCAGCTCTGTAGCTACAGAAGCACGAGATAAGTTCTCTATATGAGGATAAAAAAGGATTCCTTTTCATAAAAGTTCAGTCCAAGTTGGCAGATTTGACATGCTCTCTTCTAACTTTTTTCTTGTCTCAATGCACCTGTATAAAACTTGTTTAGAGGGAGTGCCAAAGGAAACCCAGGCTTGTGATCAGTGAGACCCTGTCAAATGCAATTGAAAACAACTCAATCTAGCGCTCAGACTTTTTCTCTACTGCTCACTCATTTAATTTTTTCATTTTCGCTTTTTGGATACTAAATGTTAATGACTGAAAGTCAAACAGGAACATTTATTACACTTTCAATCATCTTATTTTTCTGTTCATATCAAGCTCCACCAAACAAGAAGGATTTTCTTTGCACAAATGGTTGATATTAGGCTGAATTATTTTACTTTCTTTTCATGGCAGAAGAAAAGAATACGATTACGGTAAATTTCACCGAGTCATTACCCCACTGAGCTGCTTTGATTAGTCACTTTTCAGCTCCACAGCAATCTACAGAGCCATGATAAGCAGTTCCATAAAAATTCCACATCCAGAGAACATAGGCTAGAGCATTGTAGACTGGGAAGGGAATCGTTTCTCAAGCTCTTCCACAATAGAGTTCATGTTTACTTGTGGAATCTGTGGAAGTGGGGGATCCTCTCCTTCTCCTAACTGTTCCCTACTTTGCTCTCCTCCCTCTCCTTCTCCAATGGCTGATGTGTCCAAAGAGTCAAGTGAATCCAGGGAATCCACAGAAGCCCGACTTTTCATGACTTTCTTTAATGGAATCTGTTTCTGATCTATCTGGCTGAACATGTTGGCAACCGACTTCTCAATGTCTGCTATGTTTTGGATGTTCTTTAAGATTCCTTTTAGTTCTTTACGCTGAGGTTCAGGATCCACAGGAAGGGGTGGTGGTGGAGGCCGGAGAGACACGGGTCGCAGAGCTGGTACCTCTGCCAGAGATGGGAGGACAAATGTGGTTGGACGAAGGAGTGAAGGAGACACAGGTGGGGGCAGAGGTGGAGGTGGAGGTGGTGGCGGTGGGGGTGGGGGTGGAGGAGGGACAGGTGGAGGGGGAACCCCCTTTTGGCCAGAGAGAGGTGAAGCAGGGGAGGACGGAGGTGAGGTGAGAGGTTGATTTAAAGAGGGAGATGCGGGCGGAGGAGGAGCAGAGGTGATTGGTGGTGGAGGTGGAGATGGAGATGGAGGAGGAGGCGGAGGTGTTGAAGGAGGATCAGGGATGACCTCTAAATGAACCTGAAGTCTTTCTTCTGCACTGTGATTTCCTGATAAATTTGCTCCAAAGCGTCGCAGGACAGGAGGAGTTGGCTTGTGAGCTGGTGGAGGCGTGCCTCCGTCACTATGAGTGACAATGATACTGGGAGGACCTTCTGCGCTTTGAGCAGGCAGGGCGCTGTGGGTGGGGCTGTGCTTGTGATGCTGAGGAGTCTCTGGGAAAACAGACAGTAACATATCAGGTGATAATGAACCCCTGGAATCCCTGTTTTGCCGTTGCCTCATTTCCTGAAGCGCTTGTTGCTCAAACTGTCTTGCTTGTTCTTTTACTGTCAGCTTTGGTTCCAGACTTGGGCTTCCCATCAAGTCTGAATCCAGTCCATGGTCAAAGCCTGAATCAAGACCAGCATCTTTACTCTCCTTGAATTCTGCCTTCAGGAGCTCCAGCTCCCACTGCACTGGATCCATAACCACTTGCCGCTTCAAAGCATCGTACATCTCCCTTCGATGTAGTCTGGATGGGAGAGTCCAGCTGTGTCCAGCACCAGATCCCCATCCACTATCACTACCGCCATATCCAGCAAACCCTACATCGCTTCCAGGTGAGCTGAGCCTCAGCCAGGCCTCTCGGAGGCCTTTTCTAGAAGGGGATAAATTCCCAAGAAGGTCTTTTCTTCTCTGGCTTTTTCCAAGCATCTCTGGACTGCTCAGTGTTCCATCCTCGTGATAGATGGGGTTTTTGGTTGTCCGGGGATTTTCATCAGAAAGAAAGGTGATGTTTGACTCTGACTTGGGCAGTTTGTTTAGCACTCCTCCATTAGCAATGCATTGACGATGGGCAGCGATTGCTCGAGTGGCAAAATCTGAGATCAAACGTTGGCGGTCGCTTTCATCCAAACTGCCAGCGCTCCCCCTACCACCATGGTTTGACCGACTGTCAGATGGATGTAGGAGGAAAGAAAACATAAAGAAATGTAATGAACAGAGAAATGAAGAATCAATTATAAAGTATGAGGGAGAAGAGCAAAAAGGAACAGGAAAATTTAAACTGTGTAAATCAAGGCAACGTGAAATGGGAGTGGGAGATGGGGAGCAAACAAAATTTAAATTAAAAGGCAGAAATAAACATGAAGAAATGAAATGTTGTACAAAGGGGTACAAAGGGTAGAGTAGAGAATGACACAACTGACTGGGTGTTTGAACTGTACTCTAAGAAATGTTCTTAAAACTGAATTCATATTAAAATATACATAAAAAAGGAATCTTAAGAAGTAAAAGTTTAAAACAGGCTGCAAAAACACCTGGAATACTACAAAATTCATAAAAGAATGCAAGCAGATTTTAGTATGCCACAACAACGCTTCTGCGTTATTTGCAATAACACATCTACCATGGAGGAAAACACTGTAGCGGTCATGGAGTTCTGAGAGTACGCAGATTTCTTCAGAATAAAACTTTGTTTGTGTTATGTTAATGTATTAAATCAAAATGTGAATTTCTGCCCACTCTTTTTAACCCATGACACCAGACCAAATCTCCAAATACCGAACAACAAATACAAACTTTGATCAACACTAATAAGCAATAAGCATAATTGGCATTGGCACCTTACTTTTATCTGCAGGTATGCCAAATTACTCCACACACACAAAACAACAGGTAACACCAACGACCACTGACACAAATCTATGGCTAGGATATTTGTTTATTCTTAAGCTAGTCAACTGAAGCAATTTTCTACAACTCACTTTTGTCTGTCCATGGATGGATGTGGAAGGATGAGAATAAATAGAGGAAAGAAAAAGTGGTAAGATAACATAAAGAAATGGTAAAAGTAATACAATATTAATAATAGTCAATAGCAGCAGTTATTCAGAGTAAAGCAGATGGTCACCAGGGTGGCTTTTGTCAAGTTTACTGCTATTTGAAAAAACACATCAACACTTCCTTTAGAAGACTTTGTAAACACTGTTTGGGGTTACAATTAGAAAGCTTGCTTACAGTGTAATAATTTGAAGGTTCAGCAAGAAGTGCAGTTTATTGACTTGAAAAGGGACATCAAATTAGTTTGAATGTATATGAATTTATAAAAACATTATACAAAACAAGCCAATTCCAAAACTAGTAGTGCTGGGCACTGTGCACAATTTAGTAAAATATAATTTTATCTATGCAAGTATAAAAATGACAAACAAATTATTCAGTGTGTATGCATCAAGAATCCAAATAAAAAAGATGAGGCAAAATGATTACAATTTTTCCATTTTTTTATCAGGCAAAAATATGTAATCATTCAGCATTATCAGTTAACTTGAAGGTGACTTTAGAATCCCGGCTTTCATTCAACCAGGGAGCTATCAAAGTCTTTGTCTCATGTCAGGGTAGAAATGTAAGGGAACGACCTGAGGCAAACTGTTCATGTAAGGGAAACCTACCAAAGTGTCTCTATGATGGGCTAAAATTCTTCAAAGCTGAGCACCAAAGGTTCATACACTTTTCCTGCTCACATATATTTAAATTATTTGCAGTTTTGTTAATGTGAAAATGACCAACATGTTTTTCATCTACTCTAGGCTACTCTAAACTTTTACTTGAAAACCTTTGGTGTTATATTGATTTGTGTCAGTGATCATAATTATCATTATTTCATAGTTATAGTTAACAAATAATATCTTAATACTCTAAAAACCTTTATCATGTTGCCCAAGAGAGGACAATGTGCTGGATTATTTAATATTGTAACTTTAGATGTGGCATTTACAAAAAAAATGCTCCATTTAATCGGTATTCAATAAGAAGTTAGAGAACACCTAATTTTTCTCAGGTAATTAAAAGAGTCATTAAAACCAACCTTGTTGAGAGAACAGCCAAAGGTAATAAAAAGAGAACCTTGAAACCAGTCTACTGAGCACTTTAGTAAAGGACCTTGATCATGAATGTGCTACATTTTGCATTTTGCCAAATTTTATGGGTTTGTGGGATTTAATCCGTACAAGATGGCAATGATACAGAACACACAAGACAAAACACAAAACCCCAAACTCCCTTTTCTGCAAGAATGTCTCATCGCAATTAAACATGCTCCACAGCTTATCAATGGAATTAATTACAGCCCAGGGTGGCCTTTATAAATTATGGGGTGCATTTCTTGCAATAATGTCATATACAAATTAATTTGTGCACACATTTTTCAGGAAATCGCTTCAGATTTTCTCTACTTACATGGGCACACACACACAAACACACACAGTTGTCATTTGCAGATAATTTCTGCTATCTAGCATATAAATTACTCTCATGTTAATGGAGGCAAATCAAGGACAGGCAGAGAACCAGTGATGCATTTAATGCTGATATGAATTCCTAGCTTCTCAACAGCCCAGTAAGAATTAAAAATCAAGAATATATGTGAACTATATGCTTCCCTATTGGATACATATAAAAACCAGTGGAAAATGGAAAGGATGGGAGTAATTTAATCATGGCTTACTAGGAAGCCTACAGAAATAGAGGGAAGGAGGAAACGAGAAGTAAAATCATCACTCAAAAACAAAAATCTTTTAAGGCAGAATGGAATAGGTGAGCGCACATGTCGAGAAAAGATGAGCAACAGAGCAGAAAAATAAGCAAACTTAATTGTAGAGTAGTTTAATTTTTAAATGACCAGAGTAGAAAATAAATTTACATTAACATCTGTCTCAAATACACAAATTTCCTATGATTATATAGTTCATGAAACCCAACGGTTAATAAAAAAGTGAATTTGAGCACTCAGAATTTTTCAGTAGGAGGGCAGGCTGATGACCTTCAATTTATCTCTTGTGGGAACACTGTTATGAATTACGACAAACAAACTGCCAATTAAAGGCCTGCATTTTACAGAATTAACTTTAAATAGAATTGTAGGTTTACGTGAGGCCAGTATTGCACTAAAAATTCTAGTTTTCTGTGTTTTAGGTTTCATGTGGCTTCACAAAGCTGCGCTTGATCAGTTCAAGAATGAATAATCGACATCTTTTTTGCTTCTACAAAATGTAACGCAAGGGAAAGGAATTGGTCCAAGAATGGAAAAAGTAAGGACTGAAAGCGTACATTGCCAAACTCTGGAGGAAAATGCTGCTTTGTAAAGGCTCACAGCCTGCAAAGTGAGCTGAGATCAACAAAGCAGCTATTTGTTTCAAAGTGATTATTTCCAGTAAGTGTGCTTCAGTTCCTGCCATCAAAAGAAAGCTCAAAATATTCATTTCCTCTTTCAGATTCCAACATGTTCACACAATTTGCTAAAAAAGTTGCACATAGAGGAATATAATCCTCACAGGATCTTTGGGAATTTGAAATTTTGAGTTTGCACTTTGAGCACTTACTGCTTGATGTTATTGGTAAGCCTTAAAGCATTTTTGTTGAACAACAGTCAGAGGCACATGGGGTAATTGCTCTGACATTGATACAGGGGGATTTAGTTTAATTACAGGGCCCAATGAGAAATTATGAAATGTAAGAAATAACAAAAAATAGTTCCTTTGTTTGCATGTTTGAAAAAAGCAGTGAAACACCATATTCTTTTTATTAATATTTTCTGATTGCTCACATCTATGAAAATACTTCTGCCAATGTTCCTTAAAATAGAAAGATTATGCTCATGTTCAACCTTGGCTTCATGAACAATTGCTTGTTGAATGTAGAAACAGGAATACAAGCGTGACTGCAGGAACATCATTCTTAATAATTGATATAATTCAGAGGATGACTGACAGCACACAAGGGCATCTCAAAGCTCCCAAAGCAGTCCCACTGCCAAAGTCTAATATTTACCAGCTTTAAAAAATGTGAGCTAATGCCTCTTTTTTGGCTCATTAAGGAAAATGGCATGTTCACACTTACATGCTGTTGTCACCCAGTTCCTCATACAGGTTGTTGGCAGTTCCTCCTCCAGGTTTGCCTGTTGGCAGCGCCATCTGGATACGGGCTGTTTTGGCACATTCTGCTTGGCGCCTAGACACAGCAGAGAGGAAAAACTGAGAATGAAATATGAATAAAACTGGAGCAAAAAAAGAGGAAAAAAAGAAAAACAATAATAGAAAGTCATGTTACTAGGAGGCTCATAAGTTATTTTCTTTTATATGCCACATTCATCAGGGAAAAAATGTCATCCATCTTTATTGTGTGTTGAACATTGTATCATGTAATAGCATTTCCTTTGAGACTGAATTGCTTTCACTCACCTTTATACTTTAAGTTAATTAAGTTTAATTCATTTTGGGAACTTGTTTAGTTTCCCATATGATAATTCTAATGATGTCAGCAATCTTCTGGTGTGACTCTGCTTAATAATGTTGTAAAATGTGGTCCATAACAACTAAGTCAGGAGCCACCTTCCTTCACTGGACTTTATTACTTAATTCATTGCTTGTTACTTAGTATCAGAATGACAAGAAGAAAACGATAAGTTAAGAATCATCTGCTTCATGAGTGTGAAGAGAGGCAATACATCCTATGTGTGGTTTCTTATTGTTTTATCCCTCCAAAAAAACTTGCCGAAGTTTAGTTCTTTTTTATTTCTTTAATCTTAGTGATCATTATATAGCCCAATCAAACATTGGATTGATAAAAAACTTATGGTTGCATTTTGAATATCTTACTAGTTAATATTTGAATGTGGTCAATGTACTTATTCTACATAGCTCTTCAGTCTTTCTAATGTATATCTGAAACACTGAATGTGAACTCTGATTCAAACTACACATGGCACAATGAATCAGAAACTGACCATGCTTTGGGAAAGAGATCATGAACCGGAAACAATAAATGTCTATCCCTCACATGTTCCAGATGACTACATTTTACTGTGTGGCATGCCTGTAAAAACATGTATGAGAAGGTATAGATATGAGCTCACTGAGCTAAGACAGTAATTAAAAATTTAGTGCAAAGTGTAACTGATTTTAGCTAGCATTAGGCTGGTTTGCTATGATGTTGATCATATGATGCTGATAATACCAAACCAAATATAGCAGAAAGACGTTTGGCAATTAAAACTATCAAAACAGTCATTTGTTGGACTACCTGCTGTCCTCTCTATTTTATAAACCTTTTAGATCTCATCCATTTAATTCTACAAAGACAGGCAACCGATTAATCACAGAGAAAGGTGTTTGAGACAACCATAGCATCAATATTGTATCTAGGGAATATTAAATGGGATACTCACTCTTTAAATCTGTTGGTGACAGATGAAGCAGCAGATGAAAGGCAAGAAAAAGAGAGATAATTAGTTATTTAAAGGACAGATAATATAGCACTTCTTCTTATCCAAGTTTACTTATCATAATCTAGAAGTCCAGTCATGCATTTGCTCCTAATTAAGGTTTTCTAAGAAATACCAGTTTGCTTTCCTTTCCTCTCTCCCGTTCTCTGCCTGTTCTTCATCTCTTTTTCAGCAGGGTGGGAAGAATTCTCAGAAAACCACTCACATGCAGATCAAATGTATGTGTGGAGTGGTTTATGTGCATCTCAGAAAGAATTAATATCCTTTTGCTTTTGTTTGCTAAACAGACTATTAAAAGTAGCGCTGTGGGGCCGGATGCCCTGCTGAATCATGAATGGGAAGTGACTAGCTCAGGTGATGATAAATGTGCTAAAATGTGGTAAATAATAAATGCACTAAAACTTCCTTTGGGGGAGACTGTCTGTGCACAATTTGTTGCAAACTGATTGCCTCCATCAGTACCTAGATTTTTATTTATCAGACTATATTCATTTTCACTTATTCAACATGCTCAGATAGAACTTAGAGTCTGAGTAACATTTTTAGCCATTTAAGTGAGTGCATTTGTTTGAGATTGATTTTAGATATCAGAACACACCAACAAGATTTTGAATCATGCAGAAAGATGCAACTTGCCAAATTAGAAGAATGCCTGACCTAAACGACTATTTCCTTTTGCTGTAATTAATAGTTTTGATTATTAATGTCATCATTATTTTTAGGACTAATCATGCTTTAGCTTAGCTCGATTTGTGGCATTTGTTAACAGCTGTATGTCATTCCATAAGCTGCATCTGCTCACAGTGTCAGCATTATTGCAAATACATCATTTTTACTTACTGTCTGTAGGTGATAATCACGATCAGTATGGCAGGAACACAGCAGACAATGATTATAACTGCCAGAGCCAGCAGTGCTCCCTCTGTGTAGCCTACACTCTGCACAGCTTTTTTTACGCTGGTCACTATTTCAGGGGTTCGAATTTCCAGAATTCGCCCACCAGGAGGGAGAAAGGGCTGGAACTCTTTATTGATGTCCAGGAGCTTTCCATCCAGAAACCTTGAAACAAGGAATGTAAGATTTTTAAGATTTCTTTTTGCATTTGATATCCAGCTGCTTTTATCAATGGATAGAGGGGTAAAGGCATTTTACGCTGTAAGCTACACCAGGAAAGTACAGCCATTTCAATCTTGTGTCAGAGATCGTATAACACAGAGTGAACAAGGTGTGACACAATCCTACTCATCCTTCCCAATAAATGTGAGGGCAAAAATAAAAAAAACTTAATCAAAATTCAATTTAAGTACAGATAAAATATCATTTGGTTTTGGCTCAAATGCAAAAGAGTGTAAAGTTGATTTCTTAAATCTAATTATAAAAGAACACTAAGGCAGGCAATCCCCAGCCAAAGGCAATGCTGCAAATCACAAAGAAAAAAATACATTTTTGCCCCCCAATGATTTAAATTATATTTAGCAAGCATTATCTTGCAAAAAAACAAAACTTTGGTCATGTTCTTCTGCACCTGCTTTTCTAGAAGAATACTTTTAGACTGCTGACACATCACTTCTCATGAATTTGATAGCAAAGTTCTTACTTGTAGAGCTCTTGTCTAGCTACAGCTCTATTTGTCAGTGGATCGATGGCATATATCATGAGGTCTGACTTTGTGTAATCTTCTTTTTCCATTCCATCACCATGTCGATGGGGACCTATGGTTTCCACGACAACCTTTGCTCCAGGAATCTGCTCCTGGACATAGTGTTCCAAAATGCTGAGGATTGAAAATATTACATTAAGACTCATGGCATCGCCCTGTTTTCCAGAACTATGGTACAACTACAGCATATAAATGCAGGTCATTTCCCATTTAACCTCTTCAGGATTACACAGTTGGTGGATGCAGACTCCAACACCGTAAAGTGGTGAAAAATGTATCAGTGTGTACACAAACACATCCTGATATAGATGGATAGAAATGGCCTTCAGACTTTTGCTACATTATGCACATTTTCCCCCATCCTGTCACCTAGGCAGCCTCAGGTTGTGTAATATTGATTTCTGTCCCCTCTGAAACATCTGCTCACAGCAGGAGTGCTTCTGCCAAAGTGTTTGTTTACGTGTGTTTTAGTGTGTGTGAGAGAAAGTGACAAACTCAAAGATGGTAAGGCAAGAAAGTTTACATTTAAAGGTACGTGTTTGAGGCTTAAAACAAAGCAACGAGCTGAACTGGTAACAAGAGTTACAGGTAAGTCCATTTGAGAGAAATATTGAATCATGCAATTGATAAAATGTATCACATTATATGCATTTTAGAAACTGGTTAACACTGAGTTTAACTATTGGTGACATATACAATCTTGGAAAATGATGACGATTTACTGTTATAACAGTTATAACTGGAATGTAATTAGTGTATGACTCTTTAGTGACATCATTAGCTCTTCTGGTAAGACAGGAATTTATAGACACTCAAACATATATTGGCTTTTTGTCTGAATACCAGAAATCATTTGAAAATAAGATATTACTGATCCTTTGAGATATTATTACAGCTGGAAAAGGTATTTTGTCACTGATTAACTGATCAATTAGTGAATAACAACTCCCTTTTATACCCCATGTTGCTTTTTTTGTTAGTGTTGGTTTTGAGTGTACTACTTGCTTTAAATAAAGAAAAGTATTGTCTATCATGCAGCCCATTTTACTCTATAATCATGTAATGATGTCAAGACTTGGAATCAAGTCATTGACGCGGATTTAATTGACACCTTAGTTAACAGGCACTTCTGGCATCAATTTCTGTTGTTTGAAATGTATTCAAGGTAGTCAAATTTACAGATTATGTAACTGGTTTTTGGGTGATAGTCAATAAGTATTTTAATGATCAGAATATCTGTGCTTTATCTATCAAACTATTAATCAATGGTAAATGTACTTCAGCACAAAGGGTGTACCCCGCCTCTCTACTGGGTTAGGCTCCAGTCCCCTGCGACCCCATTACGGAATAAGCGGTTACGGAAATGGTTGGATGGATAAATGTGTACAAAACATCAGAAATGTTGAGCTGAATTTTATATGAACGATAAACTTTAATAAATTACCTGAGCAGCTTCTTTTTGTTTTTCTCAACAAAAGTTGGAGGAACATTTGATACCACCACCTGCATGTCCAGCTGGTTCACAACTGACACCTGTATAACAGAAGAAATGTACATCAATAAAACTTGGAACATTTTAAATTAGCCACAAGAAACATAATTTAAAAGGTTAATGGGAAAAAACATTATTGCAGTGGAAGTGATTCTTTCCCACCCACTCATTCTTCAAGCTTGTGATGAATTAATATTGGTGCCGTGATGTTAAATCCAGTTTGACAGAAGTCAAAACAAACTTCTTTTTAAGAGGTTATCGTAAAACTACCATCAGTGTCAAATATAAAATATACACACCACTATCTCTGCCTTGTTGCTGTGTCCTTGACCATAGTTATCCGTGGCAACTACTTCAAACTTAAAATACGACCTCCTCATGTTGCGGTACATGATTGCCGTCTTGACCACACCACTGTATGGCTCAATGACAAAGCCATCCTTGCCGTTTTTGGTCTCTTTGCCAAGAGGAGGGGGAATGATCAGCCGGTACATCATGGAACTGTAGTTCCCAGTGTCTTTGTCCAGAGCCTGTAAGATGAGCATCATCATAATTATCATTATTGTCATCACCAGTATCATCAGGGTATATTATCATCATGCTTGTGAGTTCTACGACGATCAAGTTATTATAATGCCATTAACATGTCATAATCACCCATTTCATGACTATTTGTAATTTGTCTGCCTTCTTTAGATGGAATTAAAATTATCATTGTTGGGCTGCAGGTGTCTGAGCATAACTGGATACATATCTCAGGAATGAAAAATTCCTTGATTCATATTTAGACCAACATAAAAAACTAATCAGAGTCAGACCTCCCCCACCTGTGCTAAAACTAATAATAATCCATCAATGCAGTAACTTTTGAAACTTGAGAAACACCGACAACAAGCTCTTATACAGACAAAATGACATCCCATCAACCACAGAGCCTCTTTTGAGACTTAAGAACTGATTCCTGCAACACAAGCATGTATTGTTTTTTAAACAAATAAAAAAACAACTTATATTCTTTGCATTAGTCATCAAAACTAAGTAAAACATCTGTCGGTCCTGTCATTCCCTGGGTCAGTTTTCCTGCTTGCAAAAAACTTCCTGTTGGTATTTTGACCATTCCAGCGCCTTTCCATACTTTTCATTTTATTTTCTCATTCTGTCTAGCTTTCATTTCTCCCTTTTCCTTCCTCTTCCTCCAGATGGAAAAATTGAGTCATCTTTCAACATGCCTGTTCGATATCGATTACTATGACACGGACTGCAAAGAGGAAGCAAAGGACATGCTAAGGTACAAATACAGAAATGGAAGAGACCAAAAGCACTTCTCATCCAGCCCAATTTTACAGGAAATCAATAAAGTGTGAAGCAAAAAATGGCAAGTCCCCTGACCACATGAGCACCAGCAGAAAGCCTTTTCACAAGATGACGGCATCTCTTGGAATTCAGTGTCACCTACTGACCAACAAAAAAAATGCCTGGAATTCTCCACCAAAGCAATCACTGGTCAAATACATGTTGATCATCATTCCAGATAGATTTAAATAGTGCAACTTTTAAAATTGCAATGGTCATTTCTGTTGTTAATGGCACTGGTCGGTGTTGTATTATAATGTTAAGTCCTAAAACGAGAAAGTGAACCTATTGAAAAAATACTGTTTGTTTTTTTCCTCCATCAAGACACCAACACTAATACCATGTTTTTGCTTTGATATATTTTTAAATCAAAATGCTATTTAAGAGAAGGCAAACATGACAAAAAAGATGCTGCAATATGTGGACAGAAAATGAACTGCATTGATTACATTGGGGAAAAAATTGCAGATATGTCCAAAAGAAATTTTAATAGTTGTAAATGCACTTAAACACATGCACTGTGAAGGAAACACAATCATGCACGAGTTCTTATGCAGTTAAAAAACTTGAGAAAAAGAGTGCCCTTTAAAACTCATTAACACACACATCCAGATAGTTGCAATGGAATTAGTTATACTTCAGTGAAGCCACTGTTGCTGAAATTATGCATGATTATTATTCTGCAAACTTAAACTTTCTTTTAATGTTCTTCTTCTTATTCATCTTGCTATATGAAAGTGTGCTCTTCATGTCCCTCTATCAAATCATCCCCACATCCACTAATGGATCATGTGTGTATTCCCTCCCTCAGCTGTTAAGCTTGTTCTCAGCAAGATGACAGAGTTCTTTATCAAGCCATCAGCCCTCTTTCTTCCTTTAACCTCCATATCTATTGCTGCTTCCTCTGACAACCAGGGTTACAAGTGAGCTATCAATCTTGCTTTTCTAAAGACAACATTGGTCAAAAAGGGAACAGGTTTGTGAAGACCAGCTCCAGGGAAATATGATCTATGCACACAAAATATCGAAAATAATAAAGGGAAGACATTGATGGTGGAATATGACAAATATGTCCCCATTGCATGCATACATACATTTTAACATTTAGATTGCTTTACTAATATTCATATGCCTAATTACCTCGATAGGTTGTAACAGCATCAGAAAAAGAACAGAACAGAAAAAGAACAAGAAGAAAAAGAAGGTCATTGTTGAAGGATGATTAAAAGTCTCAGCCATTAAGACCAATACATGACCAGATTAAACTTCTTTATGGCAAAAAAATTATCAAAAACCATTAAAACTCTGTAAACATTTAACATCAACATAAAGCTGAATTCCAGACTACAGGTAATTAAAACCAAAACCCCAAAATATTAATAGGTGGCATCAGCATTTCAATCAAAGTAAATCTGATAGACATGATATTATGATGTACATAGCACACTTAATGACCATGATGCATGTGCATGATTGTCATATCCGAGGAAAAAAAGCAGATAAACTCTTGCTCAGGTAATGGCATGACAGTGCAGGGTATGGTCAGACACAGTTTGAACAGGATGTTGAAAGTTATATCAACAGGGTAATTGTAGTTGCAATGTATAACGTCTCTTTACAAAATGGATAACACTCATCACATGAGTCGATCTTAATCATATTCAGAGGAGAACCCTGTGCTTGACCCCCTACAGGAGGGGTATTCAATTCTGGTCCTTGAGGGCCTCTGTCCTGCATGTTTTAGAAGTTTCCCTGCTTCAACACACCTGATTTGCATCGATGCACCATTAGCAGGCTTGTGCGTTGCATTTTAATAGATCCTTTTAATCAGAATCAAGTGTGTTGAACCCTTCAAGTTGACCTTCCTTTATCTACTCATTTTAGAAAAAGAAAATCTCCACAAAGTCACTGTAACCACTTCATAGTCTGCATATGATTGGCTTGAATTTATATGATAATGCATATTTCTTTTTACCTGTACTTGCAAGACTGAAGTGAAAGTTTTGGCATCTTCTGCAACTCCTCCAATGTAAAGAGATCTGGTGAATACTGGAGGGTGGTCATTTTCATCCTGGACTTTTATCACCACCTTAGCCGTGTTAGCTAGAATACATACACACAAAAAAATGTCAATTATTTTTTGCTTTGGACACAACAATAATTGCAGTTTGACAAGAAGTTCCATAGTTGAGTTGCCTGGTGAAATATATCTCTATTTGCAACTCCACTGGTTTTGCAAGGTTGCAGTTATGAACTCTCCTTATGACTCCAACCTGTGGTGCGTATGAGCAAGGGGCTGTAACTGCTGCAGACCTCTGTGCTGCCTGCCACAGCCAGGCTTCAGTTGGATGCCATAACTGTGATTTACTACAGGTTTAAACTTGCACCCCTGCTTTTCTTCCCCATGAGCCATACACACTGGTATGCCAAAAGCGTCACAATCTTCACCGAGAAGGATTAATGAGTTACTGCATTTTATACTGTCATGAAGTGATCAGTAGCTGTTTGTGAACTGTGATGAAAGATTAATCCAACACCTGGAAAGAGAGAATTTGAAGTGACTGTGTCCATGCTTTGTTCCCATGTGTACATATATTTAGACTTTTTTAAGAAGTAATTTAAGATTACTAAAATAACTAATATATCCATAGACAAGCTCTATTCTTGATACATTTAAGGGCAGTGAGGAGCATATGGAACTTTAGAATGGGGAATTTAAACAACCACTTCACTGGCAAAGGGCACAAAATAGGGGAGCGCAGTGCAAGAATGAGTGGTTCAACTGTCCAATCATGGAGAAGAGAAAGTTTTAAGTACCATATCTATTTGACTGGTGGTTTGAAAGAGAAGTAAAATAATCAGTCTATGAGGAGATGGTCTACAGTTTCAGAGTAGTTTTGACTTTCCCTGGGCAATTTCACAAAAACTCACACCTATAATATTTGGTGGAAAAAAACAAAAAAAAAAACATTCGTAAACAACTTAGTAGTGACAGTGAGCAAAACCACCTGCTAAATGCTTTTGTAAGTCTGTGACAAATAAAGTGAGTGGTGAACGTATCAGAAAAAAACGCAGGTGTGTAGTTACTTTCTATTTCAATAATATGGATGAATAATATCAGGTTATCGAGGTTATTCCAAAGTCAATGATCTTATGCTACAAAATCCACCATTAGAGGTGTGCTCATTACTGATTAATCAGTTCTCAAGCCATTCCTGATTCATTCTACTTTAATTTCCAATTAATCAACCCTTATGAACCAGTGCATTCATGTTGTATCCAAATGAACTGGTGCTCTTCATAATTGAACTGCTTCAATTATGAATAAGCAATTCATAATTACTGAAGTACTGAACAGCATCCACTCATGTCTACTGGACATTTGTACAATCATATAAGATATTAAAAACTCACAAAAGCTTTGTAATGATGCATGACGCATATTTGTATTCTCCAACGGTTTGTGTTTAGTTATATTATGAATATTTGTGCTTTGTCTGCCATTTTCCCTCTTTTTTACAAAGTAAAATATACTACTATTAAAATTTTATTGATGCATGTTTTGTAAAAAGGCTACCATGTGGACATGTATGTTCCTTGTTCAAGTCTGAAAGTATGGTGTAAAAAAAGGGAACTGCTCAGGTTCTGTTAATGGTCCTCTATGTCTGAACCACTATTATAACGGCCTTTGCCATTTATATTAAGTGATAGAAAACTAAAGGCACGTTGGAGTTATTCTGTCTCAAACTCCAACAAGGAATTCTGAATCACTAAAAATAAAACAACACTGTAAAACGTGAAAGAGGTATAGAAAAACAACCACGATTAATGACAGCTGAAGTTTTACCCCGGCAAAAATCCAAAGCAAACATAGAGAAAAACATAGCGGTGTAGAGAAAAATCCAAACAAAAACACAAATGGAAGACTATTTGTGACTACTTCATCAACAAACAATACCAAAATGTCCAGTTGTCATTACAAAGGAGGATTAATATGCTGTTCAGTGTCATGCTGATTTGTTGCCTGATTAAAATGCAAATCGAAAATTGATTTGCTACTCTAATACTAACAGAAATATAGAGTTCTAAAAGTTTTAAATAAATTAAGAAATGTCTGTGCTAAACGCTACAATCATAGAATAAAAGAGAAATTTGTGGATTTGAGATTTAATCAAGGACAATTCAGATTTGTTGAACAGAAGTGAAAGAAATATTCTATAGAATTACAGGTCAAATAAAGAGGCGGACAGAAGGAAGAAGAGAAAAAAAGTTCTAATTACAATCAAAACCACTACAAATAGAAATAATTTCTGTTTGTTTGTACGTTCACATTCAATCTAAGGCCCACCAGAACGTCAGGAATGGTTCGATGCCAGCTAAAAAAGTAACACCTTTAAAGATAAAATCCTTGATCTTCCAAACTGCTCATTAGCTTTGTGGGCCAATTTGATCTTTGTGAAATTGTTTGACACACCGACACAAGTTCTCAAAAGTTAGAAAATCCCATTAAGGCAGAGACTTGTGATTTAAAACTAGTACCAGGTAGAAATACAAGCATTTCTAAAACATCAACAGAGAAGGCAACAAGCGGGTATTGCCTAAATATTTGATAGACAGCTGCGATAGGAATGAAAAAGCAGCTTGAAAGGAAACAGAAACAGCCAATGCCAAATATAACGTCTTCCGAGACAAAATGGAAAGCTGCAGAGAACTCCTTTGGAAGATGAAAGCTGAGAGTTCCACCAAGACGTGAGAGGGAGTGATAAGAGAGAGATAAACTGATCAGCAACAACATGAAAACTACCTGTCTGATTATGTGTAGGCCCCTTTTGTGCCGTGAAAAAAAAGCTCTTGTTCCACTGAGGCATAAACATGAGATCTCAGTAACTGTTTATGCTCTTTCAGCAGCTCCTAAGCAATCTTTCCTACATGTCAGGACAAACAAACCTGCAAGGGGAGGCTGAGTCACAATGGGAGTCGGTGAGGTTTGTAACAATGTACAAGAAGATGTACGGAAAGGAGATTAACCACTGAAGAGTCATTTCCTGTCTCTGTATCACAAGATTTGACATGTCAGTCAAGTCCACCTTTAGGAGACAAGTAGGAGGTCCTGAGTCTATAAGTTTTACTAAGAGATGTGAAAGCAAACAGGATGCTGAGAGATTCCCTCACCCCCAAAGCCCCTGAGGCAATACTGGACCTGTATTACACAAACCCTGCTTCTCCTGAACATTCAGAGAGTAAACTGATATTTTTAACACTCAAGCATAAGGGTCAACTGGTCTAATCCTCACTATGTCTAAAAAAAAAAAAAAAAAAAAAAAACCCTCTTAGAATTAAAAGCAAAAGCTTAGTATATAACCTAAACATAAGCAAGGTTTATGTGCATCTCTCCGTTTAGTCATAAGCCTCCTTAATTCTACTGATATGATCATACAATGCACATCCAAGTGTAATTCCACCAATTATTCTACCTTCCATGTATTGTAATTGCACTCCCTCTGGATATTAGAAGAACTATTTTGAGACTTATAACTTGATATGTGTTATTGTACTGGTGCAGAGGATCTCTGGTGATGCATCCAAATGAAAGACCAAGCTTTAATAGCAGAGCATCAAGGGGATGCTCTTTCATTCAGCTATCAGTAGTTTAACTGTTAAGTAATTTATATAACAGTACATCAGTATGAGAGTGGAACGTTTATATTAATATTACAAACAGTATAATACGGTGTTTAACTCTGCACCCGAGTATAATTAGAACAATAAAGATCTGTAATCTATTGATGAGAATAACTAATCCTTTCATAAGAAATCCTACCATGAACTAAATCAAACACTTACTCTTTGAGGGGGCCCGAAGGTTGGAGGATGCGACTCTCATAGAGTCCGCCTCTACTTTCAGAACATAACTGGAATTGGCCTCATAGTCGAGAAGCTTGGCTGTGGAAATCACTCCTGTTGTCTCATTTAATGTAAAGAAATCTGATGAGAACAAAACAATACATGACAACAGTTAAAAAAAAGTAGTGAGTAGTAATAGTAGTAGTCGTGAGTTCCTGCACAAAGCTGGAGCTCATGAGTGAGTCATGTGATGTGAAAATTAAAAAAGGCAGTGTGAAACACTTCGATCAGAAAGAAGTTTTAACAAATGCCACAAACTAGACCACCAGGCCCCTAGCAGAGTAGCTATGACTGTACTCACCACCCTCGTTGCCTTCGATGACAGAATAAATGATGGTTTGATTGACAGCAGCTGCCATGATGACTCCCACCAGGGTTCCAACCGGAGCTTCCTCACTTACTGGGGGAAATCTGGGCATGGATCAATCAATAAATATTATGTGATAACATCTAAATATGCATGTGTGAGCTGTGGCCTCACTTCATCTTAATGGGTGACTGAAATCTGGCAAGTTAAACATAGCGGCATATTAAGTCAGTGAAACACATCCAGAATTTCATCTGCTGCCCAAGATGGAACTTTATGCTAAAAGACTAAGCACATGCAGCTATTTGCACATTAAGAAGGAAAAGAGTATAGCAATAAAACAGGATGTCACTCACTTGAACATGAATCATTACTGCACAGCAATTTTCAAGCCAAATGTTAGTGAACACAGTTTTTCCACACAACCATTTACAGTTTTAAAAATATGGTATTTTGGATATCTTTTTTTATAATTATACGAATAAAAATGTCAAAAGTAGTGACGTAATGAAAGAAAAATTGGAAAGACCCTATAGATTAAAAAAATGACATGAACAAATTTACATTTTTAACTATGATAACATTGTCTTGTTTCACATTACATATATTCTGAAATTATTTTTTAACATCCATAAATAGTGTCTCACTTTCCATTAATCTGTATAGTTGCACCAGTATTTTTCTGTTTGTAAAAATGACTTATCACAGATCAGATTTAAATAAGCATTAATTTTTGCCAGTAGATTTGAAGGTGGAGAGGAAGGATTGCTCTTTGTCCCATTACACTCCACCCACTGGGCCTTTTAACCTCATCTTTGTTTCTACTTGCCATTACCCTAATTAATTTACTTTGCAAGACAGTTGGCAAGTTCCACCTAGTCTACTAGATATACAAACATGATATAGACATTAAGGAAACTTCCCACTAGAGTACATTACCTTGAGTCTTAATGACTGCAGGTCTGTATGAATATACTGCTTCTAATTTGGCATCAACAGCATTTAATGTTTTACGAATGAGAGTAAGGTTGACTTTCCCTGGACTGTGTAGTACCACATCTTAAAACTATGGAAGAAAATGGAGCAGGGGGGGGACACCCAGGCTGACACAGCAAAGAAAGAGGAACTTTCCTTTTGCTGTGAAGCACCACTGATAACCGCCTTCTACTTTGTGCCATCCCATATGTGGCAATGTTTCACAAAACCACAAAAACCTCCCCAAAGAGTACTGAGGAGCTGAAGTAATGTCTGGATGATACAAGAATTTCAGAACAAATTGTTTTCCAGGCCTCAGCGGCATTGAAATTAAATCATCAACATGGTGCTTTTTTTTCCACCTGCCTCTCTTTGACTGTGGTGGGCAGTTTTTTTTCAGGTACTTACAACTCTGACAGATTTTCTTGGAATCTGGCAACTCTCGAATTTCCAGCAGGTTTTGCTCCATTAAGTAAACCCACTACGGTCATTAGGCCAACCGACACAGCTGGGTAAACATTATAGGGTGGGCAACCAACTGGCCAGGCTATCAAATCACCACAACATGATAAATGATGCTGTTGGAGAGCTTGATGTAAGAGTGGGTTTGTGGAGATGTTGACTTCCAGCCCAGTCAATTGCCTCTTGTACCTCCTGCTTTTTTAAGTAAATACAAATCTGTGGTTGACCAAATAAATATACAGTGGATTGAATGCTGTCCACAAGGAAAGTAGAGGAATTCTGATACATAGAGCAATTTACATAGCTGACATTTTAACCTGTCACTAACAAAGAAATACAGGCATTTCAAATTACATATATGACAGCTCGTATCGATTCAATTTAGAAAGAAGATCTAATCAGAGTATAACACTCCTCCTCCCTTTTATACTTAGCATTTACTTCTACTCTTTCGCTACAGCTTCTCCCCAAAATCTCAATTTTACACTTCCAATCAAAGCATCCATGCAAATCTCCTGCATTTCCATCCACCTCCTCCCTGGTGACCCTTCGTCTTCCTCTTTCCATCAGTTCCAGCTTCCAATCGACATCCCAGCAGAGACCATCATCAATCAAATGTATTGTCCTTATTCAGCCCTTCTCTCCATAGAAGCAATTGGAAAGAGGTAAGGGGGCAAACCTTAGTGTGCTCACAGACACTAACAGCTGGTACAAATGACTGTATGTACAGTTACTTCAAAATCCAGTGTCTTTGTCCCTCTGGTAAGAGGAATAGTTCCAGTTGACCCACATTCCCCCCTGACAGACTGCCACCCAGAATGGATCGGTCTCTGCTGCTTTCTCCCTCACTGGTTAGACACACTACTGATAAAAGGCTGCACTTCTATAAGGAGCAAAAATAATGATCTGTCAGATGGGCTTCTTCTCCACTATTCTGCGTACTGAAACCAACTGAACTGTAGGCTATCGCACAGAAACTCCACAGAGGATGGTTTGCACTCAAAAGACTACCATCACACTATAAAGTCATTTTCTAAGCAACTGCACTCTCCATAAAATCAACTGCCAAATAGAAGCACCTGACAGTAACAGATTATTGCATAGTTGTCAGTTTGTTATGAAACCAATAATCTGTGCCAAACCCTGATTTGCTAATATCTTACATCAGCAACTTTCCAATGTGTTGTTTTTTTTCCTTTCTCGTTTTTAAGTGTCCTTGATATTTGCTGTGCATTACAAAGTAAAATACCATTAAATTGTTCTCAGTGTTGTATCGAACAAGGTAATCCGGTCAACAATGGATTGTCGTCTAGCAGTGCCTACACCACACTCAAGACAATCCAGACTGTTTTCATGTGTTGTTCCAAGATGGTGGAATGACCTACCAAGCGCTACATGAACAGCAGCATCCCTTTCTATCTTTGGGAAACTCTTAAAGACCCACCTCTTCAAAGAGCCTCTCTTATTCTGACTCTTACCCATACCTCTGTACCCCTCTACTACTCTGTCTGCACTTCTTTCTCTCTCTCTTGCTGCGACCACTGATTCTGACAAGGGATTTTATTGTCATATTGATGATAACTGTAAAATTGTGTCTATCTGTAAGTCACTTTGGATAAATGTGTCTGGTAAATGCATAAACATAAATGTTTAGACAAATCTGTTCTAATTTACAGGAGAATACAAAGGTTTTTCACAAGGCCAGTACTTTTGGCACAGATATTGTTTTATATCATAAGCAAATGCTTTCTCGTAAATTAAGCCTGCAATAGCTGGAGATATCGGCAGGATAAGCTGTGGGATTCTTTTTTGGGGGGGTAATAAGGATTCAAATCTGTGTCTAATTCTTATTTTTTCTCTTCAGTTCCTAAGAGACAAAATAAGCGAATATCTTCAATCACTTGTTGATGCTTTGGTACTCAGTCAATTATCTATTGGTCATTTGTCATCCAAACAAATGACTGTAATAGAATGAGATATAGTGTGTTCGGAATATTTGCAAACCGTGCGTAATTAAACCTTACAAAGTCCAAGTTTTCTCAAAGACGCAAACGGAACATAAACATTCTAATTGTACAGCGGTTCTGTAAAACAGCAGCATTGGGAGAAAGCAACATATTTATCATCAACTCAAAAATGAACCTTGTCTACAACATCACTGTCATTTGTTTGAAGAAAAACAAACGTAATGAATATTGTCATTAAAAACTGTAATGATTACTGATTTGGAGCTAATGCAAATCGCTGTGTTAGACAATACAGTCACAGATGGAATAAAAGGAAAATACAAAAAAAATTGCACAATATCCTTTTGTGGAAGGCTCTACTAATTTAAATGTGTGAGATGGGGCTCTTATCATTACTCTGAGCAGAGAAGGTAAGCATACTGCTATCAAAGCCCTGACAGCAACACAAACATAGGCTTAATAGGATATCTCTCCTGTCTTGCTGTTGCTCCATATTTCACTTTATCCATCAGCAGCCTATTTTATTTTTTAGATGATTGCTAATTGACAATAGGAGATGCATTAATAGGGCAATGATCCAGTGGTAAAAGCCTTTACAGGTTAGTGAAAGATGTTTCTTTTCATGCGGTAATGAAGCTCCAGCTCACATTCTAAAAGTTTTAAAGCTAAAGGTCTGGTAGTCTGATGAAGCATTTAAGAATTGTTATTTTGCATAATTGTTTTTCTTAATGTTACTTTCAGTAAAGACTTTAAATTTCCAACATCAAGCTATAGCCAGAATATATTGGTGGTAAATCTGTACATCTGAAATCCACCTCCCTATCAATAAAAAACACCTGCTTTTCTTTTAAACCTGATTAACTTTTTTTCTCTGATCTTCTTTGTATGCACATCTTTTCTTACATCATCCCTTTTACACTCTTGCAATCTATGTTGTGATAATTATCCACTGAGTGTGAAATTGCTTATGACAAACTTAGGTTTAGGTTTTCTTTCAGAACAGAAACAAAAGCGTAATTGTGTTTTCGCCTTGTTTTATGATGGCGATCAAACGTCAGTATTTTTTTGGTCAAATCTTTTCATATTTGTCTTGATTAGTTTTCAAACAATTATTTATTCCAATGGCATACCCATTTAAAGTTTTCACTACTTCAGTACTTTTCAATATTGTTTTAAAAATAACTTTCTGTACTGAGTAATGAATATATATCCATCTAAGTGGTATTATTAGGCCATATGTGTTGTGACCAAGATCACACCTTGCTGTCTAAGAGAGTGAAAGCCTGAAAGGCACCACGAGAAGGTAGCAAATTTGTTATCACAAATCAAAATCAAGTCTTTCATCATGACCTGCTCCCTGTCTATTGGTACTTTCTCTCTATTCATTATCTTCAAATCAATTTCTTTGGAGATGCTTCAAAGAGGCAACCACAGCAAGTAATGGAGGAAAAAAGATTAAAAAGATGGTATTACTAAAATATGCAACAATCACGTTAAAAGAAAAATGTTGAAAAGAGGCCCAGCTAATTGAAAGATGATGTAAAGATGATGAAAAGTACAGGCATCACAGTGTCATGTCACGTTAAAATAAACAGAGTGCAGAAAAAAAGCTTCAGTAAAAATATTCTTATCTTAAGCCACAAGACTCTGGCTTATACGTTGTCTCAGTTTTCTTCAAGCTTGACGTGATTTCTCATGGCACTATCGAAGAGCACCTTAATACTATGGTGAGAGTTCAATCATCTTGTGAATAACAACCTAACTATCTGGTCAACCTCACTGTCCACCATTGACTGTTGTGTAATCAACTGAAGCTGATAGGGAACAACAATATAATTTATTTAGGCCATCAAAATCTGTAGAACACAAGACTTAGGTGTGAGATATTAATTTGCTGTGTTTTGCCCCATGTCAAATTATTTTCTAAAATATTTTGACCATAAACAACAGTAGTCAGTCATTCATCTGGAAGAGCAAGTAAAGTTTCACTGAACCAAGAGAACTACCTGTCAAATTTGTTAATTTTGAGTGACATATCTGCCTTTCAATCAATTTGACTGCTTAAACAGGATCTAGTCCATCTACACTGAGGTACTTCTACATTTTACCAGCTTTGCTTCGGTCAGTTTACGAACATTTTAGCTCATTCACCAATATAAAGAATGCTCAGTATGTGAATCGGTCTTTGTGCATCTGCATTCCATTTACAATCTGTAAATTGTTAATTTACAACTGTAACCACCATTCAAACTAATGAAAACATACCCTGGCATCAATTAAAAATGATATCACAATCCCCTCCCAGTGGATCAGCTTATCTGAAATGAATAAATCATACTTCACAATCATGGTGCAAGGCAAGACAATCCTGATCTGTTTGATTACAAAACAAATCTGGTTATTTGAAGTATTTTTTTCATCCTAACTCTTTAACAACATATAATTATATTATTTAATGAATTAAGAGGCCATGAGGCATTTTGGCAGCATGGGGGAACCACAGCATTCACACATACAAAGAAGAAAGCACATAAACACAGTCATTTGCACACATACACATGCAAAAGGGAAACATTCTCCATAATCTTTCAAAGAGCGTAATATTTCAGTCATGCTGGTATTTCCATAAAATGCTGATAACAATCCATGTGTCTGTAGTTATGATTGCATACTAATTTTGCAGGTGAAAGGAGTGCAGAATTATTAGAGAAAGTGAAAGGCAGGTATAAATTCTGCTCAGATTAAACAGGGTTCAGCAATGATTTAACAAAGTTCCTTCATGGCTTGTTTGCTGTCTTGCTGGATTAGTTAAGCGCAGAGGGAAAATACAGCAGCACAAATACTGCCAAAGCTCTGCATGACTGATGTACAGTCTCTGTATACTATGGACCTATGTGCAAAACTTTGTGTATAAATCTGTGCCTAACTGAAGTTGCCGAAAATATTTTGCATTACATCCAAAACATTTTATGTTTGTTTCATCATAAAAATCATATTGTTGATGTTGACATATTTAATCTAAATTCAATTGTATCACCAGCTATTAAATATCTTGGTGGTTCTGGAAAAGCTTAAGAAATTATGAATCAGGAAAAGCAAAAAAACAAAAACAAAAAATGCAATGCTGTGAAACTTTACTTTGCACAATCCCAAGCAGAAAGACAGCATCTGAGAAATAGTGAAGAATGGGCAAGCTCCTGTCCCTTTCTCTAAGGCCAGCCACTCCCGAAGAAAATTTCAGATGGTTGTATCAATGGCCTTGTTCAGCCTTGAGCATGACTGGATCCTTCAACCTAACAAAATGACTAAACTGTATTGGCAGACTCTTCAACCATGCTGGTAGTGTGATTAATTAATACTATAAGTAGCCAGTATCAGATGTTTTTGCCGTTTAAATCAAGAAAGAAAATGTTTTCCATACACAGATTAGAATTGAGGGACAATAATGTAAAAGAAAAGACGAAAAAATATATATACAAAAACATATTCAAAGCCAATGCACACTGAAAGGATACTCACTGTGCACGGACATAAATGTGATGTGTGATTATATGAAAAATATAAAAAAGATGAAGCTGCACACTCACACAGATATGCCAAAATATTGCTATAACTATTAGCTATGTTACATATTCATAAATGGAAAATAACATGACTCACCGGTATCTCTCTGTCTTACTGTTTTCCTTCAATCAGACAGTGTTTCACACCACTGCACATCAAGCAGACCTCTGGAAAACTGTTTGCCACAGTTTTTTTACTTATTACTTACTTAGTTTTTGTTAAGGAGTTTTATTAAGGAGAGTACACCTTATTGTATTAGGTAACTATTACATCTGTGTTCATATAAAATGTCACATAAAATGACATGTTATGTCAGATGTCACATGACAAGATTAAATAAGTACTATCAGAGTACATGCCTAAACATGAAATTGACTTCAAAGTTTGGGGCACCTTGTGGTTAAGACAGCACCAAAAGGAACTATTCCAAACAAATGCTATCTAAGTTAAAAGCAGTCAAAGTCCAATTGTAAGCATGATATTTTTAAAACCCCAAAATAATTTTCTCTCATAATTTCTGTCCAATTCTGTGAATATATATATTATGGCAAGAGCAAATGGAAGAAGAGCAAATCATACAGTGGTATATCACAACGACGGACAAACAGGCCTTCAGAGGAGGTGACAAAACAAAAATAAAACCAATTTCATTTTCATAAAAAACAGAATGAACACCAAATGGTCACAAGCAAAAAGGTAAATTATGGATAGATTTTTTTTTTTTAAACCAAAGGAGAGCCACATGAAAACAAAAATAAAATAAACAATAAAATAAAATAAAATAAACAATAAGGCTGAGTCACAATCATGACCTCAGTGACAATTCCTTTGTCTACTTTTTACATGAGATCAGATGGTTAACGGCTGTTGAGTTTGGGGTCTGTAATTACTGTGATTGTTGTAATTATTAAACAAAGAGTGAAGAGTAAGTAGTACAAGTGCTGTCTTCACTATGATAATAGGAATGCTTATTTGACTCTTTTTTGTAATTCATAATAATGAGCACCCATGTTTTATGGTTTATAGTCCTTTCAGTCACATTCAAACTTCTATGTAGCAGTTTCAGACAGCAAGACTTAATTAAGGGGATAGAGATCAAATATTGTGTTGCATTATTGCATTACTAACATATTATTGTATTTAATTCAATATATAAACCTTTTTCACTTCTGTCACACTTTATGTGTGAACATCAAAGGAACAAAAAGCAATCTCATGCCTTAACTTCTCCACTTTCCATTATCTATGCTACAATGTGGATACGTCTGTGTCTTTTTATTGTAACAGAGAACAGTTAATGAAAGTCAGTTCACTTTTGTTTCAGTATTTTGAACCTTCTCCTCAATATTTCTGTGAAAAGGTTACTGATGCACCACATAAAAAACAAATCCTCTACTTTCATATTGTTAAGCTTGTAAAATTGATACAGTGGGGGAAATAATTATTTGACCCCTTGCTGATTTTGCAGGTTTGCCCACTTACAAAGAATGCTTATTTTTCCTCATCAGATGGTTATCAATTTTTATAAATCCATATGATGTGATTTTCTGGAATTTTCTTTGGGATTCTGTCTTTCACTGTTAGAATGTACATATGATTAAAGTTATAGATTGTTGCATTCTTTGTAAGTGGGCAAACCTCCAAAATCAGCAAGGGGTCAAATACTTATTTCCCCCACTGTATATATGTATCTCATCCTGTTTTACTTCAATACATGTGACACTCAAATATCCTTCAAATATCTGGAAAGACTCAGGTAATAAGATAGTACAGCGTGTGCTGGTGTGTGTTACCTGTATTCTTCTTGGGTGAACACAGGGATAACTGATGGCTGAAGAACGGTGATTTCTACCAGAGTTGTGTTTTCTTTCACGGGGTCACCATGATCATAGGCCACCACCACCAGCTGTTGCGCGAACACACACACAGATAGAAAGAGTCAGAACATCACAAGGTGTCACATCATTGCAATATCTGTCTACTGCTGATGTTCTCCTTTATGTCCTCTAATATTGTAAAAAAGAAAGAGAAAATACCACTTCAAAACATTTTTGCTTGCTTATAATAGCAGAAAAAAAGCAGTATATAAACCAGGCTATGAGGTGAGCACATCTGTCTATTTTTTTTTTGTATCTAAAAACATCCACATTAACAGTGTTTGAGTGGGAATTGGAAAAAAGAATGAATCATTTACGCTTGCACTTTTCCTGCTTACTTAGTCTTTCCTCAAAGGAATAACACATTTTATTGAGACCCAAGGAAACTATAGTTGGGGCCAGAGTTAAATATAAAGATGATGCACAATGCTTTAGTGCCTTGTATGTGCCCATCACAACCTGTATGATCATTCTTATTTATTTTAGCCTGGCTGATTTGAATTCGGGCTGCATGGTGCTGTGGTGGTTAGTGGAGTTTACATGTTTTCTCCAGGCAGTCTGGCTTCCTTCCACCATCCAAGTAAGGTTTATTCATTACTCCAAATTGACCTTATGAGTGAGTGTGAGATTGCCCGTGAGTGAGTGCGAGTCTGTCTGTCCCATACACCTCTGTGTGGCTGTCATGCACTGGCCACCTGTCTAGGGCGTACCCTGCCTCTCGCCCACTGGTAGCTGGGCAAGGGTCCGGCCCCTTTGCAACCCTACTAATAAATGCAGTGGTGGATCATATGAATTGCTTACAATTAGCACTTTGCATTTGTTCCCAAATTCCTAAATTCATGATACCTTTTAGTGAGGAAGGTTCCTTGGTACTACTACAGATCAGTAAGATGCATTTCTTTAAAAGGATGTGTAAACCTTTATCATATTAACAGTTAGAGTTATCTTTATTATAATACACAAATTGTTCACAGTTTTGGATATATTGTTCGATCAATTTGGAACTAGTTAAGGAGAATTAGTCCCTTGAGCGACATCTCCAGATGATGCTAAATCCTTGTTGAATTCATTAGAGCCAAATTAAAAGATTACATCAGCACGGCTCAAATGCTCATTGAGGCATGCAACAAAGAAACAGTTGTGGGACCTCTACTGCAGTGTATTTTGTACAGTGGATAGTGATTTCCAAGAGTCTGTGGAAACCACCTTTATCTACCAAAATACTGCACATAACCTGGTGAAAAAACAGGTACACATCAGACATATTTTCTTCTGTGAAAATGACAGAGCTACAGTGAACAAGAGCTTCAGAACCAAGGTTTGCAGTTGATTTAGAACTTCAACCCTGTGTGGATACTTACACTGAACTTCAAGTTGGGCTCCTCATTAAGGTTTACTCTTGTAACCACATGTCCTGTCCCTTCTTCAACATCAAATATAGTAGCAGAATATGGATGTGCCTCCTGGTCCACCTTGTAATGAACAAGACTTGCTGGGGTCCCCTATAAAGAATAAAAAAAGGTGCATTAGGTTAGTTACATTAGTCTAAGAATGAAAAGTCTCATTTTTCATTAAAATGTTTTGTGTTGTTTTGTTCAATTTTTTGCCCAGCAGCCTCAAAGTGAATATCAATATTCATGAACTTATGAATAAATGAAAATTCACGCATCATTACTCTGCATGTATAAAGTCCACTTGCGATGGTCATGAATTAACCTCTTGAGTGGTTCTGGTAATAAGGAATTTAAATAAATTCTGTTTATTAGAAATAAATTGTCACAGCACACATTCACAAAAACTGGCCTCAAATCTTCCATGTGTGCAGTTTGTAGAATATTTCCTTGAAGAAGTCACAGTTATGTTAAAACATTCACACTGTCTACTTAAAAGGTGGTTTGCATGTTGTATCTGCTCAGAGTAATCTCATAAAAAGGTATTTTTAGTATGTGCTACTTGGGCTCTGTCCGACAACAGGGAAAACTAGCACAATCTACCTTTTCCATAAAATAATAAATACTGTTGTACTTTCTCCATTTGAATGTAAATGGGGGCTAAACACACAGACATATATATGCATAATAGTGGCCACAAAATGTCGTTTAGCACCGAATCTGATGTCTAGGAATTTCTTCTGCACAATTAAATGGCTTTTTTCAAGATAATCTATGCTGATGCTTCAACTTGCACTCTGAATTGTTTCAGCTGGTGACAGAGAACAGTAAGAACATTGTTGTCAGGAAATTAAGCTTATAAGAAGGCTTATGGTGATACGTTTTCTGGTTTAGAAGAGGAAACACTGAAATGAAAAATAAGTTCCGAGCCTCTTTAGAGATACTTTTGTATGAAAAGTTTTCCATAAGATATATTTGGTGAGTGAAACTGACATTTTACTTCGTGGATCTTTAAGTTAATTATAAAAATGAGAAAAACCTTTCTTAAAGCCATTTCAGACTTACATCTGAACAAGACCTCAGTGATTTAGAAGCAATCTCTCACAATACACTTGGACCCCTAATTAGGCATGTAACAACATTATAAAGCTCCTTTAAACCAGTTCATAACTGCACCACACTTTTTAAAAGCTCACAATTGAAAATTTAAGGTTCCTTTTATGAGTTAAATATACTGTCATATTGATGTTTGAAATGAAAAAAGGTGTCACTACATGCTGGCCTGGGGTTGAAAAATGCTTTGACAGGAGAAGAAAGTGTAAGCAAATTCAGATTGCACACACACGCACACACACAAACACAAATATCATTATATGGCATTATCACAACACATAATTTTACATGTAATGGAGACATAGTTTGAATATTATCAACTGTAAATGCTCACCGCAGGATCAGAGTCATTGGCCATCACTGTGGTCACAATGGTTCCCTTAACAGCATTAGGAGCAACCATACCAAGATAAAGTGACTGGCTGAATACTGGAGAAAAGTCATTCATGTCCTGCAGAGATATTTAACATAAATTATGTAGCATCAGCATATAAAACGTATACTACATGAAACAAGACTGTTTATCCAAGAAATAATAACAGTGCTAGTGTGAAAAATACCTAATGGTTTACTTTTGATCTCACTCTTACAGCTAAATTGGTCTATGCAGAGTTAAAGCTCAGTCCCTCTTGAAAATTCCTTAGATTTAGATATAACTTGTTGATACAGTAACAACACATAGTCTTTGTAAAACAAAGCCCAAGTCCATAGCATCAATGCCCTTTGTTTTTCATTTTGGCTTGAAATAATTCAAATATAAAAATATCTCTGAGAGGAAAAGTAAAATTAAAAGAGAAAAACTGTGTGTTTCATTTACAACAGATATCTTTAGCACATCGAAACAGAAGAGTGCATCATAACTTCAGAAAAACCCGTGCAGTGATGCATTTTTAAACTATTTTTATTGAGAAAAATTGATGCACGATAAAAAAATACAATGAAAGGACTTATTTTCCTTAATTTATTTTCCCTAATTGTAATTTTAATTGTATTCTTAGATATCGTGGCCTTTGAACAGAAAATCAATGTATCACAAGAGGAGGTAAGAAAACACAGGTAAGTCAATTCATTGACAGTATACCAGATAAAGCAGGATCAGACAGTGATTGATGTTTGTGTGACTTAGTTACATCAGTGGGAGGTAAACGAATCAAAAGGACAATGTGGAGCTAAAGCAGATGAACATCAAAGTGTTTTATCTGTACAACCGAGGCCATTTTTTTGTATATCGCAACTGCTCTTTTGTCAGTCATATCCTCATTGCTGGGGAAAGCCAGGAAGAGTTCGAGGGCCTGAAAAGGAGCTGGGCCGGCACTGTGGTCACCAGGATGGCTCAAGAAATTCCCCTAAAAAGGCAAGGCCAAGAGGCACCAAGGAGAAGACTTCCATTAATAATTAGGTGGTCAAAAGCTAGTGAGTTGGCATTTGTTAAAAATTGGGCTTTTTTTTAATTTTTTTTTTATTTGTTTATTTGACAGGGACAGTACAATTACACATTGCAACCAAACAGGCGGCCGATGTCCAACTACATAAGGCTTGTAGCCATGGGCTAATTTGCAGCCTTCGTCCCTGGTTAGGCTTTTAAAAGGTGTTAGCATTAAGGGGGAGGGACAACACACAGATGCATAAGAAACAAGAGTTAAAACAAAAAAAGAAATGTAAAGTACAAGCCAGTTTAGTGCTCACACCCTTGATTGTCTTTGAGCCATTTTTTCAATTTTGTGGAGAAAAGTCGAACATCAGTCTGTGACTTAAGCTCCAGAGGCAAAGAGTTCCAGAGGTGTGATGCTTTCACTGAGAAGGCGGACTGACCCATGGATGTCCGACATCTTTTAATCCTGCAGTTCCCACTAGCTCCAGCTCTTGTCCTGATTCCTTCATTTGCATACTTTAAAACAAATTGACAGATTGCTTCAGGGGCAAGACTGTTAAGGAATTTAAAAATAGCTTTTAAAAATGAGAAATGTATAAAATTTTCAAATGTCATCATATTGTATTTTTTAATAATTTTGCAGTGATGCCACTTCACCGGTTTTTGATCGAATATTTTTAGTGCTTGTTTGTGAAGTGAGAGTAAGGGTTTTAAAACAGACTTTGTGGCCTGAGCCCAAACGATGGAACAATAAGACATATGTGATAAAATCATTGCATGTAAATATACTTGTGCAGCTTGATTTGACACACATGGTCGAATAATTCGAAAACAGTTTATATTTGTCTTTATAGTTTTCGTCATTTTCTTAATATGGGCATCAAATTTCAATTTTGAATCTAAAACTACCCCCAGATACTTAAATTCACCAGCCGGCTTTATTTCATGTTGATTAATAATTATTTTGAGTTCATTGTTTGTAATTTTCTTAAGGGAGAAACACATGGAGACAGTCTTGGTGTAATTCAGAGTTAAGCAGTTATTTTGGAGCCACTCTGATAAGATGCACAACTGTCTGTTTAACAGATCAGAGGCCTTTTCAGGTGTTTCTGCTGCCACATAAATTATTGTATCATCTGCATACATTTGACAGATGGCATCTTTGCAGATGTTTGGAATATCATTTATGTACAAACAGAAAAGTAATGGGCCCAAAATGGACCCCTGTGGTACACCCACATTACATTTTTGGATCCCAGATTTGAAGCCATTAATTTTGACGCACTGATGTCGTTGCTCAAGATAAGATTTGAACCAATTTAAGGTTTGTTTAGAAACATGTTGTTCCAGTTGAAAAGTCTCTGCATGTTAGTTTGGAGTCGGGGGCCCAACCTGCTTGGGGACATCATCTGCCCTGGATAGAAAATAGTTTGAAGTAATCAACAGAAGCCAGTCATCAATACCTGGCCTGGGGGGGGGGGGCAACAACACTGCAAGTGGTGTTGGAGAAACCAAGAATGAAGACCTCAAAGGTCTTTGGAAAGAGATCAGGTAGATGTTAGCTAATCCATGGAAGACGGATTACCATTTATTTCAAGATAAGAGTGAAAGAGTTAAGTATTAAGATCAAACCTATCAGATCCCGTAGCCTCTCAAACCAAAGGGAGGAAGAAGTGACAGGATCATCCTTGCTGTGATGATGACCATTTCTTTTAAAGCCATGAGGGGCAATATATGGCAGAATTATTTGGCAAGTAAGCCCGAAAAGCCATGATGAAGCAGCTGACACGGCCTCTCAAGTATCAACTAGTGTTAGTTCCCAGAAAATTTGAAGCAGTGGTTTTGCTATGCCACCATCAATGTGGCTGCTCAAACTTATTCAGGATTCATTTCTGGAGTGCTTGAAAAAAATGTCTCATTGGCAACCTTTGCAGGAGAAAACCATCTAATTTATAAAGATCAAGGAATCCACTGATCAGTGAGTGAAGACTATCAAAGTTCAGATCTGCACAACGTGCAAATGTAAATTCACAAGTATAGGCGGAGCACCACAGTAATGACCGCTCTCAACTCAGGACTGCAGCGTGAGAGTCTATCTAGGCAGGAATCCTCAGTTTCCATCTGAGATCACCAGCACAAACCTACCTCCTGACCTCATGTTGTGGAACTGCTAAGACACAGGGGTTAATATTACATGTAATTGGTAATTGATACATTGATGTTTTTGTGTTGTTTTCTCTTTATGTTAACTCATTCAGTCTCATAGTTTTCAACAGTGCTCTTTGTGCTTTTTAGAAATATAACATTTCCTACTGGAGAATCCTATGTTACTTCATCAAAGGCTCTTTTTTTCTGGAATAACCTGGTCCAAATAACAGGGTATTAGCAACACTTATTCATAGAATTCTGCTGATTATGAAACAAATCTTACCTTCATAGCCCCCTGCACATTAGTTTTTCCTCTATGTTTCATTTCCTTTTCCAATAACTTTTCAAATTCAAAAGGGTGACAGCCTGACCTCTATCTTTTTTCTTTATTGCTGGACAGAGAAACAATCTTAGAAAAACATACTCACCATTATTCTGACAGTAACAGAGGCTAATCCAGGAGGCATGGTTCCTTCTGTGTCCACAGCTTCTACAATGAATGTGTATGAAGGTTCAGGGTCACTCAGAGTCTCATAGTCCAGAACCCTGAGAAGTGTCAGCTCCCCGGTTACGGGGTTAATGTGGAATAGCTGCACTATCTCAGTATTCAGGTCTTCAGTTCTGATTTGATATGTGAGGTTGGAGCTGAGGTCAGCATCTGTTGCCTGAAAAGAAAGAAAAGAGGAAAGAAAGTAATGTCACTGCTGGGATTTTTGTTTCTTTTTTTTGTAAGTTTCATTTGTCATTTTTTGTAAGCAGGATTTACAAAATACGTGCAGCAGGTAAAACCGACCTTTCTCTTGGGATTAGTGTTGAACTGACAAATCTGAAATGCCTGTGGTAGTAACCTTGCTGAACCCTCTGGTGGTCTATATAATATTTTTTCTGTTGTAGAAATTCAACTGACTACTGCAATGAAACCTGTTTTGTGATTTGTTTTTTTATGTTTAGTGCTGCCTTTAATTAAAACTCTGTAAGGGCAAATGTAAAAAACAAATGTAGTAACCTGAACTAATATCAAAATTAGCCCCATAGACAAGACAAGTTGTATTACCCATATTGTTGGTAGACTAAGTACATCAACCTTAGGTTCGATAGATAAGATTAAAAATCAACATTTTTACAGAGCAAGTATATTAGCATGATAAAAATACTAAGCTCAATTTAATAAAGAATGTGCCGCTAAACAGAGGAATTAACAGTTCTAACAATTCCCCTGTAAGGTCATGTATTGCTTTTAGTTTAATATTGGAGTAGATTCTTCCTTCCTTTCTTAATGGTAGCATGTTTTCAAGGATTTCAAAATATAACAGGAACGATATACTGGAAAAAAAAATAAAAAGCACATCTGAACTGCAGCTTGATTGATGGCAAAAGAGATTAGTGATATTGCCAAATTACACATCAAAATATACATTTTGAAAAAGAGCAAGCCCAGGGATTTTGTGGAGCATACATTCTGTTAAATGTGAGTCATCATCTTTTTGTAAAACACTGTAACTGTAACTACTTCAAACTAACCAAAACGGTCACAGCAGATTTTTCATTAGAAAAAGGCCTTATTTACATTTTAGAATAAGAGAAATATAGATTGAAAAATGCAGAACAGAATGTATACACAGCAGACGACATAATTTATCTTATCACATGTATTTAATTCTTTGCAAACCAACCTTAATCTGTATCTATGCACATACCTTTAATTGCAACAAAACTGTATATTTTGGGCTGTTCTCTGGCACATCAACTCTGTATGTTTGCTTGGAGAATATCGGGCTGTTGTCATCGATATCCAGAACGGTGACAGATAGTGTCAGTCGGGATCGCCGAGGGTCCACTGCACCGTCCGAGGCCTCAACAATAAGTGAGTAGTGGCCTTCCACCTTCAAAGTTGAAAATGTTTGGTCAAAGTTCTCAAATATTTACACTAATATTTTGCTACTGGTTCATACTGCATGTTTTATATCCATGTAAAACAAATATGTGACTTCCTCTGACCTCTCTGTCCAGCGGCACTGCAGTTCTGATGGCTCCAGTGGCGTTAATGGAAAACAGAGTCTGGTGGTTGACAAGCCTGTAATGGACCTGACCATTTGCTCCTAGATCTGGATCTGTTGCCTAAATCAAGATACATAAAAAACACACATATAAATGCACATCATTAATGGGGAGAACTGAATATTTTGAGTTGATGTTCTGAAATAAGAAATGTTTTGAATACTGCCTATGATTAAACTGCCTATGATGAAAGCCATTATTTAAATTAAAAGTGAACTTCCTCATGAACATTTCTGAATTGTTTTAAAATAAAACAGGACATTTATGATTTATACATACATTTCTTTAATACTTCTGAATACTATTTCTGAATACTTATGACTATATGATTTTCAGTTAAATAGATTTGCCAATATTTCTACATTTCTGTTTTTTTCTGATGGGATGCTGAGTGTACATGAATGATAAATAAAATTAACTTTTTTCATTTTAGCAAATGGCTGCAATGAAACAAAGAGTGAAACATTTAAAGGGTTCTGAATGCTTCCCATTCCCACTGTATGTAACTGTTGAATGCTTCTTTAAGTTAAATTCTGTTTTTTGCTTTCTGAAAAAAAAATGTTGGTATGCACAACTGTTTTCGTTAGGATATTGAGGTCAAGAAGCGTGGCTAAGTACTCCTCCAATGAACCCGAAATGCAAACGAAGGTCTGAGGTGGAGGAGTTACTGGATAGCTCAAATCTGTATTTCATGTAGTTCTCCTCTCAAATTTCCTCAACTATTTCATACAAAACATTGTGATTGTTTAATACATTTTGGTTGTTTGAAATCTTATTTTAGGTTTTATTTTAAAACTGGCTAATTGCGAACAGCTCTCCCAAAACCTTTGTATGGCTGTGCATCCTGACCTTTGAGTAGACACAATAAGTAGCAGTCACAAAAAATACAGCACATAATTTAGTTTAAGATTTCGAAAGACAGGTTAAGTATGTGATTAATTTGTCACTGCTGTCGCATTACCGTTTCCTCTTATTACAGTTTAAAGGAATTCAAGTAAATTCATTCAAGTTGCTCCACTTTACCAGGGCTAATGACACTGTGGTTTTAGTTTTCACATGGTAGTAAAATAGCTTTCCTCTCTTGTGCTTCTGTCATCTGGCTATCCTGTTCTACAATCAGGCCCCAACTTATCCACATTACCTTGTTTCACCAATAAAATAGCATGATGAGAAGGTGACAAATTACAAGCACATTCCTTTCCCCGTGTCTGAGAGCTGGTCCTGAGTAATCAGCACTCAGACTCCATTAAAAAGGATGAGACCAATGCAGATGACACACTTAAAGGTTTGCGTGTGAGACGAAACAAAGAATAATTTTTGCTGATCTATCAGTCTCCCAAAAATAAAAAAAACAAAAAATTTTTTTTTTTATAGGGAAAAAGAAAATAATCTTGTATTATTTTGTTATTCATACTTAAACTCATTACTGTGATGATGAAGTGTTTTTGTGGGATTCTTCATTCACCGTTTATTGACTAATTCCGAAAATGATACATTGTGTTACATACGTGTAAAAAATGAAGTCGACTTCAAGTTTCTATGATTCATCCGGGCGAAGGCTGTGGTTAATTAACTTATACCTGTGGAACCTCTGGACTTAGCCAGATGTGCTTGCTTCTTATTGCTTTCATTCTATAAGCTAGGCTAACAGAAATTGAAATCTTGTTTTTTCCTCGACAAAAGTCATCACCATTTATATTCCACTCTGGATATAAAGAATTTGACGCATGTGAAAGTTCAGAAGCAAATATGGAGAGTATTCAGAGATGTTGAATGCTTTCATGCGAATTTCAAAATGCAAAATAAGCTTAGCAGCCCAGTGACTTGTGCACTTTACTTTAGACATGAAAAATACACCTCTGTGACATAGGCAATTTTAAGTAACTGGAGAAAAAGAAAATGTAAAACGAATATAAAATGTATCTTGCCAAAACAAGATATATATGATTATAAAGCTGTCAGGTATTTGACATATAAAAAAGAAATATAATTTTCCATTAAAGTTTCTTCAAGCTACCAACAGTAAAGTTTTCATAGCACTGTATTTTAGAAAACAGATTAAATGTCCTGCATCGGAGGTTGCACTAATTATCTGCTGTAAAATATGTGAACGACTGCAGTTCATTTAGCAGGAGGCCTAAATGTGTAAGAAGGATGCACATATACACAATAGATTTAACTTCTTACCTGCCTCACACCTATGAGTTTTCAACAGTTTTCAGCAAAACAAAACAGGCTCAAAGCCTGAAATGTCTTTTCCGCCACCACAATCTTCTTTGCTTCTCTGTTCAAGTGCTTAAGGCATTAGTTCTTACAGTTTCAGCCTTCGTTCCTCATTTCTTATTTCAACCTTTTCTCACCTCCGTTTCTGTTTTCATTATTAATTTAGTTGGAGATATTACACATGACAAGAAAAAAACTATCTTTGTGGCGATTGACCGTTGGTAAACCATGGATTTTCTAGCCCTTAACCATCACAGCTGAATTTCAAACAAAATATGTATTCACACCCTATTCCTAACCCTAGTGATAAAACAAATTTTGACCCAAACATGTGATGATCACCATTTTATCTCCAGAGAACAAACTGGAACTATAATAGATCTCAGCTTTTTCGGTCTTGCAACTACAAAGAAACAAGTACATACATAAAGTATGTTGTATTTCTTAGAAATGTGTTTGTACCTCAGTGTTCTGTCATTACAAGACTAAAACAAGTTGATTTGAAGCTAATAACAATCTTTTTATTTCTATAGGGTTCATCTTTAAATTCTACAGCAGGGTCTTACATAGAAAAAATAACAGCACAAGTAAAAGAGCATAGAAAATAGAAGAAGAGCGATTAGATAGGGATTTCAGAAGGTTTTTCCTCCAGATTTTTTCCCCTATGAATCCCTCCATGACCATTTGCAAAGAATACTGATCCACTTTTGTGTAACACATCACCTGTCCTTACACAACCTTGTAGAGGGTAAGGCAATCACACCACCGACAGTGTGTATTTATTTATTCATTTTCATTTCAGCTAACAACTGCAGCAGGTGATTTTAGTGATTCATTCTCCTCTCTGAAGTTAAAGGTGTGAGAAATCACCAAAATTGTGTGATGCCACGCCTGAGAGCAGAAAACCCTCCTAGTCCCCTTTCATATGAGAGCTTATAAACCTATATGTTGGGAATAAAATACAAAAAAAGGTCCTCTAAATATTTAAAAAATGCATTATTAGATATGTTAACATGGCATTTTTTCTTTTAAAAAATCATTTTGGATTTTTCAACAGCTGCAATGAAACAAGTTACTCTGGTATTATACACTGCAACCCAATAAATGTCAATATTCATCAAATAAATTTGCTCCAACATTTACTATATAGAAAATATATATTTCAGATCAACTATTAAACTTGTGCGAATAAATAGCGAAATAGCGAATAAATAGTGTATAGAGGATAACGTGTTTGCTCAAAGACTGAAACTGCACAACGGATTGCACATGTAGATGAGTGCACATGCTGATCTGCAGAGTTTACATTCTCACTCTTTTAGCTCTGTAATGATTTCACCAATACAAAATGATCAAGGATTTCATCAAATCTGAATAGAAAGAAAAGCCAGGCAACATGCACAAAGAGAGTTTGTTAGATTCTTAATTCAGACAGGTTTTGAAAAAGAAAAATAGAGCTTTTTGATTTTTGACAAGCTCAAGAACACAGCGTTGAAATTCATCCCACACTGTATTATTTTCAAACTGGCTGTCCAGCAAAGATAAGCTTTCTTTCATATAAACATGTCCCTTTTTCTTTTGAACGCTGCCCGTTCCTCACCCTTGCCTTACATTTCCAGCTATCTGTCATGTGTTTGTTGTATTTCAAGTATTATTTGTTTTCTTTGTTGTACAACTGTCCCAAAAAATGTATGAGCCTCACCCCTGAAAACACTGAACGGGTTCCAAACTGACTTTTTCTATAGTGACAGCTCTTATTAAAAGTGGACCTTATCCTGTTACTAAGTTTAGCGAACATTCACGAGAGCACAATTTTAAAATTCTAAATGTTTCAACCAGCCAGATTCCTGAATTTCAAACAAGTTTAACAGAAACAACATTAAGACAGCTCTATCTATTTTCTTGTATTTTTACTGATTCACACAATCAGACTCTGAATTGATCTTGATCTATTTCTTCCCCTTTTCAAAAAGGACCTACTAAACTAATCAAATGTAAGGCTAAGAAAGCTGCATCATACCCTTCACTTTGTCATTTGCCCTCCTCTGTGTCCGCATCCTTTGCCTTTCCATTGTATATTTCTTCCATTTGTCTCTGCCAACTGTGCATGTCACACTTTCTCCCCTCTTTCTATCCCTCTCTACCCTACCTGCATTAGCAAACGAAGGTCAGGTCCATTCATTCTTACAGAAATCTGTTTTAATACAAACAGGTATGGGTCCTGTTTTGGAATGAGGCCCAGAGTTATGTTTTGCACAGTGCACTGAGGGATCATACTTTCTGTTTGGCTTTGGAAAATATCCAAAGGTCCTTGAAAAGGAGGAAGTTCAGGACTGAATACTTTCAAGTGCCCTCTCTGCAGATTAGGATGGGGGGGTTGCATCTGGAACATATCCAAAGGTCTGACTAAGAGTTAAGATTTTGAACGCTTTGAAATGTTCTCTTTTAGGAAATAGGGGAGTTTACAAGTATAGAATTATGTCTGTTATTCGAGAGAAAAAAAACTTTTATGTTCAGAATCCATGAAAATATGATGTGGCCAAAATACCAAAGCAAGATGTTCAAGGTCAGTTTGTTGAACCTTTAGCTATGGAACCTTGAAAAATACCATAAAGATGGACATCAACAGATAGAGAGGAAGTCAGAGTTTATCAAAAACAGAAAGATAAAGGAATCCTTTCTGCATGATTTATATATCTGTATGTGTGTATGGAAGCATCGTCTTACCTTGACCTGTCCAACATATGCAAGATCCTGCTCCTCAGTGACCGTAAGGTTCACTGGAAGAGAAGAGTTGAACACTGGGTCGTTGTCATTTACATCAGTCACCAGGATGTTCACTGTCGCAGTGGAGGTCTGCACAAACACACACACACACACACAGAATTATGTTAATTTCTAGTTTTTCTTGACAGTTTCAGAAAGTTTTTCGTTTAATTTTCCGGTAAAGATAAAGCCAATGTGAAGATACAGCCAATGATGAAATATTGAACATAAATTAACTTACTGATGCACTAATACAAGACATTACAGACTACCTGAAGAATATATTCCGTCCCGAACCAGAGGTCAAATAGCATCTTACGATATGCATTGTCTTTATCTGTACAGTGAAACAGGATTACTGCAACACCCTGTACCCTCCTCGGTCTGTGGCAGTATGATGGATTCACAGGGCAAATAGCCTATTAGGCACTTTGTAGTCTGACACTCTCGCAACAGGACGTTTAATAATATGGAACACAAAATGTATGTGCACATATAAAGACAAGTCAAGGCCTTTGGGGTGATGCTGATTAATGGGCGACTATCAGGCAGCTAAACTCCAACATTTTTTTTTTTTTCTATTCCGTTTCTTTCTTTTCATGTCTTTCCTTCTGATAACACTCCTGACTCCACTCAAAGATTCTCCTTTTATTTTCGTTGTTTTTTTTAAGTTTTAGTCTAAAATTGTTTGTCTCTTTTAAAAAAAATAATGAAATGTCAAACCAAAAATGTTTCTTACTGTTAGCCACTTTCTGTGTGAATGCCTGTGTGTACAAAAGGTCCAGCTATTGGAAAAGAACATTCCTTTGTTCAAATAGGTCCAAAAGAACACTTTTTGTTTTAACATGATTATTGGAGAAAAGACATATTTAGATGATCATCTATTGGAATAATAAAGACATAAGCCAAACAAAAGCCAAATGAGCAGAGAGAACAGGGGAGTGCAGACGAACTCCAATGTCCTCATCTGACTTTCCTCCAAAACACAAAGTCAAGAAGTGAGTCTGGTGACAGGCAGTTAATTATGTAAGTGATAATATGAGCAGTGCCACGGATTCATTTTTGTTTTCGCAAAGATCTACTTACAATGGAGTTACAACAACATGATAAAACAGGTTTTAGCCAGTTTCTATTCATTAACCATTTATTCACTTTGGACTGTCAAGTTGTAGTGAAAAAACTGCTAAACTGTCTAAGAGAGATGTAATTCTACTTAAAACAGATTTAATGGCAAATATTGTAAGATATGTATAAGTAGTGCTTTAAATAGGCAAGGAATGAATGAGTAAAAACATAAAAGTAGAGGCAAAGTGCCTGTTTTCTCTTCCTTCTCAATACAGTTAATTACAGAGTGAAGATAGTCTGAATGTTGAATTGATGGTTACAGATAGATACACGTGGATGTCAAACAGTACAAATAAAGTTTCCAGATTTCTAAAACAAGAAAAAAAATCCCAAGTTACTACGACATACAGCTAAGGTCAGAGACCATGTTCAAATGGAGTGTTTATGGTAACATTTTAGAATCAGTTAAGAGCATTATTTGTCAAATTGTATAGACTTCTTCATCAATTTAATGCATATTATGAAGTGCTGGACACCAGAATGAAAAAGTGTTTCACTGCACTGTTTGGTTTAAATATTCAGTACTATTGATAATGTATCAGAAAAATGAAAGTACCGGTAGTTTTAAACCATGCAACTGATTTTCTTCAAGTGTGAAAATGATAATAACAACTATTATCAGCCACTTGCTTTTTCAAGCAATTGACAAGGAAGAAAAAATATCTCTCCTCAGTCTTACGTTTTAATGCTCCTTTAACCCTATGTGAGGATTCCAATACAGAAATACACCTTTTGAAAAAATTCTCAACTTTGTCTTAAAAAGCTGTAAGGTACTCTGGATTCAGGTTGTGATAAGTGACTGCATGGTAAAACGGCAGTTAACACAGGCCTCACACAGCAAAGAGAATTCTCTGTTGAATTCTCAGCAGGGGTCTTTGCATCTGGAGTTTGACGTTCCTATAATCTTAAGTGAATAAAAGCCGTAGTAATTACAGAGATGTAAGGTTGATCAGTATGAAGTATTGAGAAAGTAATGAGAAAGATTAGTGAATTTTATGCTTCATGGGTTCTTAACTTTCTCTTGGCATGATTTATAATATTTTCAGCAGGTAGTGGGCCCACAAAGTTATGAAGCCAAAGAACATAATCTGTCCAAGTATGCTGTTCCTCCTTTCAAATGACGCAACAGTTCCTGTTTGCAGCCTGTCTCTTTAAAGACTTTGGCCTCTAATATGCCTAATTCGTAATGTAGTTTTCTTCAACTTAATGATGTCAGTTTAATTTGCACAATGCCTAATAGATATTTCAAGAAAATGCTTGAACAAAAAAATTAAAAGAGGAATTGTACATCAGTATTCTAGGGTCCAATTAAATTTACCAATCAGAGCCTGAATGACTTTTTCAGCGGAAATAAAACCCAAAATGCAGCCTTTCAGACAGAAAAAAGAGATGCAGCCACAAAACACACTAAAGAGTATAATGGAAGGAACAGTTAATTGAATCTTACAAATTACGAACAATTTTGATATTTGCCAATTAGAAATTGATGAACTTGTAAATTAACAAAAACTTGGCAATTTGAAAAGAGAAGTGGGAAAAGCTTCAGTGTGGTCCCATGTGACTTTACAAACGTTTGTTTTGTGAGTGCCGAAAGAACAACATAATCAGAAGGAATTGAACTGTGTTTTATAGATCTTTGAGAAAAATATACAATATCATTTTCAAAGTGAAAGTGTGCAGTGAGACAGCAGTAAGGTGTGTTTTGGGAGTGACAGATGGCGTTAAGACAGACATAAAACTGTACCAAGGGTCTGTTCTGAGTCATCTCTTGTTTGCAATGCTGATGGACAGACTTTTGGATGAGATGAGGCGAGAGTCTCAGTGGACTTCAGTGTTTGGAAATGACATTGTAAAGAAAGTATGGAGGAGGATGGACAAAGTGGAGGCATGCTCGGGAGAAAAAAGCATTGAAAGTCAGTGGCAGCAGGACAAGTGACATGTGCACAATAGGCTGGGGGGACCAGAATAGTGGGAATACATGGAAGTGGTGAAGGTGAATAAGTTTAAGTAAGTTTAGCTGGATTTATAGTGGGTTGGGGAGGTGTAAAAGAAATGTCAGTTATGATTTATGACTGGAAAAAGTCAAAGGGGAAATGTAATGACTGTGGTTTCACAGCTATGTTAATTTAGTAAGACACTATAACACTTATACAAAGATGACTGGATTAAAAATACTTTGTTTCACAATGAGAGTGACAAGTAAGAAAAGGAAACACAAACTCACATCCAAAAGAGTTGGGCCACCATGTTAAATGTAAATCAAAACAGAATGCTATGACAGGCAAATCCCCAAAAGATTTGATTGGAAGCAGAATATAGCAAACAAATCAAATTCTGAAAGAGAGGATTTTAATGAAGTTTTATTATTTCTTAAAATAGTCTAAAACCAAATAAGTTGCACATCAGTTATTGGATCAAGGTGAAAGAAAAAACCAAGAGATGCATTTGAAGTAACATGAGCTGTGCCTTTGTATGCACCTCCTAATTTTTTATCCTTTTTTCTCTACTTTAAAGTATGTATGAGGTATTTTGCTGGATATGAGAAGTGACTTTAAAATGGGCGGAACGTTCTCCTACCAATCTTTAGTTTGATGTTTCAGTTCCTGGTCCACATGTCAAAGTGTCCTTGGGCATAACACAGCCCTATTGCAAACGGATGTGTTCCTGTATCCTTCTAAAGTGTGTTTGCTAAATGCATAAAGTAAATGTAAAATTCAAATCCAATAAAGTCCAAAAGTGAGTTAAATCGGATGAGCCAAACTTGATGCTGCACTTTTTGAATTTGACCAACTTTGTTTTCTTTTCTTTTTTGCCAAGGGCTATCATAGCGTATTCAAAAACTTTCTTATAATATTCAAACTCAATGTCAAGTATGTACAAAACTAATCACTCTTTTCAGATAATAAAACAGCTGCTGTTTATGGCATTTCACTGTACAGGATTCAGAATCCCTTCCAGCAGTCGCTCAGATGAATTCCTCTGTGGGTGTATGACAGCTTGCGTAAAGAGAGCAAGTAAATATCTGCTTGGTACAGCTGAGTTTCTTACTCCATCTGGATTCCCGTCTGAGGCTGTGACCACCAGGGTGTAATAATCCTGAGACTCCCTGTCCAGAGGATTGTCCAGAACCAAATACCCCAAACTGGAGAGAGAACACACACAGTTTTGGTCAATACTCCAAGAGCAAACTTGAAAATATGTCACAGCAAATAAACAATAAACAATAAACAATTTTTTGTAGTTATGTTGTGGGCTGGATAAGGTAAAGACGCAATTTCCTCTTGCCTGTTGGTTTGATATAGAAAAAAGAATGTCTTCACCTAATGGGTCACCTAAAAATCAATATTGGTTCACGTGTGGACGAACAACAGCAAATCTTAATGCACAGCAACAAATCAAAAAGCTTTTTTAAAAACATTTTTTATGGTCGTGCTGATCATTTTATTCCTGATACTATTGCAGACAGACAGCAGTGTTATGATTGAATCACAGTGCAGAATTTTGGGATTGTTTTTTAATTTTTTTAACCAAATAACAAAATCAACAAAACTGTACTAGAATGTAAAACAAAAACCACCAAAACCAGCTTCTTCAAATTAGCACTATCTCTTTCTGTCTTTCCTCTCTAGAAATATGAATACGATTCAATCCCAGGATCAGAAATGCAATTTCAATCATCAAATTATTCAACATATTAAAGCCAACAGAGACTTTGCATGTGAACAAATGTGTGTGCGAGTAGCATAAAGATGCGCACATGTGATGATGTCTGTGTGAAGCTTCAAACTAAATAGTAAACATTATGATGCTTTCTGCAAAAACATGAGCAGGGAGAAACACAAAACCTAACAGCTGATGTCCAGGAAAAGCAGAAGCAACACTAGGGAGGGAAAACACAAAGACGGAAAAATATATAGTTTAATTTCTGAAACCAGCCCATGTACTTTCAGGAAATATAATCAACACAAGCCTTGTGCATGGACACATTTACCTCTCCTGCAGTACAAAATGTCCATTGACGTCTCCACTGTGGATTTGGTAGGTTATGGTGTCCTTCTCTCGATCCACTGCCTTAAAAGGAAATGGAGACGAAAGTAATATATCTACGTCTTAAAGTAATGAACTGGGTATTCAGTCTCAAATTCTAATTAATGTAGCTGTTGTGGGTATTTATTGACCTCAACTCCTAAACACACCAATTTGCACTGAAGGGGCTGTAATCTGGGCAAAAAGCATGGGGCTAACCCATTTACTGTAACACCTCCCATAAGTGATTTTCATACTGATGGCATCAATTTATGGGCAAAAATGAACTAGATTTATCAATTGTATTTTTAAGAGCTGGTATCTCCCTCACAGCACAACTCTGCGGAGTTTATGTTTTGTGTCTCCAGTTTAAACTATCAATTCAGTCTAAATAGTTGAAAAAGCTGAGATTATAACAGCAAATGTGTTGTCCAACACTGTCGGCAGGAACCAATCTAAAGGCATCTCTAAAGGGTTATCTGGGGTCAGTGGTAGTTACTGGACTGATTATGAATAAACTATGAGCCTTAGACCGCTTAAAGGCATGACTGATGATAGGAAAGGATTTGAAATAAACAGATAATTTGAACATGAAAAAATATCCTTATTTGATACAGTAGTGCTTCTGAATTGGTCTAGAATCTTAACCATTTCTTCCTACGTTTCTACTACGTGAGTCTCTCAGAAAAGAAGTTATTTTTTTCATTTGAAGGTAAAATTAGAATCAGCAGGTTTTGAACAGAAACTCTGCTTTCCTAAAAAGAACAGACATTATAAAACATATCAAAGGACATTTCTGAGAACTAAACCATCATCAGTCGATCTTTACATTTCTAATTCTACAAATTCACAATAATGAACACAGAATATCAAATACCAGGGCTACTCTCCTTAACAGCAGTCTTCTTATAAAAATCCACCCATGAAAAACATTGTTACTCTTTGTGAGTCAGTCACCTTGATATACACCACGATATATATAAATATACAGTATATATATATTCTCCATCCATTTCCTCAACAGCTTATTCCCAAATATACAAAATGTAATATGTCCGTGAAATCATGTGAAATGTTTTTTATTTTCCCTTGGGATATACTTTAAGCTATGACCAAGTGGTAAAATAAATCAGCAGCTCAGTCAATTAAAAAAGAGGAAAAAAAGACGATACAGTGGTAATGATGAGGCCAAATTGGGTATTTGAAAGAAATACGAAGTAAACTAAAAAACAACTTGAAAAACAACTCAAAAGATTTCTCAGCCACTTGCTAAGAAGGCTTGTGTATGAGACAGAAATATGCGTACCTGCAGATTAAGCAGCGTTGCACCGGTCCTCATGGCTTCACTGATCTCCAGGTTATATTGTTGCCGTGAGAAATGGGGAGGGCTCTGGTTGTTTGGAGGCAAAACTTCAATATAGACTGTGGTAATGGATGACCTAAGGAGAAGATGAGAAAATGAAAAGACAAAAGGGAATGAGGCAAGGTAAGGCAACTGGGACAGTTGAAGAGAACACACAGACAGACACAGAAACAACCTCAAACACAGAAGCCGATTAATGAACAATAGCAGGTAGGGGAGGTTGAAAGTGGAAAGGGAGGAGAGGAGGAGGACCCCAGGACCTGTAGAAAAGCCCTTACCGATAGTAGGGAGAAAGCATCAAGGAGAAAGAATCGCTAATGATTTAAGTGAAGTGTGACCGGATAGTATTTGTTTCTTTGCTCTTCATGCTGTGTTTAACTAGTTGGCTGCAAGTTTTTTTTTTCTACAATAGTTTTCACAGCTCGAAGGTTTGTATTGTCCATCCTGACAAACTTATTGTTCTGCTTTAGTAATTCATTTGCACAGAAGGTGATGTAGTTTTACAGCAAGAGAATCTGATAGAACTCCATGTGTTTAATTAGTGTTTTAAATTCTTAATACTTTCCTTTATTCCCTCTGCGTTTATGCCTGTTGTTTTACCAAGTTTCATTCAAGGGATTTTTCTCTCTATTCATATTTGAAGAAGGGATCATTATTAGTATTTTGGTCAACATGCAAAATACAAAATGCCTTTGTTAAGTTGATGTTTAGAGGAATATTTGAAGGTTTATCTTTCCACATCAGATACTTTATAATCTTCATTTTCTCCAAAAACTCCTGAACAACATGACACTGACACAACCTTCACATGCTCAATGCAAAAAACACAAACACACAAGACGTATTTTCATTTGAAAGCACACTTAAGACATACAACACAGAAGTCAAACACGACAAACCATACACAAGTTTGCTTTCATATTTCCTAAAAAATCTCTCCACATCTTATTTTTATAGTAATTAATATGTATTAAAAGACATTCTATCATGTACAGGAAGACAAAACTGAACATGCATTCAGACTGAACCACTTCACACAGTTCAAAGTCCGTCATGAAGCAATGCAAATTTACTTCCCATCAGAATCAGCAATGTTTGACTTCCTTAAATATATCCGGTCACTGTGATAATTGTAAAATGGATGAAAGCCCAAACAGACTTACAGATCATGTGTATTTCTTCAGATTACATCTTGACCGTGATACATTAGAATGAAATAAAATTGTATTTAATTGGACTTGTTTGTTTTTTGTAATCCATATGTTTTATATTTGATACATATGGTTTCTGAAATGTTTGGCATTGATTAAAGACACTGAGATTACGTTTTTTATGAGGAAAAGCTATATCAATGATAATGATTGAAGGAAAATGGACAGAATTAATGAATCATCCTTGTCCTGTGATATTTCAAGGTTTTAGTCAGATTTTGTAATGAATGGTTAATTTAGAATAATTAAAAAAAGCTTGAAATTACCCATTTTACCAGACATTTTGAACAGTCTGTGTAATTCAGTGTGACAGGAAAAAAAAAAAAAATTACTTCTCTCCAAACCCCTAAGTGAAAATGCAAAGAGAGTCCTAGCCCATGATATATATAATGATATACGAGTATTGATAAAATTAAGTGTTACACATGAGAAACACTACAGAGTCATCAGTGTCATGCTAAATTCTGACAGAATTATTGAATAAAACCAACTGAATGGAGATGATTCCGCCATTGTGTCCGCTTTGATCAAAAGCCATATATCTTTGCATTTCTGCATACTTAATAATCTGTAACCCTGTGGTAAGAATCTGTTTTTGTAAATGTAGTCATAGTCATGGACATGTCTAAGGTACATCAGGTTTTTTGCTGGATGTTTAGTGTTGTAAATAGTTTTACAGGTCCTCTATGTCGTTATTTGTGTCTCACATTTAAGTTAGCACGTGAAATCACTAGGCATATCATTTTGTCACTATTCTTGGGTGAATATATCAAGGGCGTGCACAATTTTTTCCAATCTGAATAAAACATTTGGCTTTAAGGATTAATTTTTTTTTACAGGTTTCAGGCTGCTGACATGGTACTTAATATAATACTTCAATCCTTACATCCAGTCTCATAAATAAATAGAATTGTAGTCTCATTTCTTGTTGATTTGTAAGAAGAATAGGATGCAGCCCATTTTGATTGCTGACCTATAGTTTCAACAAGGCAACTCACAGAGAAAGATATTGATTTGTCATGCCAGTTATGTTTTCAGCTGAGATAAACAGAGGGTCTGGGGAAATCTAGAGACAATCTGTGAGCCAATCACTGGAACCACCTCAATCCGCAGTGGTTCAGATTCTATTGATTTGGCAGCTATATTATCGGACCCAAGTTCTGTGAGAGAAAGAGATGTGTTCACTATGATAGTATTGGATAGAGTAATCTATTGTAATGCACTACATTAGTATGATCTAAATGTTATTTTAAAATAATGAACACAAACAGCAATAATTTATCCCATATAGGTCAGGTATCAGTTTAGTTTGACTGGATGCATTCATTAGAAAAAAAATTGTTAGAAGTTTGAATAAATTTGAGGATGGTAAAGTCAAACTTATCTGTGATTTAAATATGTATTCTTGCACTTGATTTGAAATGCATATATCTGATATTGATAGAGGAAAAGTTCTGCTTTATGAGTTTGAAATTTTCTATAAATGTGTTATAAATGTTTTTTAACACATAAAATAGTTTAAACTAATTCAGTAAGACTCCAAAATGAACACTAAATCTTTCGAACAGGCTAATGTGTGTTGAGAAAGGGTGGAAGTTTTTTTTTAAATCCAACACTGATTCATTATTTTGTTCTTTGTGGAAAGATTTTAACATTTTCTTTGGAAGAAACTCAGCTGAAAAGTTTAGGTAAATTTAGAATGGATACTTTTTTTCAAAGGAGCATACAAGAGTATTGTTTTTAAAAAATATACATATTTGTGCTACATCTAACCAAGCAGCTAAAGTTATTGTGTGTTTTAATATTGGTTTTTAGCTCATTAATACTGGTGGCCAAAACACACCCTTATTAATTCTGTAGTTTTGTTGAAAGGAGAAGTGATGATGAAAGTCAGCAAAATAACCTTTTTCTTGTCGATATGCTAACTGTTCATCACACACCAGGGGAGTACATTACATTTGAATCAATTTCTGTTAGGATATGAGGGAGAAATTTAATTTCCATTACTAATGGATCAAATAAAAAATGTGGCTGTTCAGTGATACCCTTGAGTACTTTCAATATAAGAATGAATAAGAAACACTCCCCATTTACCAGCTCAAAGTACTAAACCAGCCACTATCAAGCCTCATTCTTAAAAAAATGTTTTAGAGACCTGACAAAATCATGATCATGTTAAATATGTTTATTAAATGCATAGATTATTTTGTTGTTTTTATCTTAGTGAAATAATTCTGCTTGTTTGTCCCTTCTCAAGGACACTGCAGTCTTAATTCATCCTTTTGACAAGATATTCCCAAAGGCATAGAACAAGGAACAAACCCAAGTGTGCATCTCATTTGAGCATCAGAAAACAACAGGCTTCTAATGGTTTAGGGTTGTTCGAATTAGATTTTTCGCCACGCCAAGAGTAGTTACATAAATAAATGTGTGGACTAGACTTTTGAGGCACTTCCTGTGAGTCCTGTTTTGTGTGGTTTCTTGAGTGAAGTCAAGAAACTGTGTTGCAGAAATCACTCAGGAAATCAAACACTCTGCCGGTGCAGCTGCTACATCAATTTGTGGTTCAAAGTGGGTTGACTGAGTTCCAGTGGGTGAACCGTTCGATGGCTAGATTTACTTCTGTTCTGAAATTTTGCTTGGTAATTGCAATAACTAAAACTTCACAATTTAACTGCTCTCTGCTAGACTTAAGCAACCAAATCAATACACACAGAGTTTACAAAATATTAGAAGCTGCAGCTGCATTTTACTTGAAATTGGAAAAAAAGTTGGGGAAATGCCTGAAGTTGGGGATTTCAGAAAGTTATATCTCTTTATTGATTGAGATGAAATGCAACAAAAGACAGACCATTGAAAAGAGCAAAAAATAAAAAATAAATCACTTTGTCAAATCAGAACACGTGAATACACAAAGTCCCAGCATTACACTTATTATTTTACACTCCCCAGCATTTATTGGCTGGGGAGTGCAGACACTGTCCATTTTCTGAACTACAGACTGTATAATTTTCTCTCTATTCAACAAAAGGGTGTTTGGTAGATGAGGAACCCCTTTGTAGTCTTTCATTCTGCCAGTTTTTTTTTTCATTCACATGCTTGAATAATCAATTGTCCTCCCTTCAACTCTTATTCAGACATTTCTTCTTCAAAACTATAAATCATTGTATATCTGAAAAAATTAAAATGCTTCTCCTAGAAAGGGTACAGAAATGGAGACAGAGGCAGCAAGGGAGTAACAAAGACCCAGTGCTGAGATGATCTGAAAATGAATACGAAAGCTGAAGGAACCTCGTGACCTTTCATGCCTCAGCTCCCCGACAGACAAGACACAAGAGTAGTGAAGCAGACAGAAAAATCCTTACCTTCTGTGGGGTACAGGTCCGTTATCCATAGCCTCTACAGTCAAAGCATAGCTTCGTCCCACAGTGAGCTCAACACCCGGAGCAACCGTTATATTGCCATTGCTATGAAAAGAAATGAATTAATGGTATAAGATCAGTGCTCACCACACCTGGGCTCCCTTTTTAAATCGATGGCCTTTTATGCCATCTTCTTTGTTTCATCAGTATAAATGAGCTCACCAGCTCCCTTTGATATCATCAATAATAGCAACAATTTGGTGTATAAAATTATTTATATGATCAGGTGCATAACTGGGAACAAGTGATTTATTATAGCCATATTGTGTATAGATATTTCAACTTTCCCTTCAAAAAAGGCTGTTTTGTTTTTGCAAGTAGAATATCTGTGAAGTTGGGGAGCCCAAAGTCTGCATCACATTCAAGTTTATTGCTCTATCGAGTCAAATCTCAACGGAACACAAACATGGTATTTGATTGCATTATTTGATACCAATCTGACCACATGTTTTTTTTATTATGAAAAGGTCCATGCCAGTTGCTTCAGAGAGGGGCAAAGTTGATATTGCCTAGTATTCTTTGTGCACTATTCTTTGACAGAAATATAAAACAGTATTTATATGATTTTTTCAGCCCTTATTTTGCCAAACTTCCTCTACGCATTGTTGAGTCAGTTGCTGCCTATGTCACTTACTGATGTCAAGACTTCAGTAACTATAAATTGCACCCATATCGACTTTTTGGAATGTTCTTGCAGGTCTTAGATTAAAAGAAATACAATTAAAACAAAAAATTATATGGAATCTTATGCTCATATTGCCGACTATAAGATCAAAGTAAATGTAAAAAATCTGTCTCCTTTTTAAGTTTTCAGTCTTTCATAATACATGAAAAAATCAATTGGATTTCTATGCAATGTTCTAAACATCTGAATGATAACTGAATAAACCAAAGTTGATCCAGACCAATAAGGTCCTTGGTGTTCTTACCTGCTGTCTATAAGGAAATGTCCCTGAGCACCAGCTAAGATCCGATATGTGACCCGACCATTTTGACCCGCATCAGAGTCAGTTGCTGACAGCTAGAAAGAATTTTTTTTTTTAATAATACAATTTACATGCACGTATACCTTGTAAGGCTGTGTGTAATTGAAAGTTTGTACCTGTAACACAGTTTCTGTAGACATCATATCTGTGAACAGGTTAACATTATATGAAATATTAGGAAAAGTTGGTGTGTTGTCATTAGCATCCAACACTGTTATGGTCACAGTAACTGGAGAGCTCTGCTGGACGCCATCTGATGCCAACATCTGTAAAGACAGAGACATTTTATTTTAACAGCAGAAAAAAAGATTGGTTAGAAAATAAGACTGAGTTTGATTTACTTTAAGAAAATGACTGATTTTGTCACAACAAATGTCCATCTACCTTTTATATTCCTCCCTGCCAACAAAAAATACCTGTACTTTAATTCTTCTGAAAACAAAATAAATATTGATCAGATATAGCAGAATGTGATAAACTAAACAATCTGTGTCCAACGTTTCTCTACTATTAACTTACTGTGTTTTATGTTGATATTCACGTTAGTTAAACAGAGAAGTCTGCTTTCCGCAATGTTTTACCAATCATATCTTGAGAAATTCAACAGAAAAGGAGTTCCATCTCTGATTCCAATCTTCCTACGAGCTCATCTGCCAAGAAGCTGATTGAGTCTTTTCATGAAAATCACCATGTCTCATAGCTCTTTCTCTCTTTCAGAGTTTAATTTCTTCTCCAAGGCTTTCATAATGATTACAGTATACCTCTCCCTTTCAATCAATACACCAGGCTTTTTTCTTTTCCATCTTTAACTTCCAAATTGCTGAATGCACACTCAAGGACACCTGCAACCACATATTCCTCTGCAGATCCTCACAAACCAAACACACACCACCACTGTTGTCAGACTGGACTTGTCAGATACCAAAATGTTTTATCAAGCAACAATGCTTTACATTATCTGGTGAGGCACATACTATAATGTTGTGCTTGGCAAAGGGCAGCCTCTCTGTACCATGCCAATAAAAAGTTGTAGAATTAGATTGCACTGCATTAAGATCAAGAAGAGAGTAGGTGAATGAAAGAAGAATAGGAAGAACAACTAAAAATGAAATAAACTAGACAAGGAGAAAGAAATGAGACGACGGATGTCAGACAGAAACATAAAAACTGATGAAGAGGAGTATCTCTGCAAGGACCAATACAAGACTTAACAATCAGAGGCAGTTTTTTTTTTCCTAGAAGGGTACTTGCTGTTTCCTATTCTAATGAAGTCTTTGTAATCCGACCTCAAACTATAGTGTTTTTCTTAAAACTTTGTGATGCTTTGACACAAATTCTCCACAGATGGTTTTCTGGGATTAGACATGATTTTTTCTGCCATAAACATCTCATTTTGGCCTGAGAGGAGTCTATTGGTCATTCAAACATCTTCTACTTTTCAGTGATTTTTTTATAATCATCACATTTTACATCCAGTTGATAGATGCTCTTTAGAATAAACTGTCCTTCCTTTCCACTCAACAGGTTCTATCAAGGATTTGAGTGAAACCATTCAAACATTAATTACCAACTTTTTGTCCTCAAGTCAAGGTTGTCTATAATTATAGTAACAATAATACTGTACACAAATGTCAAGGCTTTACAATACCATGAATGTGTAGGAATCCTTTGTCTCTCTATCAACATGCTGCATCAGGGTGAGATATCTTTTGATTCCAGCAGATGATACAGAGAAAACATTGGAGTAACTATCCAGTGAGAGCAGGAGCTGAGGATCTCGGGTCTGTAAATACAAAGGCACAATATTAAAAGGATAGAAAAATCATTAATATTCAGGGGGGAAAAAAACCATTGCAACACTTTCAAACATTTTATTTTCTTGGTATCAATATGTTACTAAGGAATACATCCATAAAGAATTGTTTATATCAATCTGTACAATAAGAGCACATACGCAGTTGCTTTGCCACCACAGAAATAGAGACACTGGATGGTTTGACAAAATTCCTAAATGTTTTTTCTTTATCACAGATAATGTACCTGTTTGTCTGTATGTATACCTGCAGGTGTCTGTGTGTGCGGAATTCTCAGTGATGGAGAGGCAATCCCAGGACCTCCTCTGACATTACCTACAGAGTCATCTCTTCTGTGTGTATTGGTGCAGTGTGTGTGTGGGGGGGGGGGGGTGGAGGGCAGCTCTTCTCATTCCAGATAAGGCTAGCTCAGCAGGGAAGGGGGGCTGATAATATTGTCAATGTAGCTGGTGTGGATATTGAGTCATAAATAAGCAGGAGCACACACAGACACACAATGTTAGAACACACAAACACACACATTTGCATGCATGTACATAAATAAGTGTGATGGACAGTGCATAAAAGCTATTAGGACAAATCATAACTGTTGGTGCTTAATGCTAGAGGAAAGGCCAGGGTTAGCAATGTTAAAAATAACTGAATGTGTTTGAGTTGCCTTAAACACACAATCTCTCGCAAACACACACATTATCCTCCCTAAGCCCACTACTTGCTGGGGGGGGGACTTTTAGAGCGCAATGAACCAAAGCTTGTTTTTGTCAAAATGCCTATGCTACATTTTAAACAAACGAAGCTCTGGGGAATGCATCGGTGATAACAATGCTGCAGCACAGTAAATTCTTAAATTACAACTGAGAGATAATTTAAGAGCGAAATGGTTTTACTGGCAGATTCACAGGGACATTAGATAGGGCACTTCAAACACTGCAAGCCAGGCACAAAGCTGAGATTCAGTGAAGCAAAAAGCAGGATAGACACGAGCCTTTGGAGGGGCCAATACTTAATTTCTCTATGGTCTGTTTAAGTGCTATCTGTGCTGTAAGCTTTGTTTAAAGAATAATTTAATTTTCCCTTTAGGCATGAAATTGTTTATTTATACTGTTAAAGTGCTCCTTCTAAACAGGAATATCTAGTGTATTTCCTTAAATACCGTTCAGGACATTAAACACAGAAAGCTTGATTGTGTAACTGATCGTAATTTAGAATGAAGGTTGGTTTTATTTTCTACTGGCTTTTCATGTTGAAGGTACCTCACTATTTTTTTACTCCTTTTTTCTGGCAAAGCTCTGCACTGTGGCCTCAATACCCAGTGTATGCCACCTGCGTTTATCATCAGGAACTTCACTACAAAGATTTTATCAGTTTTGCATTGTGCACTCTATGGTAGACAGCTCCATAAAATTCAGCCCAAAATTTCAACTTTTTCATCTCCCACCCTGAGTAAGCAAAAACAAAATGCTTGAAAGCTCAAACTAAGAAGATTCCCTTTGTTATAAATCAAATGCATAACATAATCTTTCTGTAGCTGTTAATGGCGACATCTGTGCTAGCATAGGAGATGAAGAATCCGTAAACTCAGGAAAAAAAAAGAGGTTGACACACAAAATTCAGTGAATACCTACTGGCATTTCATTGGGTGTAAGCTACAAATAGAATAGAATAAAATAACAACACAAAAACATAAGCAACAACTCATATACAATGACTCAGTGGGAGTTGTAAACACATTTTTTTCATTTAAAATGTTTCCATATAAATTAAAAGTCCAAGCCACACAAAGGTAAAATCTGTGAATATTCATAGAAAAAGGGAACATTTTCAGATACTTGTAAACGTAATGTTTCCATTTTGATTTGTGAGTAATAGCATTCATGACCTAAAATGTCTGTGCGTGTGGTTATCCTGACCTCCTCCACATCGTTATCCAGAGCTATGATGGCCAGTAGCACAGACAGGCTGGTGTTGGCAGCTATGGTTGTTCCCACTGGTGATGCTTCGCTGATGTATCCATGGTAACTGGTCTCCAGGAAGTAGGGAGCCTGGTTGTTTTCATCGAGAACTTCAATTTGAAGATTAGCAAAAGCTGGCAGGGGGTGGCCATTGTCCTGCTCCGCCTAAAGAGCAGAGAGAATAACTGTTCAGCTTTCCTGTAAATCTACTGTCATTGGACAGCTGTACAAACTGCTGCTTCAGCACAACCCATACCATTTTAAATACAGAGTATAACATCAATTATTATAAGCTCTTTTTAACATTAAGTTAGATGTAAATGCAACAATTCTTGCGTTTGAGTATTTAAAGTCAGTTTTATCACTGACTTTCTGGACAAGCAAATTTCTTTGAGTTTGTATGCTGATAATAAGAAAAGTTACCTTTGTACTTAAGAACTCGAAAAGTCTAATTTGGACTGGGTTTATTATCCTGGTGGTATGTGTGCCGTATGCAGGCAATGTTTTACCTCCATTACTTCCACAGTTACTGTCTTGTGATTTGTAGTCCTTTAATTTTTTATTCCCCCTTTAGGGCAATATAAAAGATTAACTAATGGGTTGAAAAATGCTAACATCATTGTATAAGTTTTGGAAACAAAAACACTATGATGAGATATAGCCATCAAGAGAGCAGGATCTCATTAAAGGGACATTGTGTAGTATTTTAAGTATTTTATTAGCTAAAATTATTACCTTAATTTATAAATGTGTCCTCTTTTGGTGTCAAATTACCACGGAGGTGTCCATGCCGTTCCACCATTTTCAAAAACCATAATCGCAGAGAGGGACATAAAGCACTAGTCTACTTGTCAAACTAATCTTCAAAATATTTTCGTTCAGAGCCAGAGTTGCGGGACTGAAACCAGCTATAATAGAGAGTCGCTTGCTTGCAGTTTGTCATTTCTTTTAAATTACAAACTCAGACAGTTAGAATGTTTAATGTAAAAACTTTACTAAATTGCATGGGTGCCAACAATAAGTGTGAACTGTATATTATCTATTTAGTTTGCCAATGACAACATGCTGCCCACATTTATTTTTCAGCTGTTTTCCAATTTTCTCATTTATTGTTTTACAATTGACAAAGGTTTGCTTAACAGTGTCTGTTTTCTGCCATCCTTTCCACTAAAACAAGTTTCTCCCTTGATGTTATTTAATACATCTGTCATTATTGCATCCTGGGCTGAGCATCACATAGAGTACCTGTTATCTATTTGAAGAAAAACAAAACATATAGACTTTTTTCTCTTCACTAAACAAGAGATTAAGGATGTAGTTGGACAATTCTTCAGCACTCGCTAATCATGACTCCTAACAATACAGTGGTTTAACACTTAACATAGGGTGGACCTGATGCTTGGAAGTGAAGAAGCAGTAATTCCCAAGATAAGATACATGTTTAACTGGCCAGCGTGATTGCTTGGTGCTTCAATTCTAGCTTGAAAAGGCTGAGACGTTCTCAATTCAAGCAGCCCAAGATGTCCCTTCTTACAAATAGCATGAGATTGATACTGCTAAAACCTGAAATACCTTTATATTAATCCAGAATGAGCAACCATTTGAAAGAGAAAATAAATATTTCTATGTCATACGTCACATTTATGTTTCATATGCAGTGCAAAAGGGGGAAAAAAATGTGAAGATTTGCTTATTTTGAGCCTTTTCGTTTGTGTATGAATAATATGTGATAACTCCAATCGTGAATGAATGAAGCTGCTTTCTCTACATCACTTTATGCTCAGTAGGCACAGTCTGCAATTTTCAATCCAGACCACTTTTAAGTCAAAATCTTGATTAGAACATTTCTTTATTTCTCATTCAAGTCGAATTGTGAACAATTGAGAGTTTGAAGGCAAAGTACAGTACAAGTTTTTCCTCACCTTGACAACAAGATCAAATCTTCTGTAGAGTTCCCTGTCAATGGGCTTCAGCAGCAGCAGCTCTGCGGTGCTTCGGTTCAAGCTGAAATATTCTGCATAAGACTCTGGTTTGCCTGGGAAAGAGTAAACAAAAGTACCGGTGAGAGGAGACGAAAAAACAAAATCTGTGTGTGAGAAGGAGAGGGGTAAACATCAGTAATTGGTTAAGGATCAATATATGTTTGGTGTGTGGCAGGAGGGAGTATGAAAGCTGGAAGGAGTGAAGGGGGAAAAGCAAGGCTATTGCTCTTCTCATCTCAGCTTTCGGCATGAGGGGATGCACGCACTCACACACGCTCATACACACACACACACACACACACACACATCAGAGATTTGTACATAGTGCTTTGAAGTACTGAATTGTTCAGCAGGGAAATCAAGTTCTGGTGGGGGAAGCACAAAAAGGCACATGTGCACAATTACATGTCTCAAATGTGTATTTCTATGCGTTACTTCTTTATAGCTGGGTCCGATTTGACAGGTCTCCCCAGAGGACTTGCTTTCCAGGGCAACATGATTTCCAGCATGTTTGAGTAGCTTGTGGTATCGCCAAGATTGTCATGTAAATACATTTGGTTAGGACTATGGTATACAATTTAGGGCATCTTCAGGTTTCAGAAAAGAGTTGTCAGTCATCAGAAAAAAAAAATGACCTTAAGAAAACTGTCAACTTTTTTCCTGATACCCAACTTTTTTGCCTGATACCTGACAACATTTTTCCTGATAAGCGACAAATTTTTCTTCTAATACCTGAAGACTTTTTTTTACTAAAACATAAATATTTTTTTTGTAATTGCAAATAGTGTTTATATTTACAGTGTTTTTTGGTATAAATGCAGAGAAAAGTAAGTGGGCATGATTTGTAGTTCAGGCAAAAATATATTCGGTCAAATACAATGTTTCCCATCAGTCAGTTTACTGACTCTTTTTAAAAATGTATCTCATGACCTGAAAATCAACAGTACTTTTTCAAAATCACATGTTTGTTAAGCCTTCACCGTAAAACTGATTTAAAAAAAAATCTTTATCACACACACTTTAACATCCGTCATATCACGTAAAAGATTTTTTCTTAAGCACTTGCACATCTTCATTGGTAAAAGTAAATGTTTTCTGTCAGAACAGTAAAGTTGAGCTTTGCTTCTCAATCTAATCATGGTTGGTTTGAATTACCTTTGAAGTATTAAACATCCATTCCATCTCTGTTACTTTCTCACATTTTATTGTTTACCAGCAGCCCTGTTGAATGCTTCTCATTTTAGTTTAGAATTAATTGAAACATTAAAGAGGCTTCATTTTCAAACGCCATAGATCTTTTTCTAACAATTAGCAGTTAAACGCTAAGGAGTCATAAGAATAAATAAGAGCTTCTTTTGTTGTGCTTCTTCCACTCAGCACAGAATTTACTCAACTGATGGGTTGATCTGAACTGATCTTTTTCTTTGGTCATTTGGTATTGACTTCAAAAGGGGGAAATATTTCGTGCTGTTTTCAAACATTAAAAAACAATGAAAACATTCTGAATAATTTAAGACTTCCCTTGGCACTCATGAAAAAGAAACACGTGCTCAGTTATTATTTGGATAAATATCTCACTCCAACTACAGTTATAAAATCATATGATATCTCTTCATTTATAACTTATACATAGTTTTGATATCTTAAATTTCTTAATAATCCTGAATAAGATTTGATACACTGATGGCACTAAACACTGATGGCGTAATAGCAATTACTATAACGCCTTTGAATGACTCCACAGCTGCAAACCAAGCAACCAAAATTGTCAACTTACCAATGAGGATGGAGTATAAGATCCCTGGTCTATCAGATGGAGGTTGTATATTTCTGTCTTGATCCACAGCTTGAATTGGTGGAGTCACATTGAGTGGATTCACCTTAGTCTGAAAAAAAAAGCAAGAGCAACAAAATTGTAAAGTATGTACCGGTAGTTGGTATGTTGTTCTTGGTATAACCAGCTCCAGTGGAAAACATCACAATGAAACAGGACACAAAGGAATCTTTTCAGGTGCACAAGCAGTAATGCATATGTTCACTGCAGAAGTTAAAACTGTTACAATTAAACAGCTTAGATATAGAGGGTTATGTCTTGTGATACAGGTAAAATATGTTTTACTACTGTTCCAGAAACCAGGAATGTAGCACATATGCTTCTGCACAGAATAGGATAGAATATTTTGAATATTCCAACTGTCATGCCATGCCTAAATTGACAGGCAATCACAAAGAAACCTCACAGTTGTGGGGAGAGAGTAAAATACACTGGAAAGAAATTGAACAAAAAAGTGGAATGTAAATGTATATAAAGAAGACTGATCTGTCAAGGGTTGAGAGAGTGGCATGTAAATGCACCAAAGAGTGGAAATAGCCCCCCAAAAAAAGCAAACCGACAATGGAGATGTTATAACTTTTTTTTTTTTATTACAGACAGCATTTTACACACTGCCTCACAGAAATGAAAGATCAAAAGCCATGACAATAATGTATAATTGCAAAGGATCATTGGAAAGCAATGAAAGTGTCAGATACTTATACCACTGCTGATAATGCTTATATGTATTTTGTCACTGACACCATCCTAAAGGGTTTATGTTTTGGTTGAATATGTTCAAGATCAACTGCATATTTTCCGGTCAATTCATTCATTTAAAAGCCTAAATATGTCAGATTTACTTGCCCAGTACAATCTGTTTCAGTTTTAAAATTCCCAAATCTTCACAGGGAAGAAGTCAGAGTTACCTTGAAGTCTGCTTTTCTTTCACATGCACAGTTGTAAAATGTTATGGTTTTTCTTTTTCATTTCCAGATTTTCTAGTGTCCCATTCAGACTTAAAATGGATCTTTACTTTCACTCATGATTCAGATGAGGACATTCCCCACACCTCCAAAGTACAGTATTTAGTTATTTTCAACATTCCGTTGTTTTCTTGATGAGTTGACAGGTTAGGGTTCTCTCTCAGTATATGTTCCTATATATGTAACTGTATTTATGTAACTTTCTGAAATGGCTTTGGTTGCATACAAAGCAAAATGTTCAATAAAAGTACACATCAAGAGAAGAGCACTCACATTTCTGGATGTGTCCATATACAGCATGGTTGTGATGACTACTTAACAACATAAACAACTTACAGCTAAACCTCGGTCAGACTAAAAGCGAAACACTTCAGTTTGAGTACTTTATGCTTAAATTGGCCTTTTAACTTAGACAATTTTACTAGAGACAAAATAAAAAAATTGTACCCACAGCCAATCTTTATTTTGTGCAAAGAAAACTTTTTTTTTCATCTCTATCTCTGAATGCAGAAATTGCTTTATAACAATGTGGTGGACAACACACGTTTATGTCTCATAAACTATGAAGCTTATGGCATAAATTACTTGCATGACTTTTAATATGTATGTATAGAGAGTGCTCTTGGATGATTGTCCAATCAAGCAAATGTCTCGGATCAAGGCTTCGTTTCGGTGACATGCAGACAAAATCAAGTAAGCAAACAGTGTAAAATCCGCGGGAAGAACAACATCAGCTGGTATCAGGCAGGCATGGAAGATACCAAAGCAAGTAATCTACCCCCCTCGCAAACTGCCATTTATAAATATATATATATATATAGGAGGAGATAAAAAAGATTACTTTTGGTGGTCATACGAGTTACACAATAGAGACTGCATGCACATATTGTTACAGAGATGGCAGTATAAAACGCTCCCATCACATGAAAAAATAAGTGAATCTACACATGGTCAACTAGTGCAACTTGTTGCCAAAAAACTGCCAGTCTTACATTATGAAAAAACTAAATTTCAGAGGACTTGGGTTATTTGTTAATTTTTCAATAGTCTGATTTTTGTCCCTGAGAGCTATACATTTAAGAATTGCAGATGCAAAAATTTCTTAGTGTATGTGGGAAAACAGAATTTCGAATTTCCCTTTACATAAATGACTTCCAACTTGATGTGTATTACAGAGTATGCAGCTGTGATAGAGAAAGACACAAAGAGCACCGAGTGGTTACGCTGACTCTATGGCTTAGGAATTGTCACATCTTATCGGTCTGATTGGGACTCAAACTATTATAGTCTCCCCCCATTTCTTCACCTCCCAATCTTTCTTGTATCACAGCTTGTTGATGTTCCTTCCATTTTCTTGGGTCATCTAACACCAACACTTTGATACAATGAATTCTGCTGTTGATTAGTAAAGTCTAATTAAGTGTATAATCCAGATTGTCTGGTGTGGCAATGTGCTGGTAACTTGGGTAAAATATCATTACTTCTTCTATGAGATAAATGAGTTAAGACAGAGATCATTTACAAAAATAATATGATTCTTGTGTTTAATAAGGGTTTAGTTTTGAGAGCAATATTGTCAACGTCAACACAGTAAATTAGAGATGACATGCATCTTGATATGACTAGACTATCCCCCAAGCCACAAAGGGTGGGTGGTTGGACATTTATGGTTTTGTGAGAGGAACACAATGGAATATATATATATATATATATGAAAATTGATTTTTATAACATAAATAAATACCCTGCTGCTAATCCTTCTTTTTTTCCCCAATACACTTTGAAACTTATAATGAAAAATTCTCTCAATGCCACCATTTCTTTCCTTCCGTTTTTTTACATAAGATTAATGTTGGCATATTCAGGCGAACGTAACTTTCTGGTCTCCAAATTCAGCTCTATAGTTTTTACTTTTAAATATGTATGTTAATGGTGGAAAAGGGCCATTGTGCATCTTGATATTAGCCTTTATTCAAAAATGTTACTGACAAGATCACAAACTTAAAGCATTATTAACAAAAGCATAACATTTACAAATAAAGAGAGGCTAAAACATCCAAATTGCTGACTGTATAACTGAACTTTTTATTTCTGCAGTGATGTGTGATCATAAAAAACTGAATTAGTGAAGCCTGGTAAATCAGCAGCACCTCTGCAGAAACACTTATTCTACCTGTTGCAACACTGTCACTTATTTGGAAACTACAGCGTCACTTTTATAGCCTAACCCTGCTGTTTGTCTTCCCTCTGCTACCATTCTTCTTGTTTGACTCTCTCGTTCCATATTAACCCACCCTCTATCACTTTCTGAGTCCCAAAATCCAACATCTGTCTTGGCTCGGAGGAAAGAATGCATGTAAGTTTTCTAGTGACTTGTTAGAATTGAGGATTTTCCCAACAGCAACTTTGTCTTGTTTACAAAATGACATTACTAGTTTCACCAGATAACAACATCAGCTAAATGTCAGAGATATTAATACAAAAGCCCTGCACACACAGCTGTGTAAGCAGTAAGACTTCCTACAGTTTGACAGACTGAATTCTGCCACAAGACACTTACAATGCCATCTAATATAAATATTAAACACATTTTGAAAATGTGTTTAAAATGGATGTCTTGGGATTCCAGAATCATTCCTTTCAAATAATTCCTTTTCAAATAAAGATCTCTATTTTCATTTACTATTAACAGCCATGGCAATATGTTTATAAAGGCAGAAAGTGTTTCTCTTTTATGGTTGAATACATTGTCAATCAATCATCATCAATCAATACACAGAAATTTGCCTGATTTCTATTCTCGTAAACAGACAAACAGTATCTATGTAGCCTTATTCTAGTCTAGTTGATCAGTCAAAATGATTTACACAATAAGCAGCATTCACACAGACTCATAAAATATTCTTTGTCTGTACAGAATTACTGACAACACAGTGTTGTTTCTGGCTCAAACATTCACACATGGATGGTCGGATGCAGTATGGAAAACAATCTTCAGTGCCCATAGACAGTTTTACATGGAGTCCAAAAAAAACTGGTAATTCAACCACCCATCTGATATAAAACTGAGACACTCTTCAGTGATGCAGAGGAAAGTAAATTAGTTTCTTTGTAATCAAAAACAAAATAGTCTACAATGTCTTGTGAATATGAGTTGACATTTCCCTTGACTTCCATAACATCTATTGTCAATGCTTGATCATGAGACTGATTTTAAAGCAAATCTCCAGAAGTTACAGGACCTCAAAGTTACCAGGATAAATCTGGATAATATCGATGTAATTTAATTTGATTTTCAAGAAGTTTGACAAGTATTCTAACTTAATAGAAAGATCTAATAGACAAAGAATATTATAAAAGCAAGCCCAGCATGCATGCAACACTTGTACCAACCACTAAAGATAGTAGAACAGGATTACACTGTCAGTTTCTGTACCATCCACAAAATGAGGCAGTAAATAATGCGTGTGCTTGACACTTACCGGCTCTGTCAGCTCAAGCACGTTAGCCTTATATGTGATGGGACTACAGTCACGAGTGTTTCCCACAAGGGTACATGGTAGGAACATGGGACCCAAGTCATCACCATCCAGTACGTCCACTGTTAGTGTGGTGGTGGCTGTCCGACGCTCACTGGGATAAGGAGCACGATCCTGGAGAGAGATATTAGATAGGACCCTTTTTGATTATACTGCTGCTTCAGTAGTTTGGTTGACTTTTGATATTTTCATCAGATACATCAATACAGACTTTTAGTATTGTCAGAAAGACGAATCAAACAAAATGGAAAAGTGGGAATGGAAGACCTTTAATGTTTAACATTTGAAGTCTAATGATGATGCTTGACTTCTTATGTTACAATATATAATAATCCAAACATAATAGTACTTCTTCTTTAAAAGCGTAAACTGAGATTAAATACCTTGACAGGAATGTGTTTTGCTTACAAAAATAATTTTTAACCCATCATACCCATAGATAATCATCTCTGTGTGTTTTTGTCCTCCAGACACTGGCTGAGACATTTCAGAGAAACTAAAGGCAAATGATCTACCACATCGTACTGATTTCACTCAATGAGAAAAGCTCTCAATGGGAATAGTTTAGATTTTAATTAATAACATTCAATGTACAGCCATTTCAAACTCAACACCTCATAGTCACTCTCAACAGACTGAAACCTTTCATTTTGAGTTACCGATAATTGTGAAAAGCAAAAGTCATTTGAATAAAAAATGAGTTTATATGTTAAGTAAAAAAAAAAAGAAAATGATCACAGTGAACATAACAGGCAGCCATAAAGTGTTGAACATTCAGGCAGCTCTTATGTTTGTGAATTACTAACCAAGCCAAAAAACTCTGGAAATACTTTCAAACGAAAAGAGGTGTATCAATTCTGATCATCTTGAGAAACACTATGTTTGGAAATAACCAATTTCTTATCATTTAAGAGGTAAACCTTCGGTAGACTTTGAACTGAAATATCTGTGAATTATTAATAAAACCATTTTCCAAAAAAAGTCCTCATCAGACCCTTAAGTCTCTTACGTCCTTTTGAATACACACATTTAAAAGTAGTTTCTTTTGTAAAAAAGTATGAATTATCCAGGACAGCAATTCTGATTCCTTCATACTTTTGTAAAGCAGTCATTTCAGGCACAGGCGTCTGTTTGGGTAATTAATCAGAGATTCTTTGAACATCGCTTGACTATTTCCTGGATTTGAAACACCATTCACTAAGTCTTGCTTTGATGACTGAAACATTGTTTGAACTGATAACTGAAACACTGCATTGAAGAATAACAAGCTTTTCACACAGCTCTTGAAAAGAACAATTGGAAAAGGTATATAAAAAGTGTTTTCTTTTAACTTTAGCTGGTAATTATTTGTGCTTAAGCATACAAAGGCCATTAATATAAGGCCATCTATATGACTTTTTCACACAATCTACATTTTGTTTTATGCAATAACAGTGAGCTAAAAAGGTCAGAGGGTTTTTTTAATGGTTGCACATGATCTGCAAGCTTTGTTAAGAATTTATCATCATCAAATTCACAGCCTCTCAAAACATTCTTAATATTGTATTTGCATGAACAGAGAATATGTCAGCCTCTCAAGCAGTCAAAAACACATTAATCTTTCAATGTACTAGTGACGTTTAATGATGTTTTGAGGGGAAAATCAGGCAGAATACTTTGTTGAGAGGAAAGTTTCTGTGTCACAACAAATTCACAGTTTTAAATCTCTAAAGCCTCCACCATTTATGTGCTTTATATATGGTCTGTTTTCATGAATAAAATGCACAGGATGCAGAGTAATAAAGGTACAACAATTACATTAACAAATTAATTAGTAATAACTAATGCACTTCCAGATGCTTTTATGCCAACCAGACAAAGCAGACGTTGCCTGAACCCTATTACCATTAGTATGATGCTAATTATTAAGAAATATATAGCTATACTCAAGGCTATAATCCACTCAGCTAAGAATTTTTTTTTTTTAATCCATTCTTTAAATATAGGTTCATAAAATTATATTGCATTTCAAAAGTTTTCATACCCTTTGAGAAAAAAACTATATCAACGTGAGACTACCTTTATGTAAACATACAAAAAACATAAAATACTTCATTTAGAAACTTACATTTGCCTGTATGATGACAAGGTATCTTGTGATCTCCTCATAGTTGAGTCTTTCTCTCAGAACTACAGAGCCAAACAATGTCAGAGGGATGTCAAAGGTTCTATTGGCCGTCTGAAAAGTACAGATACATGGCAAAGACAAATATAATGTTAAAGCATTCAACCAAAACAGAATTGATGACATGTTGCAAATGTGTTAAAAATTTTGCAGAAGTTTAGTACAAGGTGTAACTATTATTTAAATTAGATGCCAATATGCATTGTAAAGACACTTAAAACACAACTTAAAATTGATTGCTCTCTATGAACCATCTCCACCATTTGAAATAAATCATTAATAAAACATTTGAAAGACTGAACATAAACGTACAGTATATATAAAACATAGTGTAATTTGTTGTATCAGATTTTTTTAAAAATCAAATCATTAGTGTCTAACTCCTTTAGAGTTAATCTGAAGGTTCTTAAAACAGCATTTTCTGACAACTGGAACTAGACTGTTAAAATTTATTTATTTTCCTCTGAAAAACAAACCTATAAATAAGATGAAATCCTTTTTGATATTTTCATTTAGCATTTATTGATATCCTACACTGAACAGCCATCAAAATGACAGGTCATAGCCATGTTTTTTATAGCAAAAGAATAGAAAAAAGTTGAATAAATTACAAGGAAAAACTGACTTGATCAGGATCCTCTTTTGTACTTTTTTCTGGCCTCATGTTTATTTAATATGTAATATTGTTTTTGCCATTGACAGGGTATAACATGTTTTGATAAGAATGCATTTGTTTAAATTGTAACCATGGGTTTGGTAAAAAGTGTGTACTGTTTTCATCACTATGCTATGCAAATGTAAATGTAAATAGAATATCTCCTGAATAGAATTCTACTGTAAACAGAATAATAATTTTCTTTATCAGGTGCTTTTTCAGTAACGCACTTCACTATTCCTCTTGCATTACTTGTTGTGTATAGTTCAGTGACTTTATTTGACATTTTTCTAGTAGTTCTTTTTCACGAAATAAATGTCCCAAACAATAGATTATATCGTTACAAGTTTTCTGATTCTGACAGCTCTCAGTGTACCGCATTTAATAGTGGTTGACACTTCTCCATAATAAGATAATTAGGTGAGGAACAATCATTGTTTTGTTCTTTTTGTTGTTGATTAAAATCAGAATAATTAAATTGGCTTTACTTCATTTCTTTGTAGTATATCAAGGCTGGAGGTTCAAGTCAACAGCTGTTGGGAAGTATAAGTCTCTCCCATGTGTCTGGACAAAAAGACCACCCATCCATTTAATATACCCCCTTATTGCCGATAGGGTTGTGAGGGGGTGTGACTGCAGCCTATCCCAGGTGACATTGGGGAGGAGGCGGGGCATGCACTGGACAGGTTGCCAGTCCATCACAGAGCCACAAAAGGAGAATGCAAGTGACAATCATCTTGAATCAATGGTATGGCTTTCACACAGTTCTTTTTAGGAATAAACAACATTTCCTTTGTGTTCATCAATACATTTGTCATTGCTATCATGTCTTGGGAAATGACAGGTAAAACCCACCGGGTCTTTCGGGTTGTACTGGATAGTGTATTCTATCTGTCCGTTGGGACCATCATCAATGTCTGTTGCACCATTGTTCCCTGAGAAACCGGAGAAGATAGTTGTACCCACTGGAGTCAGCTGAAAACAGAAACAGAGACAAGGATTTTGTCTACAAACTCTGAGCAGGTGATGTCAAATATTTTTTATATGAAACTATGCGCTCAACAATGAGGAATCCTATAAAAACTTGGCATGCAGCAAGGAATATTAACTTCCAACTGGGTGCACAAAACAAACAGAAATATTCTGCATCTTAATGTTTATCATCTGCAAAAGCAGCTTTGGGGTTGGAAAAGGGATATCAGTCGGCAGCTCTTTGCTTTCGGTGGCACTAAATGTAATCACAAGTAGATAAACTAACCAATTTAATTTTTGTTTGTAATCTGTGCCTCTTTCCATTCTATTCACTAATGTGGATATATGTAATGATTTATCATTCTATGCAATCAAAGACAAAAATTGGATAACCAAAACACCTAAAACTATAAATACTTACTGCAGTGATCAAAAAGGTGAAAGCAGAAGTTATACTTCTACATTTAATGGAGCAGCATTAATGACCAAACATCAAAATGAATCAGACAGAGAGAGATTGAAACAGGGTAAAATAATAAGGAATTCTCAGCGCCGAGGAGCAAAAGTGTGTGAGGAGGGGGAAAGGGGGAGGAAGCTGTGAGACGAGGAGAAATGAGTTGGGACTGAAGATTGGTTAATGATAACTTCTACTTTATTAATGCTGGCATAAACTCTAAGCCAAGGTCTATGTCGGTAGCAGGTCAAAAGGCGTATTTGTCCAGTTTGTCACTCTCTTGCGAAATTCCTTATCCTCTTGACACAGGAGGCCAAATCAAATGAGAGCCTTCTTTGAGATTATTCCACATCTGCCCCAAACCATTGCTTTTGATTTAATATAGATTTTTTAGTTTGTGAGGGAAAAAAAGTGAATATACTAATACATACATGTACACACAAACCAACTACCAGGCCATGGGTGCTCTATTTTCTGTAATGTTGTAAAGAGACTCTAAGAGCAACATGTTTTAAGCTTGAAATTACGCTCACGATCAGTCTGGTACCTGGACAGCAAAACTGAAAGGGAAGCTCTATGAATACCTTTGAAGTCGGTGAGAGGCAGTTAATCATTTCCACCACTCTGACTCTTATAGAATATCTTTTTTCCTTTTCTTTAGCTTCATGAGACAGACTGTCAATGTGTGAAATGAATGTGGAGGAGTTTTACCTCACTAACAGCAACATAGTATCTTGGCTGCTGGAAACGGGGTGCATTGTCGTTGCGGTCTCGGACAACAATGCGGACCTCGTGTAATATCACCGTTCCAATCAGCTCATTAGTACACTGAACCTGAACCACAATGGACTGGATGTAGGATGGAGGCTGGAAAAGAGAAACAGATTTAGGTGAAGACTTTTGTGAAAGATACAATTTACCCATAGAAGTAGAACAAAATCATTCCTGTACAGAAGACTTCCAAAATACATTTAGATATATATATTTTTTACTGAGTCTTAAACTAAAAAAAAACAGCTAACATATTCCTTCAGAAAATAAAAGCACCGGGAGGTTGGCTGTGTCTCAGACTTTACAAATCTAAAAAAAAAAAAAAAATGGTTGTGAGACAGAAATTAAAAGGAACTTCCCGAGTAGAAGTCTCTACAGATAGAGTAGAGTAAATGCACCAGTTTTTAAGTGAAATACTTAAAATTATAGTCACTGACATTTTGATGTCTGTCTGTGACTCAAAGATAAACTGTAGAAAAAAGTTTTCAGATTTTTTCAGACTACACACATTTTACTAGGTTTCAGATTGATTTAAGAATTGTTTAAATTCTCTAAAATATCTGTACACATTTCTTCACAACTGTACAAAATGTATCAACCAGATGATTTATATTTAAATATTACATATACCGGTCATTAAAACCTTTCCGACTGTGAATGATTCAGTATGCTGGGTGACAGTCAAAGTAGGCTAAAAAATATATTAGTTTGGAATGGCCTTTGTCTTTCCAGACTTCCATAAAGATTGGATGGAGCGGCACACTGAAGTTGGTTGTGCTTTTCTGAAGTTCTCTTCAGAGAACTCTGGATCTCATTTATGGTTGCTGAGAGAATATCTGCCTGGCCAAGGCTCTTTTTCCTTGACTTGGGCAGGTAGCTATAGAAACTTTCTTAATTCACTTGCAGGTATTACATCTTATTTCACAGGTCTTCAAACAGTTCTCTCGACCTAAAGGCTTTTTTTTTTCTTTCTGTCACAATTCTGCTTCTTGGCCATAAAATAAAGCAGAGACCGATGACAGAAAAAAAGAAACAAGAAAAAAAGAAAAAACCTTTGTTTTCTCTTTGTTTTGACTCCTACAACATATTCACCGAACAGAAAAGTCAGTGAGTTTAGATGCAGCAGTGAGGCTGGTGAGGCCCCAGCAGGCATCACCAGGCTTCCCAATAATGCACATCTTCACAGGTGCAGACCACTAGGACAATTACTTTATGAAGCCTGATCTATCCGGACATACAGCTACTGCAAGCTCACTGCGTAAAAGAGCCCAGCAGCCCAACATACCAATTGTACACATTATTATTTATTAGAGCCTTCAATAGACAAGGATGCCCGTGGTAAGCATGTGGCAAAAAGGTGGCATATATGGCCTCCTTTCCATTTTGTAAAGGGCATTGTAAGGACCAGTATAACAACAAAGATTCATGAAAGTTCACTTTTTGGAAATTGAAACAAATGGGACACACTTGCAAAGATTTGTTTTTAGCAACAACAAAAGATGTTTTTCTAAAAGCTGTCTTTACTTTGTTATTGCAGGTAATTGTGGATAAAAGAGAGGCGTATTTTAAGATCTGACTCGAGCCATTACAAAGGATGGCAAACTTAAATAGGCTCTGTAAATTTCCCATCAAGACCAAAGACAGCACAACATGATTTTCTTACGTCTCTGTCCAGAACCCGTCCAGTACTGTTCAGGTACAGAGACTGTTTGGAGGGATCAAGGATCACCCAGTAATTGTGGTTGTCTCTCAGTGACAGAGAGATGGTACGATCTGGACCTTCAGCAACACCATTGATCTGCATGTTGTCCACCAACAATGTTCCTGGAAAAAAATAAAAATGTCTAAATCAATTTCTGACGGTTACTTAAAACACAAACTTTTTGTTCTTAGATCAACTTCATTAATGAAAGAAAACAAAGCAGAAACACTTCAAACAAAGCCCCCTTTTCTATTTAGGTTCTCAATTAATAATGACCTAGGAAATTGTGTGTAGATTGGTAGCCAGAATCAAAGGGAATGAGATAGAGGGTCACAGAAAATGGAGAAAGGATTCAGAGGAAATACCATGTATAACTGAGCAAGGCAAGCCAGCTATTGATGCTTTTCACTGATATATCTTTCCACCAGTTCCTGGACCACTTATTTCAAAGGCAAACTATTTAACTATTAGGTTAATTGCAAAGTGTGGGTGGTGAATAATTCTGGTTCCATCCTAAATGTAAATGGCCCTGTGATAATGTTTAATGCTTCACAATAAATACTCAGTTGTAGTCTAAATTGTAGTTGATGCTGTACAGTAATGCCATTATCCTCATGAAGAAAAATAAGTCACATGTTTGCAGAGGCGAAGTAGGATTATACGGCAATACTTTTGTCTTTAGTAATCCTTTATTTTCTAAAGTTTCTATAGTAGATGTTCAGTTCAGTCATAAAAACAAAAAACAAAATAAAGACAATGGTTTTATCATCCATCGATGTGCCCGGTCACGCTGCAGACAATCTGGAGCGTGATTCCCTCAGAACCAAGCCAAGGTTCCTTTCAACCATTTGAATGACCAAAAACACTATTCATAGCTGTAGGACAGCTGCATTTATGTTTTAAGAATCCTCCATATAAAACCCATCACTAAAAATTACACCTGAGATAAGGTGGTCACATCTGCTCATTATTTGACTCTTCCTAACTGTAGATGAAGGTTTTTAGGACACAATGTTTTTGTTTATCGATGCTTTTCACTCCTTTGGAAAAAAAAACACATTTGTGCTCACAATTTTTTTTTTTCTTGATTTTGTTTTTTCACATAAAGCTGAACCAATAAAGGAAAGCAACACAACCTGAAAGTAAAATGAGGAGTAAAAGGAGACTTTTACTTAGAGCAAAATCATCATTCAATGCTCATAGGAAAATTGCCCTCTGTTGTTTTTATGTAAAATGTTCACGCACATATGTGTGGACATATACAACCCATCATGGGTCTTTTTACCTCATTGAGAATATAACAGCAGGAAGGTGCATAAACGTTGAGAAAAAAAAAAATGGGCATGCTCGACTTTATACCACTTCACATCACAAGAGACCAATTACCAGGCTCAACACACTGAATTATTAATCAAAAACACTATTGTGTCCCATCTTTTAACACATTAGTACACATTGTAGGCTTTTAGACTGCAGGCTTCATTTCTGCATGCCGCTGGTGTGTCTTTACACGTGACTGGTGGATAAAAAGCTAAACTTTTAATGGATTTCACGTGGCACCCTAGCCTTCACAGAGGTGAGCACACAACTATCACAACACCAGAATATCAGCAGAAGGAGACAGAAAAAACAACAACAAAATGAGTGGTTTGAAACTTGCCCTCTGCGCTGTCGCCAATGTTTCAACGTAGCAAAAGGAGTGTATGAGTTTTAAAGCCAGACACTGAGGTGCAAAAAATAGATATTGAAAGAACTAAATGAATCAGAAATAAACTAAAACGAGAATAAAAGGTATTCAGCGGTGAAAAATATCCAAAACCTGAGAGCCAAAAAGAATAGTGTTCATTTGAGTTTATGATTCTACATCGTGGAAAACTTGTGGATGGAAAAACAACTCTTTATGCACATACAGTAACATAAATATACACACTGAATAATCTTATATCTGATATACAATTGTGAAACTGGGTCATGGGAATCTGTACTATCATAGAAACCATTTCAAATTCTTTATGTGATTTGCCGATTAAAATTAAATTAAGGAATTTGATTAAATTGTTTATTTTAGTGAGACGGGATAGAAATGCAATTCATTAGGGGAGTTTCATTCCTTACCATCTTAAGTCCTATGATTTCTGTGTCTTGAAAAAGTCACACAGTAACTGACAGTGCAAGCACCTGGTGCTACTTTGTCTAATTCAACATGGTAGATCATCAAATATGAAAAGGCTCTTTTTACAGTGACTTCACTTTATTTGTTGTGTGACTGAATAATGCATTCTTTAGACCCTGATTTAATTAGCCCAAGTGTTATGGCACATATAAAGTGCCCAGTGTGTAAGCAGAACAGAAAATAAATTCATATGAAAAAGAATAACAAAGAGCAGTTAGGCCAAAAGAAAATGAAACAAAGGCAACATATGAGGGGTGAACAAAGACTGATGATTGAAATGAGGAAAAAAGAAGATATTTGACAAATAACTATCACTCTGATATTGCATTGATATAATTTTTACAGGACATTAGCCAAGCTGAAAGAGACTATGCTGCAAGTGGTTCATTCAGGTGTGAGCCACTGAAAAATGGTCACAAAAGTCTTCACTCTGAGCTCTTAGATTAGGGGGAAAAGGGTGTGGAGACAAAAGCACAAACACAAGTTGAAGGTAGACTTCAATGAAATCTATTCAGAGCTTATTCAATGACAGACTGGCAAAGAGTAAGGAGTATGATTTCAATTAGATTCAAGGTCATGTCTTTAGTTTGTAACCATACAATTTATAACCATAGCTCTTCTTTTGTACTTTTATAGGGCTAGGATTTTTTTTAATCACAATTTGTTACAATGTTGTATTAATTCAAGAAAATTATTTTCAAAAGGCTAGTCTTTTCTATACACTATATTGCAGCTACAGAATAATTAATGTCAAAACCAGATAGATTGCACTAACAATGTTCATTGTAATCGAGATATTAGGATTCTATTATGATCTTTGGTGATCCTCATCATGGAATCTTTTATGATGATGCGTGTATGCAACATATTATTAATGTTAATTGTAATTGTAAATATATATTGTAATATGTATCTTTTATTTCTCCATCTCTTCCTCAACATCCCCTCCTTTCCACATCCATTGTCTTCCTTCGAGCCTATCTTGCCCAAAACCATCCTAGTGTGTTTACCCTAGAGACAGAATGTCCATTAAATCTGAATAAGTATTCCACAGTTATTGAGCTATACAAAGTTTAATACAAACAATTGTTACGTCAAAATATATTCAACAAACCTATGAGGTAGATTATTGCATGGATATCAAGAGAGACACAATAGGTCCATAAGTATGTAGTTGATATTGAGATAAATCATAAGCCCATTTTCTGTTTAAACCTAAAATAAATTCTGACAAAAACACACATTGTCTCATCTTTTTAAACTGTATGTATGTGTATCTCCACATTATACATTTAAATTATACTGCCCAATGGTCATTTATGGTAATCTGTAAACCCCTTACGATGTCTAAAACTGTGCACTTGATCCTTTACCATTTGTATTGTTTATAGACCCATATAGAAAGCAATGTCAAGTACATTGAAATGCAACTATCAAAATGTCAATAGTACAAAGCCATATTATCTATTGCTCGTTTTTGAATCCTGCCAAAATACATGGTTTGATAAATTTGACAACTTAATTACAGTCGTAATTACATCACTCTACCAACACTAACAGATTTACTCTTTATTTAAGAAATTGAACAGAGAAACTCCTACTAGCTAAATATAATGTTTACATTGTTTGGAGTTCACATTTAATAGCTGTTAATTTCAGCTAAAGATATGTTTCCAATCAAACATAAACAGGTGGGAGGTATCATGAAGCACTACTTATTCCTTGTCTGTAGCATCACAATGGCACATTCTTCTGGCTGCTCAGAGCCTGTTTCTGTTCCCCAACACCATAGAAAGTCAAAATAAAGACTGGCTCCAGTGTGTTTAATATAAGCTGCAGTAGACCAACATCTGTCAGAATCTAATTTAAAATGCCAGAAATTCATATACAACAAAATATGAAATAAATGAACCCAGTTTGCAAGAAGGGGCTAACTGTCAGAGTCAAGCCACACTTAAAAGGTCTTTCCAAACACATGCAGTTTGAAAATCATCATTTTATTCTAGAAGCATAAATTGCTGCTTTCAGTGTTCAAACTTAGTATTCAAAGCAACTGAAATGCAGCTCTCTTGTATTTTGGGGTGTAATTTTTTTTCATGAGCCTATGCACAAAAAAGAATACATAGTCCACCTGTGCTGCAAGCATTGGTTTCTATCCTAAAATTAAAATGTTTGTCTGGAAACAAAAAACTGTCTCACATGAGCAAACAAGCTACATACCTTTAACAACGTTCACTTCTAATAGATGGAAAACCAAAATGAATAAAATATTTGCATTTCTCACCTTCTGTGAGCCGTTTCTTAATTCAATGTAGTCTTGCTCACTTTTCACCACACTTTTGTCGAGTAATTTTATCCACCACCGGATATATCACTTTTGCACTAAACGTCCATTAATAAACCTCCCGACCCAAACTCCACACTTTCCACAACAACCATGACACCGCCATGTAGCATATCTCCAAATTCTTGATTCTAATTAATATCTGTTTTCCTCTAAACTTGTTTTATGTCCATAGTTCGTGTTTCATCCAGTTGTTCCTTTAAGTGGGAGAACACAGGAAATTAAAGTGAATGCAACAGATCGTGCTTTATAGACCCAACATCAACAGCTCTGGTTAAATTTTGCATCTTAAAAAGGTCCCAAACTAAATGAATACATTGATTAAAAAAATAAAACAACATATTTAAGGCTGCAATAACTTCAACAACACCAAGTGCAAATCAACACATTAAATTGTTTACATTGTTTACAGGCCCCACAAAATGGTGTACTCCACTCTTTGCTAAATGGTAAAGACTTCTGAAAGACTTCAGACTTCTGAAAGAACACACCTCTGACATCAGAACTATGAGACACAACAGTCTATGGCAGTCAAGATAGCAGATCAAAAGTTGTTCATAGGAAATAACAGCTGGAACAATGTACAGATATATTTCCTGCAGTCCTCATTTTGTGTAAAATTGCCCTTTTTAACTTCAATGCATGAGAGGTAAATGATTACCCCAAATCTCCTGTCCAAAACAGCAGAGATTTGAAAGACAGGCTTTTAGGAAATACTCCATCGTTGGCTCCCAATGGAGCACCTTTGCAACTTTGTTGTCAATTCTTCTTCGGTTAAGGTAATTTCCTTAATCATTTATGAATAAGCTTTGCAGGAGAAAACAAAAAACTGCCAAGATAGGAGATCTTTGTGTTTTGTCAGTGGTTTGAGTGTTGATATTATAGACAGGGAAGTTGAATTTGATGTTGCATCATAGTTTGAACTTTTAACATATGAAAGTAATATTTTTGTTGCTGGTAAGCAGGAAACACAAATCAAAGTCCTGTATGAAGTTACCACAACCAGGCTCACGCCCAACATAACGCTTTTAAAGATCAGGGAAAATGGAAGAGCAGAAGTGAGAAGACAGACAGCTTTGAAGGATGTCTTAAAAATCAACTGATAAAGACATGTCAGCCTGGTGGAGGGAAGGCAAGGTCCTCTCTCTGTTCAGTCTTGCCATGGTAATCTCTGTTAATGTCAGGATTACTGTGATCATGTTTATGAAAAGCAGTTGAAATTTTGTTGAACTTTGTCAAACGTCATAGGTTGTCTCTGAACAGTTATTAAGCTAGAGATAAGAGGACGATTAAGGCACACTTCCCTGGCAGTCTATAAGTAATCTTTGATTTTACGAATTAAATATTTATCCATCAGGTAAGTAGAAATATTTATTTACTCCTGATTATAGTCCAAACGAAACCAAATGATTAAACAATTTTTTTTAAGATTACTTATCAAAATATGATGATTAACCTGAAACAAAGCATCATTCTCTATTAATGTTAGCTTCAAATATTGGACATCTAACAGCTCATCTAACAAGGTTTTTGTTTATAAGTATTTCAATGAATACAAGAGAAAAGGGGTTACCAAATGTAAATAACACAATTACATTGCGCATAATTATTCATCTATGATGGACAGGTTCCCTGTCCAGGGTGTACCCCACCTCACTCTGGCAAAGTATTAGCAATTTTGTAATGATAATCAACAGAGGGAAAACATGTTTTTTGACAATATTCAGATTCTTCCCCTCTTTGAAGCCCAAATCAGGTCCAAATAAATTTAGACCTTTCAGCCTATCCAATCCAGAACCCTACTAGGGTTACAGTCTATGTCTTCAAGCTAAGAAATGTGTAATCTCCACATTTTCTGGGCAAGGAGGCTCATTCATCAATTGAGCAGTACCCTTTGGGCAAAAGGATATAAAAAATACACAATAAGATTCTGCACCATGAATCTGTTATTATATTCCCATCTAACAACATAGATTTACTCCTTCTATAGTCCTCTCCAAGCAGAAAAAAATTTTGCTTGAGGCCTCCATATCTTTTATGCTCAGATAATGATATGTAATAAACGTGGCCTTCACTCTCCTTCACAGTCCTCTAATCTCTTTTTTGTGAAGTAGTTCATCTACAGGAGAGTTTGTGTTGATGAATAAAGCTTGTTCTTCTCAATGGTGCTTTGGGCTGTTACTGTTAACCATTAAAAGTTAAATAAAAATATGAACTGTTTTGTTGCCAAAAACAACAGCTTTTAATTCTTTATATTGCTACAATGACAAATTCACATATGTAAATAATCCAATGATCCAATACCATCAATACAAATGCTTAACTAATGCAAATTAAATGGCAGTCATTAAAATCATTGGTTGGACTTTACTTCTTGGTATGTTTAATCTGAGTATAGGGGATATAAAATAAGATGTAAAATCTTTCAGCAACGATTAATATTGTCCATTGCATGTGTGCTGAACTTTCTAACCAAGTATCAATTATGACTACCTCACAGTAGCTTTTAGGCAGACCTAAAATTGAATAGGATGCTGTCCAGCAGTTATATTAAAAGTAAAGTTAGTGGTACCATTCAAATATCCGGTCATCATATCTGGTCATTTCTACACCTTTTTAACTAAGGATGTTTTATATTTTTTTTAGATAACTTAAACATACTCAAATCTATAGTGTCACTTTCCTTCAGCTATTTCTGTATGTGACATATAATGGGCATATTTTTCCTCTTAAAATGAGAAGGTAACCTCTTTATAATATTTGACCCTTGACAAAAAAAAAAAGAGGCCCTGTCAATCTAGCTCATCACCAAAGAAGCAAACGGGAACATCTATCCTATTTTCTATCCGCCGAAGTAATGCAAAGTAATCAGAAGCAGATGTCTTAGTCTCGTATAAAATTTCCAAAGGTATGAAAATAAAGGGGCCATTTCCAAGTCACAACAATTAAAGTTTTGTGTTTTAAAAAACAAGGTTGTATTGTTACCTTGATGTTACCAGGCAACTGGTGAACACACAAAAAAGTCACTGTGCATGGCAAACAACGGCACATAATCCACGTGTTTATGGGTGCACAACAATTTTTCCGTTAAGTTATTCATATTTACAATGGTTATGGTGAATTGATGTACTGATGCCGTTTCCTCTGCAACATCGGGCTCCAATTAGTGGGCGTTCATATGTCGATGTAAATGCAATTTGCAGAGACCTAATGGTTATTAATGAGTGTACGCAGCATACCATGCCGGTCAGCATCTGCTTAAATGACCGGACAATCAAGCAGCAATGAACATAATCCAGGAAAACATGTTGTGACAATGAACTGGATTGCCTAATAGGTGTGGAAAATAGTTAAATGGCATGGCACAGAAATATAACTCCAGTGAGAGCATCTTTTGAAAATGACTGAAAGGAAAGCAAGGACATCCAGATATTCTTTTCATGTAAACCTTCCTATAGCATACATGTTTAATGTTTGACCTGATACTCCACGCAAACATAAAAAGGTCAATCAAAGCATAACATTACCATACACACCTTGAGTAGACTGCAGAGGTCTTCAACTGACAAATAAAACACCTAACTTTGAAGACAGAAGAAAAATGAACACCTTACCATTTGGACTTTCTTCATCTATGGCCACGATTGTAGCAGGAGGACCTGACCGAGAAAGTTTACATTCTGCAAAGATGGAAAAAAAAACAATGCTACATAAATGTAATTTTACTGTGAAGCATGTGGGTAACATTATTTCAGAAACTGTATCATCTATAATGTAAGGTGGCTGTACATGAGATGCGCAAAAAATTAAAAGGGAAGCATGAAAATAAAGAGTAAAGTCAAATTTTTAAAGAGAGATGTAGCCGATTAAATCCACCTCTACTATATCAGGAGGGGTGAATACAATAGCACAGTGTCTGATCTAAATGGGAAAGACAAAGATAATTCTTACCCTCATAGTGCCAGTCTGCAGTTGGCAACAGCCAGAACAGAGGAAAAGGGTAAATGAGGTCAGCAGCCACGAAGGGATAGAGTAGAAAAAGGATACAAAAAGAAAAACATAAATGAAAAGTAAGCATAAACCACAAGGGGAAAGATTATCAACACAAGAAGTTTGATCACAACATGCAGAAAGCACCTCTAAAGTCAGGAAAGTAGAGTTTTAAGAGTGAATATGTTTTTATGCAAAATACAGTACATCAAACTATTAGCTTATTCAGACACCAGAATGTACGGCAAGCTATTGCTATGGGAAAAACCATAACTCGGCAAACTTAAGATAGTTCCAGTCAAAATGAAAAGTTGAAAAGAAAAGCTTCATTTGCACTTTATAATGCCTAACTTTCATTTAAAAGAAGCACTGATTTTTCAGACTGTCATAGTTACAATAATACATGACACAACCAGCCCTGGTTTGAGGCTTTGAGGCAGCCCTTTGTAGCATGTCTTTCCCCATTCTATAAACTCAACTTCCCACCCACCTACTGTCAAATAAATAAATTCTCCTGCAACACCCCCAAAAAGTTAAACCTTTTTAAAATTCAGACACAACACCAACGCACTCCGTTGCCTCCAGATTAATGGAAAGCGATGAATCTCGGAAAGCAGATTTTGAAACCAAGTTTTATCTACCTGCCAATTATTTTATTTAACAATTAAACCTCTTCATTATGTGGTGTGACAAACTATGTGCATATCTGAAATGCTGCAGTCACTTACACAACAGTTTAGTCTAAACATTTAAATTCTGGATAGAACATGATGACACGTGAATATTTTCTAAACATGAAGCTCAACTTTGCAGCTTCAGAAGGTGCTTGAGCTATGGAACAATAGTCAGTAGTTACATCATAATCCACCAGCTGGCCTGTCTGTGTGTATGAAGAGCAGATGACAGATGTTGTATCCCCTGCTTGAGTGCCTTTTTATCCTTCAGTGTAAGCTGATGCCCCTCATATATTACTAACCAGCCATTTGTTCTCCATGGGGCATCTCTCTGTCTCTTTCTCTCCCCCTGCTTTCTTTCCTCTCCTGTCTCTTCTCATCTGCCTCCCCCTTTCAATCTGTTATCTTAAGTTCCCCCTAAAAAAATTACAAAAATAAAAATTGGTAGCTTAGAAAAACTAAGCAGCCTAGGTCATAATTTTAAGAAGCTAATGAACACATATTTCAAATTTAGCAAACCTTTTAAAAATAGAAATTTTCTTTACAGCTAATTTTGAAACAAACAAACAGTACCAAACATTTACACGAGCTCAAAATGTAACCCATTTAGTTCCCACACGTTTAGAAGATAGTTAAATCAGGTTTTACAGTTGTTCACCTTTCTGACAGCAGATAATTCAAACAAGGTTTCATTACATGAATGGTAGCAGCTTGTGATCTCTTGTGTGCAAGCGTTTATGCCCCTTAAATGTCTGATGTACTTGCATTGTTAGTGTGTTTCTTAAATTGCTAATATGTCTGGTTTCTTGTTTTCTATGGTTTCTGAGAAAATAAAATAATGACTCCGTCTGACTAAGTATATTGATCAACTTAATACCAGTTTTTTGTCAGGTTGATGACAAATTCCAACAGAGGAGTGGAGCTCATTGAAAATGACTTAGAACTTTGACAGAGACATTTGAATTAGGACCATGTCAGGCCTATTTAATGACAGAAGAAAGTTTTAGATTAATCCTCCTCACAAAACTTTTCACTCAAACCTTCACTCCAGTATATCTATGACCTGAATTTCGTCCAAATATGAAGGTGGAGTGAACAGGTTAAGCAACACCATGAGCAGATGATGGCAGAATAGCCAAAGAGTTTACTCAAGAAAGAGTGTTGTTGCTTCAGAATAATATCCCTGAAGTTAAAGAAAAAGGTAGTCTCCAAACATTACTTAAGCAATAGTTATATAGAAAAACTGAGTAACTGCTGATTTGTTGATTTAACAATCAAGGGATGAATGTCTTTAAAAAAGATAAAAATTAGATACTGACAAACAATACTATGACAAATTTTAAACAATGAATTAAATCTTTGCTTATTTTGGAGTGTGCAATATTGGTCTGAGCATGGAGGTGATGTTCTGCCTTTTCTGACTCTGAACCACCCACCATTCTTACTGGGGTTGTTTGTAGATCTGGCAGAGAAGAGATATAACCCATTGAGGGTAATCTGGGGGTCAGAGGCCTGTTTCTCAGTTCTTACTAGAAAATTAAGATTGCAGAGGGAACAGTATCCATTACGAAGGACAGTCTCCTTTGGGGTAACAAAACTTACAGCAAAATCCTTGGAAGAACTCAAAACCACTGTAGTCAATATCATCATATGGCTGCCAGACGATGTTTGACTGGTCAGACACAGCCATTTGACAAAGGTTTCTGTGGAAGTCTCTTAACAAAACCAAAAGACCGGAAGACCAGCCTTGGCAACAGATGACTTCAAATAAAAGCAGCAAATGGAATGAGTGCAAGTGGCGTTTTTTTTTTTAACTCAATTTGCCAATGCAAAAGTAAATTACTCATACAAGAAAAATATGTCCAAAACTTCCTCAAGTCAGTGTAATGTGTTACTAGCTACCTCTGACAGAAAAAAGATCAAAGCTGAGAGAAAAGACTAACAGGGACAGTTTGACTGCTGCTGAAGAACACATAAATCATCATAGCACATGCTTTGTCTCATTCCTCACAAAGACGCAGCTTAGAAACTATCTCCGTGTCTCAGACACACATAAACATAATGTGGATTCACATCACTTTATGCAGTTAACAACATTTGAGCCTACATCCGTACTTGACTACAGACACTTGTGTGTACTAGAGTTACCATGAAATATGCATGCTGTGATCATGACTCAGAGAGCACCTAGACCAAGCTGACTGTGTCTTTGTATCTACAGAGCCAAGGTCTACCAGATACAAAACCCCCGTAACTCTACTTATAAAGAGAAGCTGTAGCTGTTACCACTGTAGCTTCATTATCACATGTGTAAGGGACAATTTTAAGTCTCTCATAAACTCTCATAAAAGTATCTGACTTACTTTTTCGCATTGAGGAGACAACATTTTTGGACACCCCTGAGTCAACCTCTGTTGATACTGTTGGTTTGGTTAACTTTACAAATTTTCTACACTTAACCACAACAGAACACCATATTTAAAGGAAATATTTGCATGTAGATATAAAGAAAAGCAATGTGTACGCATTAATAATGCCTCTTTGGGTATTCCTTGGGTATTGGATCAGTTTCCATTCAAATGTACACTAACAGAAACCCACAAGTTCAAGTAATGATTTTATATAGAACAAATGATGAACATATAAATTCTGCCGTTGAACAATGTTAAAGCTTGGCATCGCATTACCAGAAATATCTAAAGAAGGGCACGGTCTCTGCTGACTTTCTGAAATAGATTTATGCTCCAGTTTAAAGTTCTTTCCAGAGCTTTTTAATCAGTTCCTTTAATCATGCCATACTGTGAAATATTTGTTCTCATTTGAGAAAGTTGCAGTTGACTGCATTGTAATTTTTTGCCATCTGCTATATATTTGCTTGGCTTACTTTGCCCGGAGTCTAGATCATGAATGGGCAAACCCAATGAGGGTGCACTCCAAAATATGCTGGAGTAACGTGTGACTGCACATTATGTGTAAATGCAGGCAGACATGATCTCAAGAAAAAAATCACATTGATGAACATCCAAAGACATACTTTTATCTCCTAAAGAACAGAAAAAAGAGAAAGGTTTAGAAAAATCTTTCACCAATCCAAATGTTTTTAATTTTGACCAACAACAAGTAAAGTTATCTTTTTTGGATAAAAATAACCATTCAGTGTAACTAGACTGAAGGGAACTCTTAATCTCACATATTGGGACTTTTTTACATCCCTTCCAGTAGTACAGCGAAAAATGTGTAAAATGTCGGTTGTCTCTTATAAATGCTCACAGTGAAACTAATGACGTTGCGTTGCAATGATGAGAACTGAGAGACATGTTTGTAAAAAAATATATATATATACACAATACAGAAGTGAAAGAATTTAGAAAGTGTGCTTAATCACAAAAAGTTATCATGCATCATGTCATTTTTAAGCTTCCATCAGCAGGTACACTAATCTACACACCTCCCTCGGGTGAGATTCCTCTATATCTCCTGTGCTATACCCAACCAGCAAGCCATTCATCTATCACCTGTCCATCTCCATCCATCTTTTCCTCTGCTCCATCTGTCCATGGAGGACAAAGAAGGAACAGACAAAAATTGTGAGAAAAAAAGATTTTTAGAGGTAGACAAAAAAATAAAGAGAAAAACTGCTAGAAGACAGACTGAGACTGAATGTTGTGTTGAGCGGATGGATAGAAGAGCAAAGAGAGAGAGGATGAGTAAGGTGAGGATTGTTGAAGAGTACAATGTGACCTTGTGGTAGATTAATGTATCTCAAGAGAAAAGACATTGCCAAACTACTCACACACAAAAACACATTCACACAAAGGTAGCAATACGCACAAGTTCAGTGGTGTAGAGATCCCCCACTTTGCCACTCTGCATGGTGTATCCATTATCCTGACTCTCTCCCTATTTCTGTCTCTGTCCCAGTATGTCAGCTCAGTTCCCAACCAGTGCAGGTTTGAACACAGCGGACAGCTGTAGTTGTAGTAATCAGAAGGCATTGTTCTGCAGACACATTGTGGAAATACATAAATGGCCCCCAGGAAGCCCCAAACCATCCTACATTATTTCTCCCAAAAAAGGTGAAGC